ATGGAGTTTAGGGATGAAGGTGGGGTGAAGCAGGGAGAGGAGGAGTTGTATAGGCGGTTAGAGGGGGTTTGTGACGGGATTGCGAGGCTGTTGAGGGATTCGTGGAGGTGGAAGAGTCGGTTTGAAGTGAGGCCGGTTGTTGCTGTGAAGAGGTGAGGGGTTGGCTGGGATGGAGAGGTATGGCTGTATAGTATTGTGTGTATTGGTTTGGTTGAAGTGGTGGGTGTCAGTCTCCTCTTATGAGGTCCCTGTATTGTCATGTCATGATTGTTCTTCGGAACTATTTCTATCTATAGACCACACACGCCCACACGGGTCGGGCCGCTGCCGAACCAATGCTGCAAGCTGCAGCTAGAGATTTTCCATTGGGTAATTTACGTTATTCAATTATGGGATACTATGATAGCCAGGTGAGGGTAGTGAGTCAAAAAGAAAGAGAGCAAGCGTGATTGTAAGTTCGCTACTGAAGGATTGGTGTAATGATTGCAATGCAGTGGAACGAACTATAAAAAGAAGAGTAAGCGAACACCAGGAAAACCAGCGTGAGTTTACAGTTAAACTGTGATGTCATAGACATGCTAATCGCCCAGTCCAGGCCTAGAACCCTCTTACCCATTAAATGACTCATTAAATTCCGTAGATGTCGGGCACTCCGTTCTGATTCCGTCCTAAACCCGTCCTAAGCCCGTCGTGCGTTATATGGACACAGCCATCCCAACTAGCCATTCCTTCAGGCATTGCTGATAGGTTTGCTGTAGTCGCAAAGTCTACCGCATAAGCCATCTGACAGGGTACATATTCCCGCACTTTGAGTGGGGCGTCTAGCCCAGGGTCTAGCGGTGCTTACTCTGACTACTAATCCTTACCAAGCACGGTGTTAACCGCTTCCTCGGGCCCGCGATCGGACCTACGCGGCGATAATCCGGCGTTATCTGGTATATAACCAATCCTACATCCCGTCTCACATCATTCCATCAATTATCTCTAGACTCAATCACGGGCCTAGCTCAATACACAACCCAAAGTCCAAGCATCGCATCTAAGCAAGAATAATAAAAATGTCCCGCATCCTCGTTACCGGCGGCAGCGGCTTCCTCGCCAGCGCACTAATCGACACGCTCCTCGCCCGCGGCCACTCGGTGGTCACCACCGTCCGGTCATCCGAAAAAGCCCAAACGCTTAAATCCCAACGTCCTGAGATTTCCTCTTCCCGCCTCTCCTTCCGAATCGTCGAAGACATCTCCCAACTCAATGCCTTCGACGACGCCGTGGTTAACGACCCGCCGCTCACGGCCGTCATCCACACCGCTAGCCCCTTCCACTACAGCATTGACAACGTCAAGAAAGATATGCTTGACCCTGCTGTCAATGGTACCGTGGGGATTCTCCAGTCCGTGCATAAGCATGCTCCCACTGTCAAACGAGTGGTTATTACATCTTCTTTTGCAGCCATGTTCAATGCCTCGAAACCAGCGGGGTCGAAGTACTCCGAAGCGGACTGGAACCCAGTGACATGGGAAGACGCAGAAAGCGCGGGAAACGCACAAGGTCAAGCGGGATATCGCACGAGTAAGGCACTCGCGGAGAAGGAGGCATGGGGATTCATGGAGAAGGAAAACCCCGGGTTTAGCCTAACGGTGATGAATCCGTCGTTGATTTTCGGGCCGGTAGCGTCGTCGTTGAAGTCATTGGCGGAGGTGAATACGTCGAACCAGAGGATCAGAGATTTCGTGGCCGGAAAGTTCAAGGAGAAGTGTCCGCCGACGGGGAGTCAATTTTGGGTGGATGTGAGAGATGCGGCTCTGGCGCATGCGGTCGCGGTGGAGAGGCCCGAGACGGCGGGGAAGAGGTATTTTTTGACGGCGGGGAGCTTTTGTAATGCGGAGGTGGTGGAGGTGATTGGGGAGGCTTTCCCGGAGTCGAGGGAGGGATTGCCGAAGGGGGAGGCGTTGGTGGATGGGCAGTTTCCGGCGGGAGGGCCGAAGTATGGGTATGATAATTCGGCGTCGATTGAGGGGCTGGGATTGACGTATCGGTCGTTGAGGGAGAGTGTGGTGGATACGGTGTATAGTTTGAGGGTGGTTGAGAAGGCTTCTCAATGAGTGGTTGTATGAGGCGCATAGATATCCCGGTGTTTTGTATATACTTCATGACATACAAAAGGCATCTGATTTGCATAATATATACGAGCATCTGACTCTTAAAAATACTAAAACAGAGTGCCAGGAGAATATCTGCATCAATAAGACAAGAAACGTACTGAATAGATTCTTCACTAGCTAACTGGTACTCTTACTCTGGACAGACACATGCCATCATCGCATATTCATCCAACGCACCATCGGAGCCAACTAATCAGAAGGAGCCGTATCCTTAACAGTAGGATAGTAGTATCCATCCTCATCCAGACTAGACGTATCCCAGTAAACCTGATACACATCCGAGACGTTGGTTGCCTTCAGACGGAAAGAATCCGCCAACTCGCCTGACTCCTCCTCCCACATGAGGTACGAGCCATAAAAGAGGAATCCGTCCGTGACAGCATCCGAAAGAGTGTCGATGCCGTTGCCGGTGAAGCCAACAGGCAGGATCTCGTCTGCTGTCGGACGGATATAGAACAGAGTGTCCGAGTCAAGGGTGACGCCGTCAGTAGTAGCGGTGGTGACCAACTCGGTGTCAGTGATTTCGACTATGTGCTGTTAGTGAGAACCAAATACTTTGGGGGAAACTAACAAGTCACGTCGGTAGTGACCGATCCATAAGGCCAGAGAGATGAGTCACCGGCATATGCCAGTCCTATTCTCATGTTAGCGGGATCACTTGAGAGCTTGAGAACAGACAAGAAATACCATCGGAATAAAAGAACTTCAACCCCCGAGCAGCAACGCCCCAGGCATACAGACTGAAAGACCCGGTAGGATTGCGCTTCTCCAGACTCGTATCAACCTTGGCAGACGGAGTGGCCAATGCACCAACGGCAAGAGCCAAAGGAGAGATCATAGACGACTTCATTTTGAATGTTTCATGCAAATTGGCAAATAAATAAGATTGAGGACTGGTGGCAGAGGATATCCCGCCTTTTATAATCCGATCTGATGATGGAAATTCATTCACCCAGTATGCCCCACCCAGTGCATGACGGCCCAACTCTAAATTCCTCAACTTGGGGTCCAAAAAGATCCAATAGCGGGCCAGATTGCCTTGGAATTGTGTATCTGGGCTCGTATAGACCAGAGGTGTACGTATGCCGACCAACTGGATCCGGAATAGTCGTGACTAGCGCTGGAACCGTTGGCTTGGCTGAAGAGCCACTCGGATATCTGGATGCGGCTTATGCAGTTGACATGTCGGAATGTTGCTTAGATGATGGGTTTTGATACACATGGGTCATCGCATAGTCGTATTTAAGCATGTGACATGAATCGGACCGGATAAACATGTTCCTGATGCTGCAGCCCCTTGATCACGCCGTCACTTCAATTTCAGCACAAGATACGATCTATTCAGACTTGAGTCGTGTTCAGGAACAGCCACCATGGTAACCCGAGGCCTATGGAACCTTCGCGTCGATGGTAAGACTCTGATCAATAACTCATAACACTCCACTTCATAACATGCACAGGGAAATGGTACCGTTCATTTCACCCACCGCGAGGGCGCATTGCTTCTCCAGACACACCCGCCACTTTAGACCGAATCAGGAAGATTCTTTCTGAGACTAATCTTGCTGCGTGGGAGTGTGTACCTTTCCCCAGTCCTCTCCACATCGACCTAGACTACGTGTACAACATCGATAAAGATCTGGGCCTCTTGACGGTTGTCCAATGGACGGGGGATGAAGGGGTCCTGTCGCGCATGCGTCGAGAGGCAACCCTGACTCGACTGGCGAATCCGTCACTACATACAATTGAAGCGGCTCTTGAGGTTGTAGGGGATGAGTTCGATCAGGAGAACGACGAAGCCAGCCCACCGACGTCCGAAACGTTAACAATCAACATGAGGAACCCCACGCCCTTAAACGAGCTTCAGCTTCTCTTCCTAACCGATTTTATCTTCCTGTGGAAATTCTATCTGGACGATATGTCATCCTGGAGAAATACCTCTCTGCTATTCCGTACCCTAGCCATCGGCATTCTGCGTATCGCAGCCTGGGATTTCGAAGTGCGGATTGACACCGACACCACCGACATCCCACTTACTTTCTCCTCCGTTCCGAGCTGGAAGGCTCCCTCCACGGATATATTCTGGTTTCATGGCTTCCTTATCACTCTACACGGTACGACTGATGAGGTTGGGGAGGCCATCTCAAAGGCGCAAGCTTTTTTGAATGAAACCCCACGCAGGGGACAGGTGACTCAGGTGATCCTCATGTCCCTGAGCCATATAAGGCTCGTTGAGATATCCTCGGAATGTGTGCGATGCTCCTCGGCTATACCTATTATTGTCAATACGTCGGCCATGTATCCGTCACCTGGATGTCGAGTCCTATCCTCCGTTTTGTCTTCATATGCTTGGAAGGATTTCAGCTCTCATGGAGAATCATGGCGCGTCAACCTACCCAGTGAGATCTTCGATATGGTTCTCGAGACCGTGTTGCCGAGAGATCTGGTAACGTTCGCTCAAGCATCTTTGGAGGTGGAAAAATGGTATTACTCGTCAGTACCGCAGCTTGATGGCCTGGCAGTGCGTGGCTTCAATCTATCGATCCCGTGCTGTGGCAAAAGGGACCGACCTGATACAGAAGGCATTTCTTGCTCGACTTGCTATACTTGGTACCATGCAATGTGTGTTGGGCTAGGCCCTGAGGCGTGTAGTCGTACGTATGTCTGTTCTGATTGCGAACAGCATAGGAGATGCGACATGATGGAGATGGGAGGAATATACGACGTTTATCGAAAACACCGTTCCAGACCATCTTGCAAGGTCACCATTGATGGTCTCGACAAGACGCTTCAATTGCGCACATCTAAGCCTGCACGGCGTCGACCAGAATTATGGCTCTATGGACGTGACTCTGTTCCAGCCGGGGAAATAAAATACAGCGTTTTCTTTGGTGGCATGTTCTCCGGATTAGCATATGGTTTTGAGGGGGAGTAATACCACGATGCGATTCAATTACTTTTTGGCAGTTCCTGAATCAAAGCACATAAGGATCGAAGCTTGCTCGGATGGCCTTGCAAAGTGAGAGTACATAAACGGACGTTCGGCGGCAATCTCCAACATACAAAATCAAAAAAAAATTCCTTCCGCGTCTCCACCCCCTTCTGAAGCGCATCACGAACCATTCATGGGTCGAATAGCGGGACGGGGTCTTGGAATCAGCTGGTCGTCTATAAGTCGCATCAATTCATGAACGATGGCGCTATCATTCCGCACATGAAACGTATTCCTCAAAGGCTCCGAGGCCGGGCGCAGCGGACTCAATCGACGACCCACGGGAAAGTTTCCGTTGTATTCATAAAACCGAACATGGAGCCCGTGAAAGAAGATAGCCCAGCAATTATCATATCTAGGACACATCGGCTCCATAAGAGTTTGCAGGTGATTGAGCGCAGGAACCAATCCATCGTCGTTTCTCAGCACTTTGACGACGATATGGTCGAAGGAAGGGCGCTCTCCAAAAAAGCGGAGAGCAACGAAATCCCCCATGGCGTTACCCTGTGAATCTGGGGGAGGTATGATCCATCGGCGTCGTCGGGGGAAATAGTAGGCCATAAAGCCGCCGGCTAAAGCTCTGATTGCGTCTTCATTGGTCGGATTATGTTCAAGGGACGCGATTAACGCTTGGAATACAGGCAAGGATAGATAAACCTGCATCATGGAAAGACTTGTATTTGTGTTGTGTTTTGTGTGAGGGGAAACAACAACAAATGCGGAAATGGGGTCCGTTACTTAGACTTCAGACTAAAGCAAAAGAAAGTAAAAGTGAAATGTCACGGTTACCGAATGGCGGGACATGGGAACGGTCAAGCGCTTAGTACCATGGCCTTATAAACCACCGGAAGTACCTTCCATTTCCTACCGATGCTTCCATCCAACTCCGCAAATAGTAGCCACGAGTTTTGAACTTAACATCCCCTCAAGGCAGGTGATTCATGCTCAGCCAAAAGCAGTCCTCTACTCAGCGCCGTCTCCTGATTTCAGGCCGCTACCTGCGTACGCCGCATACATCAACGGAGCAAACGTTAGTAGCGGGAAGAGCCATTGTGTGGTACATCGATGGGGAGCTGTGTCAAGCTGAGGTCACATACCTAGCATTCATTGACCTCCGGGTGTGCTTCAACGGGCACAGGTCTCCGGGCGATGAGGTCTTTGTTGCAGTATGATCTTCATCGTCTTGGTTAATGGGGTTCGAAGCGAGGTTATGGTTGATTTGGGATGTCTTGGATTAATGGAACAGTACAATGGTTTAAGAAAATTATACGTAGTAACTCTCGTCGAGTTCGTTGAATTTTGGGATTCAGGTAGAGACAGGATATGGGCCAGTGCAGTCTTCGAGCAAATTTAGTTCGGTTTCTGTCGTACAGGATATGTGGAGGGATTAAGTCGACAGGAATGAACATGGTTTTATATAACAGTATTCAGCAATTTTGTGCAGCTAAGCCATATTATGATCCATATGTGCATATCAAAAAGGTGGGAATAGAATGAAAAGGGTATTTAAAACAGCAAGCAGTGGGGTTATGAGCATAAGAAGACAGAAGCAATGGATATCTTGGGGAGTAACAGGGTTCGCGCCGGGAATCTTGACAAGAAGCGATACACCTATACAAAGCACATGGTTGTGGCAGCTTAGGCCCACTTGCCAAGAAGGGCCATGATACCGGCACCAAACAGCATGGTGATGACCATAAAGGCCAGTCGCTTGTTGTCTTGGGTGCGGTGAGGATCGAAGATGAAGTCTCTGGCCAAGAGCTCGACCAGACCAGTGTAGATCAGAATACCGGCGGAGATGGCATCCAAAACACCGGAGACCACGTTGGCCGTGTAAGAACCAGAGTTGTAGGTGGTTCTGACCCCCAGTCCAATAGCGACCGAGATGGGTGTGGTCAATCCGTACAGGGCGCAGAGGACCCAAGGCAACCAGCTGCCCTTGCGGAAAGGAATGGCCGACATCCGAGCCCCGATACCCAGACCCTCGAATGACTGGTGGAAAACAAGGACCGGGTACAAAGTTGCGAACTCACTACCCGTAACACCTAGGTTCAGGCCAATGATGACGGAGTGGAAGATAACACCGAACTCGAGGATGAGGAACGCGGCGATCTGCTGCCTGAAAGATCTCTCAATCAAAGTATCACTTGTCGACAATTCTTCCACATCCGCCTCGCCCTTCCGAGCATTTCCAGCTGATTCCTTTTGCACAGTGGAGTTGTCGACTGCGCTGGTCATGATCGGTTCCGGATCCTCTCTGCAGACGCCGTACTTGACTTCGACATAACGCTCAGCGCCAAAGTCAAGGAGGAAAATCATCATGAGGGAGGTCAGGACGATCGCAGGGCACCAAGAGTAGTCGGCCCAGTTCCCGGTCATGCCGACACATGACTGAGGGCCAATCTCGGAATATGCGGGGTCCAGAAGGTGGATGAAGGCGGTTGCAATAATGACACCAGCACCAAAGTAGCGAGCGAAGAGGTAGACGTAGAGTGGGATGTGAAGCCTGGGCATGCGCTTGGCGATAACTGGGAAAAAGGTCACTGCAGTCGATACGATGAAGATGACGAAAATGGCCGAGATGCGGGCGCCCAGGTGGCCATTGTAGTCGTTTTCGGATGCGTTGAGATAGCAGATGATCTGAGTCGGATCGGCTGTATCGAGATCCACGTCATTAGGGTTGAACGACATCTTGGAGATTGTGAAGCAGAGATTTAATCGGGTGGGAAGAGGAAGAAGACAGAGTTGATATGGAAGGCTCTGATCACTTGCTGTGTTTGGCACATCGTTGCGTCAGGCTCTTATATAATGAAGCTGAGGGACAGAGATTTTCCCCGTGAGGACCTTGAGAGCGCGCGCAGGCCCGGTCCCCGACACTAAGACAGTAGCTCGCCTCTGACTCGTTCATTCATCTAGACCTTCCGGTTGCTTTTGCGAGTGACAGCCAATTGCTAGATTATCGTCATCGGCACAATCCCATGTTCTGCAGCATCCATGCGACATTGTCACAATCGGAGACTGGCGACGCGGGCAGCGTATCCCGACGGCCTCGGGAGAGAACCAAGTACAACATGGCCAGGTTGCAGCACATCACACCACCATGCGATCCCAAACTGAGAACCGCATCAGGAGAGGGAGGCGAAGGGACAAGGACCTTGATGGAAAGCCAGTGGACTAAGCAGGTTGGTGTTTGGTAGTTAATGATGAGGAGAGGATGGCAGACAAGCCGGCGTGGATGGGAGTGGGGACAAGAGGACCGGCGCGGCGGCGGAGGAGATGAAACGGAGTCCAGCGCCTCCACTAAGCCTGTCCGGTGCCTCGCCCACGCCACCGGTTGGCCCGATCGATGGTGCCCCTCTCTGGCCGCATGAATGGCCTGCCTGTGCCCGGATTCCGCCGTGATAACGGATCCGCTGTCGATGGGAGGGATCCTTTCAGTTCCCAGTGACCAAGCAGGTACTCAGGGCACCCCCATATCAGCCCAACCGTTGAAATCTGCTCAGGATCACGTAAAATTAATTCTGTGAGGACCTGGGCAGGGTTCCAAACTCCGTTGTCAATAGTGGATGTCATATACAATTTGTGCCGACTAGTCCCTGTCAACCCAAGCGGCATAGGCCAATAGGTCGCTCGGGAATTGGATTGTCAATAGCGATCCTGATTTCTTCTATTCGCGAGTCTATGGCAACAATTGCCACGTTTTCGCCCCATGTCTCACAACAAGGTTCGCACTTTTTTTGACCAGCCTGGTAAAGCAGACAAGCAAGTTGTTCAACTGGATATTGCTCCACCACATTGCTAACCATGTGCTCGACAAATTTCCGTCGTTGCATACATACACGTGACGAGGCACACAATGCGAGACACGGGCCAGACTGTGCAACAACACCGTATAGCATGATCTAAGCGATATCAGATCAAGCCAAATCTGACTTAATTGATTGCGCCATCGGCAGATGCTGCAGAGGTCCACAGTCGGTAGACCCCTATTCCAACCTCCCAGGAAGACGAACCCTGCAATCTTAGTCATATTGTATCTTTCCCTTAGGGAAGTGCTGACGGAGCTCGCCGACAGCGTGCAGGTGGGACAGTTCATGTAAGCGATCAAAAGCTCACCCGCCAGGATGGATGTGCTATGTAGGACATTTGGCTTGTGCTCCACATTGCGTTTATTTCTGCTCCGTGGTGTCTTGGGTACTCACTGTGTTAGTCTGGGCTTCGAAGGGTTTTCATTATCAGATGCTGGTTTGTGGGAAGGATTACGCGAGGCTGAAGAAGGTGAAAACAATCACCACAAGAGGTTACTAGACCTGCATCCGGTGAAGGTTAAAATAAAGAATTGGACTGACATCGCCATGTGTGGAGTCCTGTCCAACGTTCTACTGCATGCATTCCACATGTGCATCTCAGGTATGTGAGCTGCTTTAGTCCTACATATGCTTAATCGCCTACAGATCGTTGCAGAGCCAAGCTTTCCTCCAGAGTCTTTCTATTGAGCGTACAACACCTTGATCTTCACTATAGGTGACAGGATAGAAAGAACTAATAATCATGACCCGTATCTTCAAGACATTGTCACATTACTCCCTCTTGACGCGCCCTTCTCAAATGACCATCCCAATTTATCCTAGAACATTGTCTCCAAGCCCGAAATGCAACCTGGAATCGGTGGTATCGGTCGTGATGGCCGGGGCACGGTGGAAATTCGGCCGGGGAGTAGAGAACGACAGCCCTTAATGCTGATCACCACGGAGTCAGATTTGCTGGTTTGCAGCAAACAAATCTAAAATATGGGGATACTCACGCTGCAGGAGGAGCAGGAGCAGCTGGCGCAGTTGCCAGAGCAGCAGTTGCAGGAGCAGGGAGACATTTTGGCAGAAGTTGGTTGATAACCGGTAAAAGTGGCTAAAAGTGGTTTGGAGAGTTGGAAACTTTGATTGAGCTTGAGGAATTGGCTTGATGATGGAAAAAAAGTCAGTAACCAGAGGAAAGAGGCTCTATTTATGTCTTTTCGAGCAGCCTGATTGATCAGCTGGGCCATTTTTCTCGCGGAATTCGCGCTTCGTAACCACACCACGGCGCATCAAGCATGACGATGAACCCCTCACTTGGTTCGGGTGGCTGTGGGGGGAGGCAGCCGGACGACGAGTTACAGAACGAGTAGTAATTCCATCTCGTAGCAGGGTGTTAGTAGACCTTGGCTAGGTAGCGTTGCCTGACCTCGCTTCCCCACCACCGGCCAGACCGGAGGGCACGCTAAATGCCAGGCGGCCGCCGTCTGGAGTGGGTGCTAATCACGGGTCAACGAGCGATGATCAACTTCCTTCATCCCTGTCATCTCGGGATATCTGCCAGGGGGGCGAAAACAGCATCCATGACCAAAGAGAAGAGAAAGATCAAGAAAAAAGGTGCGAGTGCTCAAGATGGGATTCTTATTAAAGGTGGGAATGAGCACCTTGAGAGCATGAGCACCTTGGTGGCACTCACGTGTCCGGCTATCACTCAAGGTCCTCAGGCTGCTCGGCCACTCTGTTCCTACACTTTTGGCGGCCTGAGTCGCCCCGGTGTGTCTGTCTCTAGCGACCAGAGTCCGTCGCCGTCGTTGACTAGTGCAGGTAAGAGTTTTCACGCTCGAGATTGGCATGAACACACTCCCAATCCGGGTAGCAGGGTGCTCACACACTCGACGCTACAGGTTCTACTCTACTGCTTACCCACCATGAGACCCTTGCACGTATCACGATCGAGCTCGACACCAACAATGAATTCGTGGGCATGGAGGTCAGGCAGCGGGCTGAGACCTTGCCCCCACCCATAGAATGAGGCCTATTGCAGCTTACGAGGGCCGAGAGCACTGTGCGCGGTCATTTCTTTTTCTCCTAGTCAGAGAAGCCAGCCCACTTGCGAATTCTCCCGATCGAATCCTATCGGCCAATCGGGGCCACCGAGATCCTGGATACAAGCGGCATTACGTTCGGTGTGGTAAAGGTATTCAAGTCATACGGCTGTGATGCTCCACCCCCTGCGATTGTCACTCATCGCCTGCCTTGAGACTGGTCTGCGGGATGACAGAATCAGATGCTCTCCACGGCATGACATGGACCGAATTACGGTCAGTGGCGCCAGATTATCTTCGATATCTTGTATTCCAGAAAGTGGCCAGGAGGAGCGGATACACCGGGTGTAACGTACCCAGTGTGGCTTTCCGCATACGCGGGCAGGTGGAACGAGGCAAATGGGTTGCATTTTCGCTTGCATTAGTCAAGGATTTGAACCTACAGTCCGCGCCACTGGACTAGCGCGTGTGAACTCACATCCTACGCAGCAGGGTGAACTGTATTCTTTCCAAATCGAGGGGTTCCGGTCCAGAAGAGGAAATCCGGTATGAGAGCTTCTAGCTCCGAAGGCCCTTCAAAAGCTCTCTTGTCGGCCCTGCGGATGCTATTCCACACTGAGGATATAACTGAGCCGGTGATCCTTCCTTTTGCATCAACCCGCCCCTTGGGAGTGCGATACCAAGCAAATTCTGCGTCGGCTACAGCGCATACCAGGAAATACTCGGCTGCACTGCCTCTGTACTAGGGAAATTGCCTCCGTCTGCCCAGTGTCAACACACCCAGTGAGTTGATCCACGCGAGTCAGTATACGACCTCCTTTCATCCACTAATATAAACCTTCTGGTAAGCGTATATGTCTAGAGGCAAGACAGTAGGTATTGCTAAGACTTTCGCATATGACTGCGTTCTCCTATGCCTCTCCATAAGAACAATTCCCAAAAGAGCGCTACAAAGCCCTCTGCCTGGGGCATTTAATCAGTACTTCTGAGAACTGAACTAGTAGGACGAAGCTTATATGCCTGCATAAGCTATGGGTATATACCCATCTTCCTAGCATTTGTCGTCACCTCGTACACAATCATGGTGAGTCTTGCGGTTGGTGCCTCAACCCAATTTCCAATACTGCCCGATCGTATATCACGTGTCGCTGCTATCAAAACAGAGTATCTTGTCCCAATTTGGCGTCTCTCGAGTCATACGGCTATCGGATATATACTGCGGTAGAGTGCGAAAGGATTTTTAGAAGGATCTGATTGTCCATCGGTAGCAAGTGTGTCACACCGCTTCCCCTCAAATAATGATAGGAGGTTATTCGGCAGCTGAGGACAAATAACGCCAACCTGTGAGATGGAAGGGCCAGCAGAATCCCAAAGTTTGTTGGTAAAACTAGCCATCTTTATGTACCTTATGTAGACAGGTAGAATGAATATAAATGAGATTATTGTACAGAGTGGTACAGTCAATTCGTAGAATCACTCCAGTAGATTGAGTGGAAGGCAATGGCCTGTCTCCGGGGTCCTCACCATCTGCATACTGGCTGTTCATCTGTTGACACCGACGTTTTCAGCTTTCGGCATTCTTCATGTACACCTTTTGTTTTCCCCAAACATTGATTCAAGGTCTATTCAGACTCCTTCCAATTCCACGTTACTCTCATGGCCTGGACGACCTCTTTCTTCTTCAACTAATCCAACTCTTCCATCCCAGCCCTCAAATTCTCTCCTGATCCTGTCCCCTCAGCCATTCCTTAAATGACCATCTCTCCAGTGCCCTTGTGTTCAACTCCCCTAGCTGTACGACTCCCTCCAGGCCGGTCATATACCAAGCTCCATATAAGCCGGCACATCCAATAGCTGCATCGGAATTCCAGATTCCCTCCTCATCTACTCCAGCGTCACCTCCATCACCCACAACACGCGAGCAACTTCACCCCTGAACGCTCCTCCTTCAACGACGCCTTCACAAACTCTCTGTCGCTATGCCCGCACCCACAACTGGAATGTTCGCCCGCTTTCGCAGCGGGATAACAAACTTCAACTTCCCCGGTGATCCACCCTCGGCGTGCACAGCGGATTCGACACATACACTCCCAAATATGCGAAGGGGATTCATTTCAATAACTTCAACAGCTCGTTTGCAATAAATTCCACGATCCCCGCCTTCGAGACCCAGTGATATGAGTGCAGATACATTCCCTTGGGGTGTTCCTTCATTGGTCTGAGAGAGGAACAGATCTATCTTTCTAGAGTCAGAATGGCCATATCCGATGTGGGACTGTCAATGACGAATGTTCTTTCGTAGTCGGTGAGAGGTTTATCAAGCTATTTCCATCTGCTATCGCAAGGCAGAGAGCCAACAGTCCAGGTCGATCATTCGGGAGTTATCAGAACCAGTCTCGAGCAGTTTTCCAAACTTTGGGGCGGTACATCATCCCAATTGGTCTTTCCGGGCTCGAGCAACATCCCAACAAAATCGGCATAGTTATCTTGCAGAGCTCATCAGACCTGAAGGCGACTGAATGCATTTGTAGTACTTATATCGGTGCGTTAAGACTTGAAACGCATGTGAATAGCGAGACGGCCTTGCCTCTTACTCGCCAGGGATAATGCACTAGATCTGTATGCAAACTCAGCACGCGAATTGACTGTTGCGGAGGCCAGCGTCCCGCATGGAAGGTTGGCAACGATGTTCCAAGGCTGAAAGCAATGTCACGAGATTATGCTGTGGGAAGTGAGTGGAGGGAACCTTCTCAACCTCATACTCCCCACACCGTTCGCAAGATGCCGACAATCAAAACCACGGACAGCCGTCCTTCTATTATGGGTAGTCTATATTCTGTCAATCTATGTTCCCTCTCGTTTATCTCTAGAATTTGACCCTCATCCCCCAGCCCCCAGCCACGCCTCTCGCAACCACAAACGCAACACATGCCGCGAGATACAACACGCCGCCAAATATGATCAGTCCCCAGAATGCACCTCCATTACTCTCTTGTATCGCTCCTGCAATGGGGATGGCAGTCAGGGTTCCAAAGCTAACCAGCGTGAAGGTAGTACCATTTCTCTTGCCGATGTCCTCCGTCCGACACACCTGCGCGATACACACAGGCGTCAAGCTGATAGCAGCACCACTCCAGAACCCGAACAGAACCGCGTACGCGATAATAGCAGCATCACTAGTGCCGGCATTGTACCACAACGCAAGAGTCATTATACCGCAAATGAGCGCAGTCAATGCCATCACGTTAAACCGCCCCATTCGATCCGCGAGGAGTCCTGGGAATGCACGTCCCGGGATGGCACCAACGTTGAGGAAGATACCCAGCTGGTATGAGAGGGTCTCGCCAAGATTGGCGTACTGTCCGTACGAGCAGATATAGGTGTAAGGGACAAAAACTGCGAACTCGACTAGCCATACTGAAAGTGTGGTCAGTGCATAGTTGGGCTCTCGGAGGGCGTAAAGGTCGATCGCCATGCCGCGTTTTGCATCAGGTTTAAGGCGCGTCTTCAGCAAAAGACACGCAAAACCACAGAGAACGAAGCAGATAATCCCGATGATGCGCAGGGCCCAGGCGAAACCGAGTTTCGGAGCGATATAGAGGATAATGAGAGGGAAGAAAACGCCACCAAGTCCGCCGGCTGTGCAAGCAATTCCGGTGGCAAGGCCACGGCGAACATTGAACCAGTGCCCGATAGCAGCGATAGCAGGTGTGAAGAGACAGCAAGATGAGAGGCCACCTAGTACACTGAAAGAGAGCATGATCTGGTAGTATTCTTCTATGCGTTAGTGGGGTTCTTTGAGTACTTGTGGATAAGGCTTACCTGTGCTTTCACTGAAACAGAAAACCGCGACCACTAAGCCGATAGATCCAGGAATTACCACTGGCAGCGGCCCGCGGCTATCAAAGATTGGGCCTATCGACATCAGATCATAAGCCGCTGCACATAAAAGAGTTCAAGGATGGAGTGACATACCCACTTGGGCGCCCGCGAAATACAGGAAGAAGCTGAAGACGCCGAAGATCCATCCAACACTGGAATCGGAATAACTCGCGAGCTGATGAGTCGATGTCCACGCGTGTAAGACCGAAATGGTATTCAAAAGGCCCATGGATGGAACCATTGCACACCATGATCCGAGAACCACAAGCCAGGCGCGAAGGCCTCCCTCTGGGAATTTGTCATCGAACGAATCATCCTGCTCTTCCCTTGCTACTACTTGGGAGGCCAACTTCTCTAGAGTCGGTTGCGCTCCCTGGTCAAGGCTGGGCCGGAAATGGGCTTCAATATCTGCCATTCCCGGTAAAGTAGCTCTGGACTGCGGTGGATTTCGTTACACTCCACACGCAAATATGAAAAAGGCTTCTAGGATACAGATTATATCGACGAAGTACCAGGAGAAGGCAAGAGGAAATAGGAAGGTCCTTCAGCCCAGACCGCTTACCAAGCACTGCATATTGGGTATCTGAGGGTTTGGCGCTCTGCAGAAAAAAAAAAGAGCCCTCATCACGGATAGTGGAGATCCGCCGTTAATCTCGGGGGCATGATTGGCTAGATCTGATGTTCCCCTTTCTCGGTAGTCGGCAAGTGCCGCAAGTCACTAATCGTCGGAGGGCGCTCCCGGAGTCCCCAAGAATGGAGTCGTACCACGTCGGTCCCCGCCTCTCCGCGATCGCCGGGGTATATCTTCGTTGCAGGAGGAGTTCCCGACTCATCTCTTCTAGTCGAGGAGTGGGTACGGCCCGCTAGTGTAGATTTTGCCTTGTTACGTCTCACAAACTGACCTGTCCCTCTCGTGCTCTAGACTGTCATCTCATACCGCCCTGCAGGGCAGCCCAAATCATGCTAAGGGCCCTTTTCACCGGTCAAGATTATGCAATTGCCTGCATTCCTACCTGAGCCTTCATCTACAGCACCTGAGGTGTGCTCGCATACCAAGCGATAGCCTTATACCTGGGCTTCCAGCTTTGCTCTATCTAAATAAGCTGCAAGGATGGGTTAGTGTTTGGCCATAGGCTTCGTCAGTGACGCAAGATCTTCCAATATTTCAATATTTTTCAGCTTGTGACAGGTTAATTCCTTGGATCTCACGCGGCAGAAGTTGGCTTGGAACCAGTCATCGGTCCAAGTCACTGCCCATGGTTGTCGATGACTTAGCCATTGTACCATGGCATGCGAAAGTAAATCCTCTTGGCATTGGTGCCGTCTACCAACGTCAGCGTTATCTCTCTCTTCTTCTACTGTCAAACTAAACACAGAACCGGCAGTAGACATTATTACAGGTGCTTCGCGAACAGTCCCGCTTTCAGCAGATCATCTGAGCGATAATCCATGAAAACAGAATATCCTCTAACCGCATGCAAACTATTCTGAATTTTTTCCCGGTGGCTGACAGCTGACAGGCAACTTCTGCAAAAGGGCTTCAGCCTTGCGTTCGGATTCACTTTCCCCAGGCCTTTTCGTGTGCCAGCATAGGACAAACAGACGGGTTGCCGCATGTCTCCCAGGGGGCTAGATCGACATCCCTTATAACAGCCTGCAGCTCTTACATATTGAGACAACAATGCTGCGCCTATGCAACAGTGGCTATTGTTGTCAATGGTGCTGGACCATGCGTCAAAGTTGGAGTCGAATATTCGGCTTTCTAGCAACACGTCATCATTCAATAATGAGGCAGTCATCTTGTTGTAGAAGTAGAGGTCAATGCGTTACCATCAGACATGACGACTGATCCAGGCCACCCCATCAAGGGGCTCCACATGCCAACATCTAGGCCTCATTAATATTGTTGGTCAAGGTGCGCGGGGTTCCATTGGAGTCGGGATCAGAGATACTGCTGTTATAGGCACAACTGTCTTGGTTAGTGTTCCAGGGTCATCGAGAGAACTCCATCAGGCCGTGAATCCTTGCTGGATAAGGTTAGAGCAGCGGTCTACCTTATTGATTTGGGATATAGGTATTTCCATCCTGTAGCCTGGCACATGGTACCTGGTTCCATTCATTGATCTATGCCAGCCATGATAATCAAGATAAGCTTATGACTTCAATTCTCACTGACGATTGATGATGTAAGCAGGTGTACCCATGGTCTTTGCTCTCTTCAACGGTGACCTCTTTCCTCATTTTATTCGCATGCTCTGCGGGTGCCAGGTTCCTGAAAAGCATAATCTGTGGCTTGTTTTGCCGCTTGGAATCCAAGCAGACCATACAGGGATTATCGAGTCCTGTAGCAGTATGTGCTTGCAGCACTCACGTCTCCTGCTAGGATTCTATAAGAGTTCCCCCGATCGGTAAATACAAGTCGGGGACTCCTCAGCATATTTGTTCGAATGGAATATCCATTGCTTTACTATTCTATGTCACAACCAGTATCATCGATTCGCTTTCTATAACTCCCCCACGCTGTGTTGCACAAGCATAAGCGAATGCCTTAATAATCATGGCTCAAACACAAACAATGCTTTATAGCCAGCTGCTCGAACACCATCGTACATCCAGTGAGTTTCGCCCTTCCGTCTGAATACCGATCGCTTATAAGCAGCTGCTGACAGATTAGATCGAGGGCACAGAAACCATGCCGTACCGTCTCCGGGTCCAGACGAGGTGTTGGTCAGCTTGAAATTCTCGGGCCTCTGTCACTCCTCCCTTCATTCATGGAAAGGTGGGCTTGCCTTATTCGGACTGAGAACATGTATACCAGGTTCTGACTGGCTTAGGAAATTTGTCTACTAGGAAACGAAATTGTGTTGGTGAGTAGGCCTGTAACTGGAGGTCTTTGGTCTCGGTACACTGACATCAAGACAATTAAAGATGGCCACGAGGGCACAGGCATCATTACAGCTATCGGAAATGAGGTGAATGGTCTTAGAGTGGGTGATCATGTCGGGGTACAGGTAATTCAGATCTCTTCCTTTTTATTTAACCCTCTTTTAACCATCTCTCAGTGGATCAATAAAACCTGCGGAATCTGTGACGCAGATAAACGGTCAGATTTTGCCTCGTGTCCACACGCTCGGATGACGGGGTACTCAGTTGATGGGACCTTTGATGAATATTGTACCATTCAAGCATGTCATGCTGTGCGCATTCCGAAACAGTTTCCCCTTGACACTGTGGCCCCGGTAAGTTGACGACATGTCTCTCAGCATGTGGAGCTTCGCTGATAAGGTCAGATAATCTGCGCCGGAACTACATGCTTCAGGGCTGTACAGGAGAGTGGTGCAGAGGCGGGTGATACTGTGGGTAAGTCCGTCTAGGCCAGAGTAGCATGATCATGGCATTGATCCGATGCAGCTATCGTCGGGCCCCCAGGTGGGCTAGGGTCATTGACTTGCCAATATGCCAAGGCCCGTGGCTGTCGAGTCCTGGCCATATCTAGTGGAGAGGATAGTGAGCTTCTTTACAAGCAGAAAATTGGTGTTGATTTCTACGAGGATTACCGAAGCCCTAAGAATGTCGCCGCTGAAGTCCAAGGGATTACCGGTGGTGGACCGGATGCTGCCATTTTGATAGAGGGGACCGAGACGCTCCTCAAGAGCGCACTTCAGGTTAGTTTACCTATGACTTTGTTGAGAGTGTTCTGACGAATCTAGTACGTGCGACCCAGAGGAACGGTGGTTGTTGTGGGTTTGCCTCCAGGCGCTCCAGTCGGCATGGATCTGTCGAATTTGATGTCGAAGATGGCGCATATCAAAGTTTCTCCTGTTGGAGGAACTCGAGAGCAAATAGAAGAGGCTATGCATATTCTCATAAAGGAGAGGTTCTACCAGCCATGTCACGTTCTGGGCCTTGACCAACTTCCTCAAACCCTCAAAATCATGCAGAGAGACAATCCTAAGGAGATCTCCCCTGAGGCGACTTTGGCCTATGGTGGCCAATTGCTCGGTGAGGCGGTCATTAAAATACCTGATTCAGAAATTATTCCCATGCATCAAAAGCCAGTCGAGCCACCAAAACCTCAACCAACCTTCTACCAAAAGAACTACAACATTGGTACCTTCTTAGCCTACCGGATGGAGGAGCTTGGCATCTGCGAGTATTTTGTTGTACCCGGTGAATATTGGACTCCACATCTTCCAACACTTTTCACTAACAAACCACAGGGGACTCCAATCTTTTCCTTTTGGATAACCTCCTGAAGAACCCCAACCTTCGCATGGTGGGATGTTGCAACGAGCTAAACGCCGGCTATGCTGCAGATGGGTACGCTCGCCTTTCACCAACCCGAATTGCAGTTGTTGTGGTACCCTACATTGTAGGCAGCCTGTCTGTTCTCAATGCCGTATCAGGGGCCTGTTCGCAAAATATCAAATTGATTGTCCTCGCTGGCTGCCCAGCCACGAATCTGCTCGATAGCGGCAAGTTCTTGCATCATACCCCTACTACGAGGAACAAAGATCAAGGTCTCCAAGCATTCCAAGGGGTCACGGCTACATCTGTCCGCTTAGAGTCCGCGGAGACCGCTGTGGATGTGTTGGATGAGACTATAGGCAAATGCCTTGACTCATCTCTGCCGGTCTATATTGAGGTGCCCAATGATCTTGCTTCTGCTGCTTGTGCCCATCCGTCGCCACTGGGCAGGAAGGTTGGCGCGAGAAGTGACCCACATATGTTGAAAGAGGCCGTGGATACAATTACAGATATTTGGAACTCATCTCACAAGCCCGTGCTTATACTTGGAAGCTTCGCACGTCGATCCCTCTATCATGATCATGTCGAACTCCTAGCCGACAAGCTTGGATGTGCGGTTCTTTGTCAACCGGATGGCCGTTGCATCAAAGAGTCCCACCCACAATACTGTGGTCAGTTCTGGGCCGGAATGACAAACCCTGAAGGCGAGCATTTTGTTATGGACTCAGACCTTTGGCTCGTCATCGGAGGAAACTGGTCCGAACTCCATACCCTTAGGGCGGATGTTAACCAAGAAAAGCACCGCATGATCAGCGTGGGCAAAGACTGGGTTGAACTACCCGATGGAAGGTGCATTGAGCCTGTGAAAATTCGTACACTGGTGGCGCATCTGATTCAGTCCGACATGGATTCGAAGAACGAATCTGTCCCTCGACCGAAGCCGGTACTTGGCTGTTTGCCTCCTGATGGGCCAGAAAACTTACAAGCACCCGTGACTCTGAAGAGCGTCATGAGCGGTATCCAAGAGCTTATTAAAGAGTACGATACATTGCTCTGTGATGCAGGAGAATCTTGGTTTGTCGCCAATCATATTCTACTGCCTCCTGGAGCAGACTGTCAGATTCAATTTCCTTACTGCTCAATTGGATGGGCATTGCCGGCTGGATTTGGGGCTCAGCTTGGTCGCACGCGGGGTCGATCAATCATCCTCATCGGGGATGGGGGATTTCAGATGACGGCACAAGAACTCAGTACCATGATCTATCAGAAGGTGAACCCGGTCATCTTTGTGTTTAATAATTTGGGGTACAAGATCGAGGTAAGCAAGCTACAGGGCATTTTAGGACTTCTGCTTATAATAGAACCCAGACTGCTGTCCATGATGGGCCGTATAACTACATTGCCAACTGGGATTACGCCAAATTGGCTAGTGTTCTCTCTGCAAAACCACATTCTCCATCTCATAATCCATATGCTAGGGAGGCAGAGGACGAACTAGAGGGAAATTCCCTGATGTTTTCTATGCAGGTCAGGACACGCGAGGATCTGAAACTAGTCCTGAACAGAGTGGATGAGGAGCCCGATAAGCTCGCCTTTATAGAACTTTGTATCCAGCCTGATGACAAGACTAGCGAGCTTGAACAGCTTGGAAACATGGTTGCAAAGCAGTATACAAAAGAGCAATCAGAAACAGAGAGTCCTGCCACAGAAACAGACAAGGAAACGAAGGCTGATCCCAAAGATGTCCCGAGTTATTATTCTGGAATATCATCCGCCTGCTTCGAGAAAAGCGTCCCGAAACGTCCAAATAAGGCCCCCGTGCCTCTATCACATGAAATTGACGGAGAAAATGATCACAAGGACCTTCTCGCTTCACGCCTTAGCATCACGTTCTCGTCAGACCCCAAGCCACTACCGGCTCCAGACACCCCCGAGGCTGCGCCTTATAGAGCCTGTACAGACCATATGATACAGGCCCGGTGGACTGCAGAGAAAGGCTGGGAAAGCCCAGGCCTTGTCCCCTACGGTTCTCTTCCCATATCGCCCATTGCAAGTACGCTCCATTACTCTACGCAGTGCTTTGAAGGAATGAAGGTCTATCGGGGTTACGACGGCAAACTGCGACTTTTCCGACCAACCCTCAACTGCGAACGTATGTTATCTTCTGCCGAGCGTATTTGCTTACCCCGATTCGATCCCCACGAACTCCTCCTTTTGATTCACGCGATCTGTGCTGTCGAAGCCCCAAAATGGCTAGCAGAAGACCGAGCAGGTCAGTGCCTGTACATCCGGCCTGCCTTCCTCGGTACGAGCGAGGGCTTAGGCCTGAATACTCCACAGGAAGCTCTTCTGTACATTGTGCTTTCATATGCGCTCAGCCCGTCTGCCGGCCCATCTAGCACACCAAAGGCCCTGCGCCTCTGGTCCAGCACCGAAAATATGGTCCGAGCCTGGCCCGGAGGAACCGGACATGTGAAGGTTGGCGCCAACTACGGCCCATCTGTCCCTGCGCAGAACAAAGCCCACAAGCTGGGCTACGACCAAGTCTTATGGCTCTTTGGTCAAGATCGCCAGGTCACAGAATCAGGAGCTGCCAATTTCTTCGTGATCTGGGAGACCATAGATGGAAGACTACAGCTGGTGACTGCTCCTCTCCAAGACCAGCTTGTCCTTCCCGGTGTGACACGTCGCAGTATCTTGGAATTAGCCCGGGAGAGGCTCTCCGATGGGCCGCTTCAGGTTGACACGGACGACGGGTCGAGCCAGACCGTGGATCCTTTGGAGGTGGTGGAGGAGCGGTTCACCATCAATGATATTATTGATGCAGCTAATCAAGGGAGACTCCGCGAGGCGTTCTCAGCTGGGACTGCATATTTCATTGCTCCTATTTCTTGTATTGCGCATGGTACGCATGAGGTGGATATTCCGGTTGACTCTGTGCCGTATGTCTCTGTGCTGCGACAATGGTTGTCGGATATCATGTATGGGAAGGAGAAAAGTCCGTGGACGGAGGTAGTCGAGGAATACGTTGCTTGATACAGTCGACAGGATGGGATCTGTTCTGGAAAGAAGTTAGTCTTCTATATCTTTTGCTTCAGGTGTGATGTCTGTGGTCTATAGTGTACAGGTAGATATCATATAGGTACCATTCTTCAAAATGGACTTATCTGGCCCGATATCAAGCATGTAACTAAGTATCTCAATTTAACGGTACTTTCAGAGCCATCTCATGAAGAATCGTTACAGGCAATACAATTAACCCCTCCACCAGGAACATTCCATCCCGTGCAAGTAGCATCAACGGCACGTGATAAACACTCACTCTGGCCTGTTTGTCAAGTCACCAAAAACGAAGCTTTTCGTGATTCACTGCAGTCTTATAAGCGAGATGAGCACACAACCACGTACCCCTGTCCTGGCCTTGTTGACAGATCTTCGCGTGTCTGTTTCTCTCTCTTTCTCTCTCTCTCTCTCTCTTCTTCTCTATCACCTTTGCGTTCTGTGCCTTATTTGTTTCGAAAACATCACTCTCAGTCACGTTCAAGTTAAGCTTGCTTCTCTACCACTCATCCACCTGTTCCTTTGCAGATCTGTATCCCCATCGTGTATCATCCAACCATGGCGCACAATTCGTATCCCGGGGCTATTCTGTGCGAAACGGCGTTATCTCCTAATTCTCCGCCCGTTGACGCTGAGAAGGCCTGCACCAATCTGTGCGCATTTCATCGCCTTGAAAGTTCCAAGGAACCGTACTTCGTGAAGGAAGTTCTGCGTGACGTGCATAAGCAGATGAAGGAGCGTAAGGCCGGCGAAGTCATCACGATTAAGACGCTGGATGGCTTGCTTGTGGACTTTAAGGTCCGGACGGGTGAAATTCTGGATATTAGTGAGGGTGTGGCTTGGATTGCGTATTGTCCCTTCTCTTCTTTCTCAGCGGGATGATTCATGATTCAGACTGACGGTTTGTCCAGAGGAAAAACGTATATCGAGTACGTCCCCATTCACACTCTCGCAAGCAATGAAGCCCACGGCCCCTATCTCGGATACTGCAACCTGCTTATCATACATCGTCTTCGTTTCCGTGCCGTTCGATCCGGAGAATATCTCCACGAGCCCGTCCTTCCTCCCTTTGAGGCTTGTCTCGCGGAATTCTTCTCTTTCCGGCAGGTCTGGGAGGCGAGCGATACTCACAAACAAATCCGGGCTACGCTAGAAGCTCTCCCGGCTATTGCCACGCCCATTACCAAGATCATCGGCTTCGCTTGCAACAGCTTGGCTAATCCCCAGGGATGTATGCGTGAGAAGCAGAGAGTTGCGTTCCAGCATGCCCTTCTCTTGACGCTCAAGGATCACCTGGATACGAAGACCGGGAACCCCGATATTAAGATCTTGGTGCAGGACCCGGCGTATACGGAGGCGGATATTGCAATGCTCACGCATCTCGGTATGACTGTTGTTGAGGACCCGGTGGGGTTCGTTGAGGTCGATGAGCAGTCGTTTGTCTTTGCGTGTAGTCCAACTGTCCCCGCTAGACAGATCGTTATGGATATGGCTATGCCGGCGGGGATGGTTTGGAATAAGGTGTTGGCTGAGGCGGTTATCTTTGATGTGTGAGTTATCCCTCCTCCATCCCTCCCGATGTGCATTTCTTGTGTGGTTTGTTCTCTTTGTTTGTGTTGTTGTTGGGTAAGTCTGAGATACTGATGCTGATGCTTAATAGCTCCGATCCCTGGAACCTCTCTGTTCACCGCTGCATCAACCGCTACTACGACACCCACGCACTCCCAGAGGATCGCAAGCACTTCGCGCTCATGGCACTTTATGTGCGCCGCGTTGAGGGCGAGGTGTCCGCCGAGGTGTACGCAATAAGGGACCTGGAAGTTCTCATCACCGTTCGAAACTACGGGCAGTATGCGGACCAGATGCGATTGAAGGCAGAGACCATGTATGAGTTGCTCTGTAAGGTGGACCGGTTTGAATAGGCGGTGCTGCTAGCTAGCCGGTAAGTAGATAGCCTCTGCCCGATCAGACGAGTTATGGGAACTGACTTTGAAGAAAGGTGACTTGGGCTCTCACTGGAGATGCTGCGTGATGACTTGATGAATGTTGGGGGCGTTTCGTTGTTATTCAAAGTAGGATCAGAACTAGACGCGGATATGTATTTCGTTCGGAGATGGAGATGGAAGGGAAATCCATCGATTCCATCTTCATCTCCTATTTCGTGATCCTCTCCTTTGTCTCCTCTGTTGAAATTAAGTGAGAATGTACGAGCTCACTCTAATTTGTACTCTAAAGACAAAAAAAGACAAAATCCCAAGGTAACACAAAGGTTGAACCCCTAAAGCTTAATCGTACCAACCTGGCCGGAGCGGTGGAGACAAGGCAGACAAGGAACGAGAAATGTCGGGTGTAAGCCATAGTAAGAAGATCCCCACATCCAACAGGTGTCCCTGTGGCCAAGTGGTTAAGGCATAGTGCTTATGGTTCTATCATACAGGAATCACTGAGATCGGCGGTTCGACCCCGCCCAGGGACAATCTTCTTTTTGGTTTTTTTTCGCCTACTGCCCCTAATCACTTCTTCTATGTTTCCTTTGTCTTTCCTTTTCATTCTAAAGTGCTTTTGAGGTCTGGACTGGTCTTTTCGGAGGTGGTTCTCCGGTGTTTCCTCGGGTTATCTCACACCGATCACTACTCTTTTCTTGCATCCTGCAGGATGGCAGCGAAACCGGCGGCCGTTTTACGCCAAGACACTCTTGGCATTCATGGCGGCCTGCCGTCCGTTGAACAGCTCCCCCGTACCTACGGAGAAAGTCTACAGTTTACTCAGACGAATTGAATCCTAAAAATGCAATATTGGTTCAGGAAGATCATCATAAACGACTCAAATATCCTACAAAGACCAATTTCCGTTCCTTCCGCTTAGTCAACTCATACTGGCAGCTCTACTCCCCCTCTCGATCCTCGGGGTGAAATGTCCCCTGTGCAGAAATGCAGGAACCAGGCAGGCAGCAGCGGATCCAGTCCTACCCCGGAATGACGTGCCACCTCCGATGTTAGACGAATCGTGCGCGGTTATCCGCTGACTCATTAGATAGGCACGTTTCAATGCCGAATTGACGACCCGGACCTTTCTGCCCTGGAAGATCGTCGGTGATCGGCATCGGAGGTCATGGGCTCTTCAAGCTTCTCGTTCACATTTACAGCTGGTCTCGGGGGAAAAGTGAGCACTCGAAGGTTCATTCATGATGGTGTCTGGGCAGATTCTATCTGAGATTGGGTTATATGCAACCATCAAGCAATGTATACCGGCAGTTGGTCTCTACCTATGACGGCTTTTCCGCCAAGATAGCTCCTCCTAGCCTGAAGAATTCCTGCAGTGGACCTGTTGATCCTTACCCTCTTCCCTCTCTCGGGATATCCGATCCACGGCGTTCCTCATGACCGGACTGGGCCGGTGACAGGAATCGGGGATTTTCTGCCTATAGCTTCATGGATAGTCCGGGTCGCTGCGGCCAGCAAATAGTAGACGGTCATGAAGTCGGAATCTTTTTGCTTGTCAACGTAACATCGTTGATGATCCGGAAATCCCGGGTCCATCGGACATCGTTGTCCCTGAGAGGGGTATAAAAAGGGTATAAATGGCAGAATAATGCCAACGACAGCCCTATCAGCAATCAGCAGAGATCTAATCACGATCTGAAGCATCGTCATCATGCGTTCTCTTCTTCTTTCCTCACTTTTGACCCTCACCTCTGCTCTCTCCCTCGAAGACCTCTACGTCTCCGAGGCCCCCTCCTCCCCTCGCCCCTATATCCTTCCTCACTATGAGAACTCCCACGCAGTGACCATTGACTCCCAGCTGTATCGATTCACCGTCACGGGCCCATCATCCGACTATGCTTTCACACTGATGAGCACCAACGCGCCCTCGAGTGGCTCGCTCGGCGTCCTCCCGCACATCCACCGCACGCATTATGAGAACTTCTTCAGTTTCAAGGGACGGTTCCAGCTGTGGGCCCAACATGGGGACGGCGAACAAGAAGCCCGTCTCCTAACACAGGGCGACTTTGGCTCCGTGCCTCGAAACACCACACACACCTTCCAGATCCTCGATCCCGATACGGAGATGGTCGGGATCATCGTTCCCGGTGGATTCGAGTACGTCGCTCTTCCCTCCCTGTCTCACATATCAGTCATAGTAACCAAACGGAACAAACAATAGGGATCTCTTCTACGCTCTCGGAACCAACTACACGTCCGGTACCGATACCCCATACGTCCCTGGCTCCGGCAACTCGTCCTCTTCCTCCGCCACCGGCCCCGACAGCAGCACCATCTCCAACCTGCAACAATACGACGTCTACGCACAACTGGACTTTACTCCCCGTCGGGACCTGGTAAATGGCTCCGCTCCCTCCGACTCGGGCTGGCACACGGAGTCCAACACGCTGGGCGAGCCCACCAAACCGTACTTTATCGCCAACAACTACGGCCCCAAGTACCTCAACTCCCAGTACGGGGCGTACCAGATCGTGCAGCCACTGGTAACGGCCACCCAAGCACAAGATACGAATTATACCCTGTCGACGATCATCCTGAGTCGACAGCAAACAAGCATAACAGCTCCGACCTGGAACGCAACGTCCGGCCCCGTGGCATTCGAAGTACTGGAAGGGTCGGTGCAGGTGCAGATCGGGGGATATCCGACCGCGAGGCTGGAGATGGGTGATGTGGCGTTTGTTCCGGCGGGAGTGGCGTATCGGTACTGGAACGAGGCGGCGTATGCGAAGGTGTTGTATGTTAGCTCGGGCAACGAAGGGGTAGATGGGAAATTGATAACGGGAGGGAAGACATGGGCGGATCCGGTATGGCCCAAGTACTAGATCATTAGACGGGATCTGAGCGATAGACTACCCAGCTAGATGGATATAGAATAGAGTACAAATATGTGGTTCTGGTTTCTCGGTTTTGTTTCAGGCTGGGCGACGACGCGTCGGTGTGATGGAGCTGCAGGACCAAGACACCGGCTGCGGGGGTGGCCTTGGCTCGATGGTCTGATTCAAGCTGTCATGTAAGGAGCCGTTAAGTTATTTATAGGGGGGCTGCTGGGTGGAGTGCATACTGGGTGTACGAGGTGCTCGTGCTAGCGAGCCAATGCCCGTGGATGCATTGGTCGTACATGTCTGGGCTTGGCATGAGTCGAAAGTACCACCTGCAAGCTTGATCCTGGTCCCTGTTGCGGAGCAGCAAGGGGAGAACTGAGTTGTTGCTAGTGGGAACCTAAATCCCGTCGCGGTATCCCAGCTGTAAACAGTCCCATCCACGATCACACTGCCTCACATAGACGACGTCACGTCATCAGGAGATGTCGATCTTCGTTGCCCGATGGATGAGCCAAGCATGTCCTGGCCATCCAGACCTCCGGATTACCAAGCCTCCCGCCAGTCAGCGTCCGCCTCTCCCCGCCAAGCCTACACCGGCATGATCTGGACCCCCCGGCCAATGATCGGCCGTGTTGACTACAGTTCGATACTGTATGTACACACAGTGGACCGTGGTTCCTTACCGAAACGCGGGTATCCTGATGTATAAGCCGCAGTATGTGGTGGTGAAAGTCGGTACATACCGGCCCCCCCTGTCAGCGGGACGATACCCAGGTAAGACAAACAATACCGACGTTCACTGCCTGGCCGCTTTATAGTCTCCCTCCTCCCCTCCCCCTCCCTTCCCATCTTTCTTTCACGCCAATTGCCTCACTTGTCGAGTTCTAATTCTCTCATCCCTTCCCCACGCGCGCGACCATGCGTCTCATCGGTCTCGTCGGCCTCATTGGCCTCGCCAATGCGGTCTGTCCTTACATGACCGGCGAACTCCGTCGTCGCGACGACTCCGATGCCTCAGAAGCCACCGAAGAATTCCTCTCGCAGTACTACCTTAGTGACAACAACACCTACCTGACCTCCGACGTGGGCGGCCCCATCGAGGACCAGAACAGTTTGAGTGCCGGGGAGCGTGGTCCCACCCTGCTCGAGGACTTTATCTTCCGCCAGAAGATCCAGCGCTTCGATCATGAGCGGGTAAGTCTCTCTTTTCATTCTACTTTCTCTACTAACTGTGCAGGTCCCCGAACGTGCCGTGCACGCCCGTGGTGCCGGTGCTCACGGTGTCTTCATCTCCTACGGTGACTTTTCCAACATCACAGCCGCCTCTTTCCTAGCCAAGGAGGGCAAAGAAACCCCCATGTTTGTGCGATTCTCGACTGTCGCTGGGAGCCGTGGCAGCACCGATCTGGCCCGGGATGTACACGGTTTTGCGAGTCGTTTCTACACGGACGAGGGTAACTTTGGTAAGCTCCCATTTCTACCCTTCACTGCGAACCGATTCTAATGGTTCAGACCTCGTCGGAAACAACATCCCCGTGTTCTTCATCCAGGATGCGATCCAATTCCCCGATCTGATCCACGCGGTCAAGCCCAGTGGCGATAACGAGATCCCTCAAGCTGCCACCGCTCATGATTCGGCCTGGGACTTCTTCAGTCAGCAGCCCAGCGCCATGCATACTCTGTTCTGGGCCATGGCCGGACACGGTATCCCGCGCTCTTTCCGTCACGTTGATGGCTTTGGTGTGCATACCTACCGGCTCGTGACGGACAGCGGTGCGTCGAAGCTGGTTAAGTTCCATTGGAAGTCGCTGCAGGGCAAGGCCAGCATGGTCTGGGAGGAGGCTCAGCAGGTGTCTGGCAAGAATGCGGACTTTATGCGCCAGGATCTGTGGGAGGCCATTGAGGCGGAACGGTACCCTGAGTGGGAGGTGCGTATCTGCTTTTCAACAGAAGATCGAAGTAAAATTGAAACTAACGTGTACAGCTCGGTGTGCAAATCATGAGCGAAGAAGACCAGCTGCGTTTCGGCTTCGACCTGCTTGATCCCACCAAGATCGTGCCCGAGGAGTACGTCCCCATCACGAAGCTGGGCAAGATGACCCTGAACCGCAACCCGCGCAACTACTTTGCGGAAACTGAGCAGGTCATGGTGCGTCCCCCCCCTCCCATGTTGTCTACGTGAGAGTTCTAACATCAAGCTAACCTTCACAGTTCCAACCCGGCCACATCGTCCGCGGCGTCGACTTCACGGACGACCCCCTCCTGCAAGGCCGTCTGTTCTCCTACCTAGATACCCAGTTGAACCGCCACGGCGGCCCCAACTTCGAGCAGCTGCCCATTAACCAGCCTCGAGTCCCCATCCACAACAACAACCGCGACGGCGCTGGTAAGACCCCTCTCCTCAGCATTAAGTAAACACCCACTGACCAACCTCCAGGCCAAATGTACATCCCACTCAATCCAAACGCCTACTCGCCCAACACCCTCAACTCTGCCTCCCCCAAACAAGCCAACCAAACCACAGGCAACGGCTTCTTCACCTCCCCCGGACGAACCACCTCCGGCCACCTCCTACGCAGCACCTCCCCCACCTTCCAAGACGTCTGGTCCCAACCCCGCCTCTTCTACAACTCCCTCGTCCCCGCGGAACAACAATTCCTCATCGACGCCATCCGCTTCGAAACCAGCAACGTCAAATCCCCCATCGTCCGCCAAAACGTCATCCTCCAACTCAACCGCATCTCCAACGACCTAGCCCGTCGTGTCGCCCGCGCCATCGACATCCCCCTCCCCTCCCCAGACCCAACCTACTACCACAACAACAAAACCACCGACGTCGGCACCTTCGGATCCAAACTCAAGAAACTCTCCGGCCTGAAACTCGGCTTCCTTGCCTCCGTCCAAACCCCCACCTCCATCACCGCCGCAAAAACCCTCGCATCTGACCTCACCAACGACGAAGTCGACGTGCTCGTCGTCGCGGAACGTCTCACCGACGGCGTCGACCAGACATACTCCGCTTCCGACGCGATTCAATTCGACGCCGTGATTATCGCCCCCGGCGCGGAGGGCCTCTTCGCCTCTGGTTCTCTAACTGCACCCCAGCGCAGCGCGAACTCCACCGCCGTGAGCACATTGTATCCTGCTGGCCGACCGCTACAGATCCTCGTCGATGCATTCCGGTTCGGAAAGACAGTCGGTGCAGTGGGTAGTGGGAAAGTCGCGTTACGGAATGCCGGGATCGAGAGTGATCGAGAGGGCGTGGTCCTGGGACAGAGTGTCGATGAGGAGTTCGTGGACGAGGTCAGGGAGGGATTGAGAACGTTCAAGTTCTTGGATCGGTTTGCGCTGGATGAGAATTGATTGAGCTTCGGCTTTTTGCTTTGTGGTTTGCTGTTCAGGTGTGACAGCAGCGAATGATTACCGGGGTTGGTTGTCTTCTTGTACTTATTATTATTAGCGAGCATACATAACTTACATGACCTCGCTGGGCTGCATCGGGCCGGTCTTGACTGACTGCTTTGGTGTGGCTAGTGGCGAGGAATAATCGATTATGAATTCAAGAATTATGTAATATTGATTAATTATGTACCTCTGCAACAGAGATTGCAATAAGAATAATTATGATACAGGAATCTATCTCAAGGATGGAGCAGGTCAGTGGATTAGCTGTATCGAGCCAAAGTGGCCTTGCTTCTCGCACTCATCTTCCGCCGGGTCTGTGCCACCGAGCTGGAAGTGCTGTTCGTCTGGCCCAGAATGACCCACTCGGCCACCGTAGCGCCGACACCAGATTCATTGTCGCCCTGGTTGCCTGCGATCAGAAGTGTGGCGTACTGGGCTTTCTGGACCGGAGCGTCCAGGGTGATGGTGGTGGTGTTGCCAGTGGGGATGGAGACGGTGTTCAGCTCCTCAGCAGAGCTGGCGTCGTATGGCTTGGACGGGACGATGTTGGACATCCTCGTCACTACCCGGTATCCGGTTGAGTTGGAGGTGGCAGCAAACAGCGTGGAGGGATTTGAGATGGGAGAATCGTGGAAGATGATGCTCAGATTCTGGGGTGGGGCCTGAGACCAGTCAAAGTAGAAGCCGGTGACCGCCTCCGCTTGCGGGTTGGTGGTCGTGGACAAGGTGACTGTCAAGGAAGACAGATTTGACGTCGACGGCTGCCATTTGGTGGATGTGGCGCCATCCACGGCAGAGATGGGGAACTGGCCTGGTTCGTAGTCATCCGGCGAGTAGACAGGGTGACACTGAACTTGGTTACCGGGAGTTGTGTTGACGGACCCAATCATGCGGTTGGGAACGGTCAGTGTCCCTGAGACGGGCAGCTCGTATGTCGTTGTCTCATTTGCACTCGCGTTGGACTGGCCGACCTGGACCTTGATGCTGGCAGCGGCGAAAAGGAGATCTGCGCTCACCAGTGGTGCAGGAGACGACACCCGCTGGAGTGTGGTGTGTGTGTAGTTGGACCACGCAGAGATCGGCCAGCCATGCCAGTAGAATGTCCGGTACGTGATGTGAGGGATTTGAGGCGGCAGGTTGGGGTCGATGTAGAGGGTGTCATCCGGGTGGAGACGGAGACCGAGGTACCCATAGAGGGCGACCTGGTTTGCACCACCGTGGCCGGTCAAGAAGGGAAACGCCGGGTGAGTGCCACCATTGATGCTGGCATCGTCGATCAGTTGCTCGGACAGCTGGTACCACGGGCCGCGTGCATAAGGAGCGTAGGAGTATTGATGATAGGTGTAAGCAGAGCAGCCGGACGGGGAGACATCACTGGCGACAATTGAGAAGATAGCATATGTCATGGCTGGTCCGTCTGCGGATTGCTTGTTTGCATACTGCTATTGTTAGAATGCACTCCGCATACACACAGGCAGGTCACTTACGTAGTCCAGATCGGTCAACGAATTCTCGGCCGTGTAGTTGTCCGACTCGAAGTTCAGGGGGAAAGTGTCGAGTACAACATCGGCCTGCTTGACAACAGTGGACCCATTCATCGTGGTATATTCCAGAGTCACGTCGTTCTCGCGAAGGATGAGGATATTTTCTGCAATCTCCTCCCAAGTCTCATTCGGCTCCAGGCCAAACTGCTTGCGGAACTTGTTGGCGTTCTGCAAAGTTTCGGCAATCAACGGCATCGTGTAAGCGCCGGCATCGATGGCATTGGCATACTCATCCTACAGAGGTCAGTGAGGTCATTAACTGGCGCGAGTTACCCACCGGATCGGTCATGTTAGTCAACGTCCAGGACGAGCCATTACGCTCCACCAATTCCGAGTAAAGGATGGCTACGGAGTCATAGATTGGGAACAGATAGTTCTGGAACCATAGCGTGTCGCCGCTGGCAACCAATTGGTTGATTATCGCCAGGCCAATATCACCGTTCAGATGATATTGATAGTCCCAGCACGGTCCGGTTGCGGTGCAGTTTCCGAATCGGCCGCTGGTCCAGGGGTAGATCGCCGCGGAAGAGCTAAACGAGGTATCGTTCTTTGAGCCTGTGAATGCAGTTTCGATGTTTGCCTGGGCTTGATAGTGCAAAGCGATGCGGTAGTTGGTGAACCGCATGGCAGACTCCGGGTGGGACGCGACAAGACCAGGCTGCATCCAGAGATCCGCATCCCAGAAGATCTGTCCAGCATACGAATCGGATGTAAGTCCGCCAACAGCGCAACTGTCAACATTCACGGGAATTCCAGCCGCGACGACCGCATTGTTTCCTGCGGTGTTCTGCAGAATAAAGTAGGTGTTCGTGACAGCGATGATCGCCGAGTCGATGATGTGGCTGTCGTCCGGCAGCTTGCCGGTTGCCGGGTCCGTGAATCGGTCGACTGAGGATTCGTGCAAGATCCCGGCCCACTCTGTGACATGCGACTGCAGCGAGTTGGTGTAGCCTTCGGCCAGTCCAGCCAAATAGGCAGCCTTGGCTGTTTCCTGTGTAAGGAGAAAGTAGTCCGTTGTAGCGCCACCAACAAACTTGGTGATCCGGACAGTCTCATTCGCAGTAAACGTGACGTCGACTGCCTGTGCGATAGATGAGGCATTGGTGTGCACATAAGGCTTGCCAGTGACGATTCTACGCGAAGACAAGTCGACATTGTCAGAGCCACTCAAGCCCGCGTAGATGTAGGCCGTGACGTTGTTGACACCCCAAGGGCGCACGGCGCTGAAAATGGCACCGTCGTCCTCTCCAGATGCGACAAAATCCGTACGGACAGCCGCATAGCCATCCAGCACGTTGACCACCGTAGCATTGCCGCTCGTCAAGGGGGTAATTTCCATATCCACCACGGCTCGGTTCACGTACAGCTTGTGCGCGAAGAGTCGGTAGACAATTGCATAGGAGCCTTTGCCTTCAGGTGTCCAGGTATACGACCAAGACAGCACGCCCGACTTGAAGTCGTAGGTGGACTCGAAATCTGAGATGGTGCTGTTATCCACTTCGGCGTCGAGGTATGTGTCATCTCCCAGGTCAAGAATCAAGCCACTCCAGTGCGGAACACCACTGATCACGCTGTCGTCACCGTACTGAGAGAGCCAAGGGAAGTTAGATCCGTTGGTCGTGGGCTGTCTGTCCCAGAATCCAGAAATGGTTGCGAAACTCTGGCGTCGGGAGTAAAGGGGCCAGCCAGAAATGACATCACCATTGACAGGAGTGTCAAGCTCGAAGAATGGACCAATATTGGCAACATTGATTCCCAGGTAGCCATTTGCAACCGAGCCACGCGATTGGTAGTGGCCCTGGTCCGGGATGGTGGTGGTGAGCAGCCAGTTGTCGTCATCCCAGGTCACGCCGGAGAATTTGGTCGGATAGACATTGGTCGAATTGGCCGTCTGGGCCACATCGCGCCCAAGGTGCCTCCGCAGGGAAGCCGACACGCGCTCATTTGTGCCTCCCAGAGCGTCCACCGCAGGAAGACGCAGCAAAAGTGGCAACACAGTTGCCAAAAACTGCCATTGTCAGTAAGCCACGCCCTTGGGGTCAGGATGGGAGCATACCTTGACTTGCATCTTGCAATGGCCAAAAGCTGTGCGGTAACCTTATCCGCTCGAGGAGTCCAGGACGGGGGTAGGAGATATAAATAAGAATCGCGTGCGAGGCGAGATCCGATCGGAGTTTTGAGCTGCAGTAGCCGGTCCACCTCGTGTCCAAGACAGGGAATGCCAAGGGCGATCGGGGAAATGAAAGAGAGACAGGTCGATGCAGGAGATTAAATATCTGCCCCTTGAATTTTTGTGTGTGTGTCCTGGATGACGGATTACCCCGCGGGAGACGAGGAACGAACCGAGGGAATCGTCATGCTGTCACCGTGCTCAGGGCCAGCCATTCCTACTCGACAGCGTCATTTTGTGGGGTATGGAAGGCCCTGGTGGCAGCCTGAGCCGAAAGTCCGGGGATTCCGCGATGGCCAAGGGGTCGGTGCCACGGGCAAGACATGGCGGAGGGATGTGATTGGGTGGATGTATGGTCGGCGAGGGAACAAAGGAAGGTAATGGAACCCAAGGAGTAAACCCAAGATCGAGAACCAAGGTCGGGCACGAGCTGGATGAATGTGAAGGTGTGATGATGATGAGTGAATGATGGCGGGAGGAAAGGAGGTGCAACCCGCCATTCCACCACCTGTGCCTGGCAGCCTTGCTGCCTGAGGCATTGTAGCTGCCTACCATCCCATCCTGGGAGTAAGGATGCCTCCCACACAACCATCCATTACACGAGGTATTAAACTAAGGATTACACTCAACTTCAAATTTTATCTTTTCTCAAGCACCGTATAACACTGCATCCTTCACTTAGTCATACCAGACATGAAACCCCCCTTTCTCACCGTGGCCATCTACCAACCCCGTTACGGCAACTTCCAGCACTGGGCCCTCCATCTCCACTCCAACACCGAGGACCTCATCTTCGAAGTCGATGGCGAGCATCCCTATTTCGAGAAGTTTGCAACCCGCGGCATCCCCTCGGACAACTTGACCTTCATCGAATCCGTGTTTGTGTGCCAGATCGGCAGCCCGGATATCCCGACCGTCAAGGCCGTCGTTGACGCCACGCTGGTGGATAATGATACTCTCGAGTGGGACTGTCAGGACTACGTGCTGGATATTCTAGAGGGCTGCGAGGAAGAGGCCGTGTTGGATGAAGAGGATGCAGATTATGTAGAGGCGATGGAGATCCTGCGGAGTAGGCGGGGGCCAATCCTTTAGTTGCTGATAAGACGGGAGATTTGCTACGGGATGGAGTACATCGATAAGAATGCCCAACGAACGGGTGAATGGGGATTGAAAGGCGACAGGTATCAGTCGGAACTCCTCCCGACTCGGATGCACGAGCCGAAAGTGTATATTAACAGGTTATCTCTGGATAGTGCTGTTCGCGTTCATTGGTATTCATCAAATCATAATCATACGGAATCACCGTCACAGCACAGCCCCTCCACCCAGTCTCCTCCAGGCCTCTTCCCGCAGCGCCCGTGCCGTATCTCTGGTCCGCTCCATCGCCGACTGGTTCTCGACAGCCCTCCGCAACAAGAAATGCAGACACTCCTCCGTTGATCCCCACGCCAAACACTTGAACACTCCGGGCACCTCCCCCTCGGCCGACCCTGCCACCATGCCCAAGCTGACTTCATCCGCCATGCCCTGCAGCTGGCCCACCTCCACCGGGATGGACGGCAGCCCGCTGACCACCCGCTGCCGATACAACGCACACGCCTTCCGCACACTCTCCCCATTATGCGACGCCACGAAGAGACGCACCTTTGGAAACGGCTGTCCAGGCTCCCCACCCAACGGATACTGTCTTGTAATCAGACTCTCCACAATATGGTCATAGTTCCTATCCGTGTCGGCCTTGGTGTCATGAATCCGGTCCCGATGATCATGCGCAATGTACGCTCCCCTCACCAGCTTAACGCCCATCGCCCAGCCCTCTTTCTGAGCAAGCTGGAGATGCGCATTCAACTTGGCCGTAGACGACTTCAAATACGCCTGATAGGTGTTCAACACCACAGGAGCATCTGCATTATCCCGGTTATACTTTCGCATCAAATCCACCGCCCACGCATCAATCGCAGACTGGAAGATTTGCTGCTCAGCATCAATCCATACCCGTGAGCCTTGAGCCGCAACGGCATCGCAGATTTCCGTAATAGCTTCTTGAATCCGGGGAGGCGGGGCGGGGTCACCGCGCGAGAGGGCCTCAACGGCAGCAGGACCAGCTCCGGTGAATCTAGTCTGTCAGCTCCCAACCACACCTCTAACACAAATAAGGAATCGGAGGATGCATACTTAACGGCCAAGTAATTCCCCTTCCCCGACATCTTCAACGTGCGCAAAGTACCCTGCTTCCATTCATCCACCGCCCGATCCAAAACCTCCTGCTTCGCTTCCGCAGACTGAGTCTGATCAATATCCTCCACCTTGGCAATCGACTCCCTCGCATATCCCAATATCACCCCCTTGAACCCCAACGTCCTCATCTCCTGCACTGTATTCCTCACCTCCGTCTCATTAATCCCCGCGCAGAAATGATCGTAAATCGTTCTCCTAAGCAGATAATTCACCACCGGGTTCCTCCCGGGACTAAACAAAACAGACTGCGAATCAACCATATACTTCAACACCGAGAGACAAGGCCTCAGCAGCGGCGACGCCATCACCGACGTAAACAGCAGAGAACGTAGGAACGTCCGTGTCGGTAATGCCGACAACGGAGGGGGTGTCTTCGGACCGGATGGTGGAGGAAAATGGACATGGTGAGCTGTACTGGACGAAGCATACGTTGGTGGTTGGATGAGTTGATAGAGAAGAGGACTCGGCCGTTTTGGCCAGAGTAGTACTTTGGATTTCATTTTCAAGTGAGCAGGTGTGTTCCGCACCTATCTATCTACTGGGTTGTTGATTCCCTGCTACTTATTTATCATCCCTGCAGTGTAAGTGAGGGGTTGTCAGCGCAGTAGTAGATAGATAGTCAGCCGGGTTTCTGGCCGATTGGATGCGAGGGGCGATCATTGAGGGGGGCATGAGACAGCTCATGGGGGATGACTGGTGGTTCGGAGGTGGTTTCCGTGTCAGCTCGGTTAGGGTTACCGCTGATTCGGGGGATATCTTATTATCATGTATCTATCTATCTGTCAGGGTTCATCTATAAGTAAACTATCTATCGATCTATCTCTATCCACTTTGTCCCTCTCTATCAACCCTAATCTAATCAAACAGCCAGTCTATTTCTCCCCCCTCAAATGCCTCGTCCCATCAATCACCGCATCCGCAAACGTCGCCCTCACGCCCGCCCTCTCCACCGTCATCACTCCCTGAATCGTACACCCCCTCGGCGACGAAATACTCTCCCTCAAAACAGCCGGATGCTTCCCCTCCCTCAACAATGCCGCCATCCCCTCCAACATCTTCGCCGCCATCTCCAATGCCTCCCCCCTCCTCAACCCCTCCACCACACACCCATCCAACAACCCCTCCACCGGCACCGTCATGACCCCCATCCCCGCCCCCACCAACATCGTCCCGACATCAAACAAATCCGGCGTCAAAATCTTCACCGTCCCAATCACCCCAAACACCCACTTCACAATCTCCAACTCCTCCTCCCCAATCCCTACCCCGTCGGGAACCTCAACAATCGTCATACTCCTCCTCACCCTCGCCGCAACATTCGGCATCGCCCTCACAATCCGCACCCGTCCTGCCTCCCCATCCCCACCCCCAATACACCCCCTAATATCCCCCACCGTCATCCCCGCCATAATACTAATCACCAACTTCCCCACCAACGCCTCCGCAATCCCCGGCGCCGAGAGAATCCCCTTCGCGAGGAACGGTTTACACGCGAGGAGAACAATATCCGCTTCGCGGATAGCGAGGAGATTCGAGTCGTGCGCGATGTCCACCCGGAATAAATCCGCCGCGTATTGTTGTTGGAGGCGGGACGCCGAGGAGGCTGTTTTGGTGCTTACGATGAAGTGTCCGATTTTGCCTTCTTGCGTGCGGGTTGCGTCGAGAAGGCCGCTGAGGATGGAGGAGCCCATGTTTCCTGGATTGGTTAGATTGTCATTATAGGGGTATGGTTGGTGGGATGGGAAAGGTACGTACCGCATCCGATGAAAGCAAGGGTGAGTGGTTTCCCTACGGGGGAACGTAATTGTGTAGTCATTGTGCTGCGGTATACTCTGTCCGGTGTGTGGGCAATGTGTGTGCGGTGTGATGCGCAAAAGTTGAAGGCGGATGAATAGGTGAGTCAACACGATAAACCTTCTCTGGAAGGAAAACTGCGGTACGATGGGCCGGACTTCGGGCGAAGATCCCGAGGGCAGACAGACACTGCGGGGGTTGGTGGAGTAGTCGGTCAACGCAGTGGTTGGCAAATAAATGAGCCTTGCTTTTTGTGTCAGTTCGTATGCTGGTGAGGTCAAACTGTGTTACATTCTTGGTGGGGTATGCAGTAAGTAGGTTCCTTGGCGTGTGCTGGATGCTGGGGGGCAGGCAGCAGTGGATATGAATGAGGTCGGGGGGGTGGTTGAGTAGAGCTGCGATATGAGGAGATAAGGAAAGGATATCTATCTAAATTACTAAAGATAGCAGGACCCAGAAATAAAAATAGACTCTCCCATGCACATGGGAGGGTATGAAAAAAAAATAATGACAAGGCCCGAGCCGCGGATCGAACGCGGGACCTCTCGCAGATATGCTTGGGTTTGAAGGCAGATGCCATCCCTAAGCGAGAATCATACCACTAGACCACCCGGGCTTGTTATGATGGGTGCCTGTTTTTTTGCATTTATCAGCAGTCTACTAAGCTTGCTTTACGGGGCAGCCACTATTGACTTCACTGCGCAACGGTGATTATTTTTGGCAAATCTCTGGCTATGTTTGGACAAGTGACCTCTAGAGGGTGTGATTATATATATTGTAGCCGGGTTCTCCATGATTACTGTCAATCAATCACATTTCAATTAAATTGAACCATTGTAGAAATACTGCTGGCAGACAATGTTGAGTGAGCACACATCTGGAGAATACGGGATGTAATATGTACTATGTTTAAGATTAATCATGCCCTCCATTGCTGCCTACTTCTAGCCTCGTGCAGTGTATTTACACAGTACAACACGGAATTGACCCACCAAGAGCATAGTTACCGATTCTACTCCATACAAAAAAGATAGTCGTGTCTCGAAGACACACATAGACTGTCTGTCGTATATTCGTCTATAGCTGATGATATACCCAACAATATGTAGTCACAAGTCCATCGAAGACGACCAGCAAGGTAACTAACCCAGACAGCACCGTCTCTGCAATACACAGGCGCCAAAGCATCACAGTCATAAATTGGAATCGGTTCCAAATCAAAGGGTCACCGCAAAGCATGTCCAACGGCATATGCGAATATTGCGAAACCGCAGGCGTGAGCCAGAAGCCTGGTATATAAGACAGCATGGCTTCTAATGCCGTAGATGAAACTGCTGGCTAGAAATAAATCGACATCACTGGCGGAGCGACACCGAAGCGGATGATGGTCGTGAAGTCATTATACCCCACTCATGCTGTTTGCAACACTTCAAGACACCCTCGGACGCTTAGCATCAGGAAACCCAGACGGGCCACGCATACGCTTCCGCTCCATGGCCTCCATCTCTTGCTTCATAATGCGCTCCTGCTCCGTCATCTTCTTGGGTTGTTCCAGAACTGGTCCTTTCTTCCCAGCAAGCGGATTCTTCTTCGCAGCCGCAGCAAAAACGTTCTTCGGCTTGTTCGCACCACCGCCGAGCGACAAGGACAACTTGGGCGCTGCCTGTGGTGGAGCGGGGGCGGAAGCGGGTGCAGGAGCAGGTGCAGGCGAATCGGCAGTAGTTTCGGGCGTAGTCGACGCGCCATCTTTCTCCTCCGACGCGGGCTTTGGCGATTCACTTTTCGAATCACTAGTTGTCTTCGATCCGAAACCGATGTTCAGCTTCACCTTCTCACCCTCCTTGCGTTGTAGTTTCCGAGCTTCGGGGTCCACTTCTTCCTCCTTAGCAGTCTGCTGGGCGCGCCTGATCTGTTCCTGTAGCTGCTTCTGTTCCAATTCCTCATCTCCTCGGTCCTGACGTTCCTTTTTGAGAAGCGCCTCTTGCCGTCTCATAGCCTCCGGGCTCCGGTCGATATAAGAAACAAACAGACCCTTCTCGGTTTCTTCCACGCGACAAAGTCCCTCGCGACCCAGGTATGCTGCGAACTGTGTAAGACTCTTCCATTTCGTGGCGTTCATGTGGATATGCTACTTCAGATGTCAGTATCGACGTGTGCAAGCCCTTGCAAATAACTAACCTCCTTATCGGCGATGACCTGCTGGTAGAACTGGTTGATATGGACCTTCTTCTCGCCGTGGCCAGTCCTGAGCAAATTCAGGAAGTTGCTAAGAAACTCCCTGCTATAATCTTCGATGTATTTCTTGGGGTCTTCGCCGATCAGCAGCACCTGGCGCACATGACTTTCACTCTGGATATGACTAGAAAGTGTTAGCATACGGCTGGGATCCACGGTTTCGACATGCTTACCACTTGAAACCATTGGCATCGCGATTTTGCTTTTGGCAGGCTTGACAATACCATCTGAGTCTGCCTAAGCCTTTCTGTTTGATGTCAGTTAACGGTCAAATCATATGCGGAGACAAGACAACAGGACAACGTACCGACTTGATTTTGTTGGCGATGGCCTTTGTGCTTCCAGCCTCTGCGCGCGGCATTATGGGCGCGGTCTATAATGTCTGAAGAGGCTGTCCTGAGAATCAAGAAGAATGAACACCAGAATGATAACTGGATATTGCGCAGAGACTCGGAGATGATGATGCGGAGCGGGTGGCGGAAACGGGCGATTACTCATTTGTCACGTGAGAACACACCTTGCCCATATAGGCTAGACTGTCTAAGATAAGATAGGCTCGAGCTGAGGTTCAACCAAGGTGCGCCGAGCTTTTGAACCCGTGTAAACCCAGGTCAGGCCAGGTCAGCCACTGGGGCCAACGCCGCAGCTGTCGCACAGTCATGTGACAATATAGAAACCTGGATTGACCTCTTCTGCTGCATTTTATTCTTACAACCCGGATTTTGGAAGTCTTACCGACAGGGCATTGGCGGGGGTTCATCTGTCATCTGAGCTGCGGCACGCTTCACATCATGTTGGGCTTACTCTCAAGTCTGCCAGACATCTTCTTATGATGGTCGCTGTACAAAGGGTGTTAACAGAGACACGCGGATGATGAGGGAGCCCCGAGTAGTCTTTATTCTTCAGCGTATCTATATGGTCTGTGCGGTTAACCCACTGTAACCCATGTGGGTTGAGTGGGTTGGGGTGGGTTAAGATGAACCTCCCGTCAGGTCGGCTGAACTTCAAGTGCACAGACCAGGTAGGTAGTCCTAACTGCTAACAAGCTGGGTTAAAAAGTGGTTCAACTATAGTATTAGGGTTGTAGAACACCAATTTACTTCCTCCGCTGGACTCAATGAGACTAGCCACGGCTTTCACCAAGAACGAGCTTGGACGAGGAAGGCTATCCAAATACTTAGATTTGCATCCACACGCTCGCTCCTCTCATTCTTTGAGATACACCAAAACCACTGAATATCTATTCTTCCCAGGAGCCGAAAAGATGACGAACACGCCTGACTATTTATTGCATTAACCATATACCAGGGACAGCTTAGTTCTCTTTGAGACGCCTCTGTTGCTTGCCAAAGCCGTATGGCAACAGCCATTGGAAGAACTCCTTCCATACCTTGTATTTTGACCCTATTACCAGTCAGACTTTTGATACCAAAGTGGATGGATGATATATCACGACAATCTTACCTTGCAGATTCCAAAGACTGTAACTGATGCTCGACAACCCATTCTCGAGAGTTGCCTTGATATGGGTTAATTCACCACGTAGTTCTTTGATTTCTTTGACTGCAAGCTATTAGCATGTGTATTCTGAGACCAAGATTCCACCTACCCAGCTCTGTCACTTGTCCAACCTCTTGGTGCGGCACTTCCTCCGGCGGGATATGCAGAATCAAGGCCTTCGCATAGCTCGCCGCAGCAGCAACAGCACGCAGTCTCCACTCATCATTCTTATGCACATCGGCATAGTCACTGATCCCCCTGATCACCAAACAAGGCAGTGTATTAACCAACCCCGCCGCCTCCATTTCAAAGCACAGAATCGAACCCTTATACCGACTGCAGATCCGATCCCTCGTCACCCCATCCCCAATGACCGTATTCCCCGACGCAATCGTCCCCACATGCACCACCGGCAACGTACTCTCCCTCTTCTCCCTATATATCTCCCCACCCCCATCCCCATCCCCACAAGCCACACACCCGCCCTCCCCAGACCGATGATAATACCCCGAACAAAACAACCGATCCTCCACATGCCCAGGGTAAGCATACTCCTCCCCCAACTCCCCCAATATCTCCTCCAAACAATTCCTCTCCACCTTGGGATTCCTCATCAAACAATTCACCATCGTAACATATCCCAGCAACTTCTCCGGCGGCGCATTCAGTTGTCCCTCGCCATTACCCAAATCATACTGCACAACACCCCCCCACCCACCCCCCGGAACTCCCACCACCACATCCCCCAACCTCACCTCTTTCCCTCCCTTCCTACCCCCTTCCCCACTATGAAAACAAGAAACCCCCCCACCAACCCCCACCAAAACCCCCCACCTCACCCCCGCAAACGTCCTCCTCAACCCCTCCCCCACCGTCGCCGCCGCCCCAATCCCCATCCTCCCCGCCGGAAGACACGTCATCACCACATTATGGTTCCCGATACGGCCCAGGATATACGCGTTATTGTCCTCGGCGGGCTGGGACTGGGGAATGCCGTGGAGGACGTCGAGGAGGGTGATTGCGGTGGTGAGTTCGTGGGGGAGGGCGGTTATGTATGCGAGGGTGTAGGAGGGGTTTGGGTGGGGGGAGATGTTCATTTTGTGGAGGGGGGTATAGTTAGATAGATAGAGGGGTGGGTTGGTTGCTTGTAGGTTGGTGTTTGTAGTTGGTTTTTGTTTATTCATGGAGGAAGAAGGGAGGAGAGAGGGAGAGGGTGGTAGCGAAAGCGCAAGGCTGAAAGAGAGAGGGAGGGGTACGGCGCCTAAGATGTACATCTACATACTTACTACTTGGGCGCTTAGGAAATCTATCCATGTATCTGATCTCAACGCGGTTAGGTAGCTGCAGTGTGTATACATCCATCCATTACTCCGTTCAAAGTACTAAAATATCCTTAATACTATAATAAGAGTAATATCTAGTTTAGATACCAAAGCGAGAAAAAGTAATCGAAGCAAAATGGTCTAGACCTTAGGCTGCAACGGATTACTTCCGACACGAAGGATTGTGGCGTCTGTCTAGGAATTCTTGGTTTCTGGTGGCTGGGTAACGGATCGTTAGCGCTGAGGAGAGATTCCTGGTTTTTGTTTGTCTATTTCTGAGAGTGGTCTGGAAGGGGCATGCATGAGTCGGTACTGGATTGCCGGTATGAAGTTGGACTTGGCTTTCTTTAACTATATCATCGGATGCATTGTAATACTCTACTTTACTTCTAGTATACACCTAATCGTATGCCACTGTCATACTAGAAGGTATCTGGCTTTAGAACCGAGCTGATTCTCTGTATGAGTTAAGTTTCTGATCTTGCGCCTCTGTAACCACACATCATAGAGCCACCTTTCCATTGAGCTTAAAGTACCCCGGCTGCAAAGTCTCAAACACCTGCAACGGATCGTACTGACGCGAAATCTCCTTCAAGCGCGCCTGGTTGGCTGCACCATAAGACGGCACGACGGACTGGTACTGACTGGCGTAGTTCATGTACAGATAGTCATTGTCCAATCCCCGAGCCTTTGCTGCCGCGAGAGCCTTCGCGGTGATTGATCCCAGAACGGCCATCACTGCCGCATCGTCCGACTCGTCATCCCACATAAAGGCGAGATTGATCAGCAGCAAGGGCCCGTCCGTGGCATCGAGGCCCAGGGCGTTGCCCCCGTTCTTGGTCATGTGTTCCATGGTGTTGGTGCTGATGACCTGCCAGACGAGCGCGGGCACAAGGCCGGTCACGTTCTGGATGGGAACGATTTCCTCCTTGAAGATGTTGGTGATGTTGGTCGCCAGATCGTAGTCCAGCTGGACGGTACCGGTCCAGTAGCTCTCGCGCAGGCCGCTAGGATTGTCTTCCTTGAACAGGAGAGTGATGTTAGACAGACTGCGGATGGCCATGGTGTCCTCCAGCGCACCCGTGCTGTTAAAGCCGTCAAAGATTGGGGGATTGGCCACCGGCTTGGCGTACTCCAAGTCCGCGACAAACAAGTATAGACCCTCTGCGTAGGCTACCGACACGATTAGCGCCGCGTTGGGGTCCGAAGGCGAATCATTGCCAAAGTCAATCAGCGCCTGCAGGACGCTGGCTTGGTAGTTTTCCAGCCAGACGCGCGAGCCTCCCCACATAAGCCCCTGGGTGTGTGTCGTCAAGTCGAAGCGAGTGACGATGCCAAAGTTGTTGCCTCCGCCGCGCAAAGCCCAGTAAAGATCGGGGTGGCTGTCGAGGTTGACATTGACAATGCTGCCATCGGCTAGAACAGCCTGAACACGATTAGACGATAAGTAGTCATAGAAGGAGCATGCATACCTCGTAGTTGGCCACATTGTCACAGGCCCAGCCATAGATACCCGAGAAGAAGGAAATACCGCCTGCCTCGTTAGCTTCGTCTGGTTTGTTGATAGATCACATACATACCTCCCAAGGTCAGGCCACCCACGCCAATGTCAGACACGCGGCCACCAATGACCGACAGGCCCTTCGGCTCAAGCCACTCATAGACACTCACCCAGCGATTGCCCGAGCCAACCGAGGCAATGGTGGAGTCTTCAGACAAGGTCGTCGAGTTCAGCGAGACCAGATCGATCGTCAAGCCATCCTGGATGTTGGAGGCACCGGCAAAGGCGGCATGACCGCCACTCTTGACAGCAAATGGACACAGAGTCAGCTCGGTCAGCAGCAGGCCCACGGCAACCTCCACGGAACTGGACGGCTGGAAAACACAAGCGGGATCAACCTCCTCCTGCTGCTGGGACCAGAAGCTGGCGTCCCAGGTGGAGTAAGCAGAAGTGGAGCGCTGCAGCACATGCCCGGGATACAGCCGGGGAAGCGCGGAACACTGTCCAGTTAGTAAATTGCCAATTTGTTCCTTTGCATTAGTCCCAGGACTAGGCAGGGTTCGGGAGACACCGTCCGGGTTTAGTGCAGGGCGGGAAAATCACTCACCAGCTCCGAGCAGAATCCCAACGACCGTGAGCGCACCGACGAGTCCGACAGCACGCTGGAGTTGAAATACTCGTAGGCATCCACGCCATACGTAGCCAATTTGGCCACAATGTGACTGGTGGTGTTGTCCAACGCAGTCGCGGGCGCGAGGAGCGCAGCGATCAACAGCGCTCCGGTCAGCATGGTGCTTGGCAGGAACAAGCGCGATAAGGATGGAGCAGGAGTCGTGATGGTTTCAGGAGGCGTGGACTTGCGCAGAGGGCGCATCCTTTATAGGCCGCAACGGGAGCTCCAAATCACGGCGCTATAGTAGCGGCAGCCGGTCGCTTGCTGGCGGATGACAGTATCTAGCTTAGTTCTTTTTGTGAGATTAGTCTCGTAATGAATTCCCCGGTCGCAGTCTGACCCATGTCTATCTAATATGTACCGGAATGCCTGCTGTCAACGGGCCTCAGATCTCGGTGGTCGATCGCTCCCGAATCAGTACCGATGGAGCGAAACTATGTATCGGCTGGCCAGGTACAGGCCACCGGCTACACCATGATGGCCTTGTCGTCGGCGGTGGTCATGGCTCGCTTTAGTTTGATTGTCTGGAAGCTACGGTCGCTGCAGCTCGAGGACGGCTGCATTTTGCTCGCTTGGGCCTGCTTCCTGGCCATGAGCATTGCATATGTCATTGTCACCCCGGTCATATACAAGATCGATGCATATGAAGACGGCGAGATCGCCCCGTGGGCGACCATGGTGTCCGACGCTTTATTTATGATTAAAGTTTTCTTCGCAAACACCATGTTGCTGTGGGCATCGCTATGGTCGGTCAAGCTGTCGTTTCTGTTTCTCTACCGCCGACTCCTCCGAGATCTGCCGGGTCAGATGAAGTGGTGGTACATGGTCATGGGCTTCTGCATTTTGGTATGTTCTCGCGCTATCGGGTGGAGGTTCTCGCTGACGTCTTTCGGACCTTTATCGGAGCGATCGTATCTAATTTTACCTCGTGTCAAAGCATGCATGCATGGTTCACTGTTGGTCAGTGCTTTGTTCCGTGCGCGCGATGTAGACTGACAGCTTAGGGGCATGCGATACGCATCGCGATGCTGTGGCGGAGATTGCCAGTTTATACTATGCTTTTGCCGTTGACGCTTTGAGCGATATCATGAGTATGTACTCCATAACCGATTCGCAAGCGCCTGTGTACTGAGAAGCAGTCATGGTATTGCCCTTGCGACTGGTGGTGACGCTTCATCTCCCGCTGGGCCAGAAGATTAGTGTGGCCGCCGTGTTTGCCTTGGGCACCATCTGCGTGATCATGGCGGTGGTGCGAGTGGTTCAGATCGGCACTCGCGCCAACAATGACAGCACTCCGAGTAGTTCCTGGTTAGCATTCTGGGGAATGATCGAGGCGGGAATTGGTGGGACTACACACCCTATAATGTATTGATAGACGCTAATGATGGCAGCTGTCATTGTCGGCTGTCTCCCCGCTTTCGCAACAGTCTACCGTCGCACCAAAAACTCCAATCGCTATCGAAGCAACTATGTTGGGATGTCCTCGTCGGTCTACGTGCCGCAGGACGAGGTGGCTTTATCCAACATAGCCACGAGGGAGGGAAATAGCACGGGAGAGGAACTGAAGGCATTCAACACGACGCCGGAGTTACCATTGGAGTATTCTACCGAAGACTAACACATGTTATGGATTACGCGAATATGAAAAGTTATTGACGTTATGAGGCTGAGAAGCCACTAATACAAAGAGCTCCTGCATGACCAAGTAAGCACTACGGCGGACTTCTTATCAAAAGCGACTAGTGTCGATGAGTGAACCAGGGTGAGCCTCTCGTCCACCACGCCATTGCAACACAAATACAGGGGTACTAGGCTTTAATCTTACTACACTACCTCCCCTCTCATCTGCCTCTCTCCCACTTCAATCCAAATATCCATCAACCATGTCCCCCATCCCCAGCTACTCCCGCCCCGGCCGCGGCCAACACTTCCAAAAGGCCTATGGGTTCGCTGAAGCCTGCATAGCCGGAGATCGCATGGAAATCGCCGGCCAAAGTACCCCTCCCTATTCCACCCCTCTCCCTATTCTCCTGACACCCAACTAATTCTTATAGCCGGCATGTCCCCCACCTCCACCGTGATCCCCCCCACAATCGAAGAGGAAGTCGCCCAAGCCTTCAGCAACATCGACGAAGTGATCCTATACACCCTCGAACAAACCAAGCCGGAGCTGCGCGCTAGTGTCAAGCATGGCTGGGACCGAGTCGTGAAAATCCGCACATACCATGTGAATCTGCCAAGCAATCGGGAGAAGATCATTGAGTTGATGGTGGAGAATGTCAAGAAATGGTGTCCGGATCATCAGCCCACGTGGACCATGTTGGGGATTGATGCGTTGCCGTTTGAGGGGCAGAATTTGGAGATTGAGGTGGATGTTTACTTGGGTTAGACACAAGGATGGATGGTATAATCTTCCCACAACACCACATAAACAAGCAAAGAACGAACTCAACAATGAAATAACCATCTACCCCGGCCTCCTCCCCACCCCCACAACCCTCTGAATCGACAACGCCGCCCCCCCCCACCATCTCCCCATACGCCTCCTCCACCAAACCATCAAACCTCTGCGCCGCCTTCCCCTTCCCCTTCCCACTCTGCCTCAATCTGGCCGCAAACTCCCCCATCGTAAACAAATGCCGATCCCCAAACGCCCGCACCAACTCCGGCCCCTCATCAAAACACTCCAACCTCGTCTCCACGAACCCTCCTTCCCTCCCTAACATCTCCCCAATCTCCACCGCCCAATCATGTCGCCCATCCGCCGCACACGCATCCCTCAACTCCTCCAACGCCGGCGTAGCAATCCCCTCATCGACCTTCTTCACGCACATATGCACGCAATCTAGCCCATCCCATTGGACCCATCCACCGGGCTTTAACATCGTATACAAATTCCGAATGAACGGACCCGGATCAATCCCGGAGAGAATTAACACCGCAAGACGCACATGCACGATATCATACCTCCCACATAACTCCCCGGGTACATCGCCCAACGCATCCCATTCCCGAAGGGTGATATTCCCCGGCATCTATTCCCTAGGCGGCGCCTGAGTCAGATCGATATCGAACCCGTCGAGACGCGCGTGTGGTAGTTCGCGTGTGACGTCGATGAGCCAGAGACCTGTGCCGCAGGCTATGTCTGCGATAGTGAGCCCGTCACCTTCCCCATCGGGGATGGGGATCGAAGGATGGATATTAAATCGAAACACCTCCCTCCAGAGTTAATGTTGGAGGTTTAGGCGACATGCGGCGAGGTGGTTGTGTTGGAGAGCGTAGGCGTGGTCGTCGGCGAGGTGGAATGTTGCTGTTGGTGCTGTTGGTTTCTCTGTTTCTGTTTCTGTGGATGATGCGGGTGCGGGTACTGTTGAAATATCGCCCATTTTGTTGAATTATCTAGATATCTATTTCTAGACTAGATAATGGGTAGATACAAACTTGTAAGGTGCAACAGGGAATGATTATCTGAGGGAACCCCGCGCGGCTCTATTTAACCTCCACGTGTGATATCCCGGCATGGTATCTCCGGTATAGAAACAGGATTAGCATAATCATAACAAGGCTTAGTTATGCCTTGGTAGTGGTATGGCTTACAAGGCTGGGTATAGTAGGACCAGGGTGACAGGATGAGAACCATGGAACTAACGCCACCGAGGCTGGCTGATCGCGCCATGGCGGTCTGGATTATGGAAACGGTGACGTGATTCGTTGGTTGAGGGTTTATTTTCTCTCTGACAGGAGAATCTCCACTTACTTGATTGATTGTTGGGATTGGGGGGTTCGGTTACCTACCTGGTTTATTTGTCGGAGGCTTATCGCGGGTCTTCCGATGTGTCCGACTGAAGGCTGTACCTCGGTAGTTGTACTGTTCCTAGACTTGACTATCGAGTCAGACTCGCTTTATTGAATAAACCACTGTAGAGTACAACATCCGTAAAATTAACCAGTATTTTAGCGTCAAATAAGAAATCCACACTGTGAAGAAAACCGCTTGTCAATAACTCGCATAACCCAATCATTATCACATGGTGTATTCATGGATCGCCGAGGGTCCGTTCTCATTATACTCCACCCGGCTCATGAAACCCTTGCTGAGTCCCTGGTCCAGCACGAATATAACCTTCGACGCAACCTGTGCTCCCAGAAACACCGCCTCCTCCATGCCGTGGCCACCGCTCGGGGCGCCAGGCCCACCCGTGGTAGCTGCGCCAGGCGCGTTGGTATTGCTCTGCTCCTTCCACTCCGGAAAGTATTCGGGGGGTCGCAGCGTCTTGACCGACGTGGGCGTCTGCGAATGTCCGGTCGACCGGTGATGCGACATCGCCGGATCCATCGACGGTGTGCCGGGCATGGGGTTGTTGGCATGTGTGGCTGCCACCAGCAGTGGATTCACACCGTGACCCGCAGGGTGATTCATCGGACCAGCCTGGCCGGAGGGCGCTGGAGTGTTGGTTCCTCCAGTGGGAAGGGGAGTGGAGAAGTTGGACGGAATTTCAGAGGTGAACATGGTAGCGGATGGGGAGAGGATGTATTTTTGGGAGATGGTGCCGAGCAGCGATTGCGTAAATCCTGGAAAGATCAGTAACGAGTCAGAAATCACACGGTGACATGAGCGTACCCTTGATTTTGCTGCCATTGCCGACGATGACGAGCGAATCCCAGAGCTCGCTTCGCTTCGTCGCATCGGGAACTGCAAGAATGGTATGATGGATCTGAGTAGCAATATCCTCAAGCAGGCCGCCGGTCAGACGGTCCGCCGAGTTCTGCTTGGGCGTTGCGGCGAGAAAGCGTTCGACACCGACCTCGATCTCGCGGGACTGACGCATATACCGCACAGGGGCGTTCGGGGTATCCTTCTCAGGCTCGATTCGCACATATTCTTCAAACTGGAACGAGGCCCTTTCCTTCTTAGAGTTAGGAAGACGGAGGGGCTTGCCGGCTTGGTCCGCCCCGCCCTTCTTGGCCGAGGCCTTCTCAGCCTTTTCCTTTTCCCGATTAGCAAGGAACTCGCTCGTGTTGCCACTAACGATGGCCGCGACATCCAACACGCCCTCGTCGTCGTCCCCATCGCCATTGCCTTCCCCTGTCTGAGGACCAGTCGAGCCACCTTCCGCGCCATCCTTGGGGCCAGTAGCAGCCGGGTTAGCACCCTGTCGTGCGGTTGCAGCGGTACCGGGAAGAGGGGTTCCAGGAGGTAGCAGCTCGGTAATATTGCTTCGCTTCAACTGTTCGCACATCTCCCTCGAAAATCCCTTCGAGCCCAGAAGCTCCACAAATCGATCCGTCATGTAGTCTCCACCACAGCCCTGCAGCGCGATGCCCCGTCCGTGCTCGTTCACGAGAAAGTCGGTGACAGCCGTGACATTGACCTTTCCCTTGCCAACATCAACCACCGTAGCCGTCGAGGTACCGTATCCGTAGCAGACCGCAAGGGCGGAATCCATCAAGCAGAAGGCAGGCGTCTTGAACTTCTCAAAGACAAACTGTGTAATCGTCTCACGATCCCGGGCGGACCACGCCGGTTCGGAGATGAGCATGATCGGGGTATGGAAAGGCGGACTCAAATGGTTGTAAACGTGTGTAAGGAGAGCAAAGAAGCACGGCCAGTCGACGATCTGACCGTTCTCGATAGGATAGACCGCTCCCTCATCGGTCGTCACGTCCTCGTCGTAGAAAATCTCGGTTGTTGTTCCCTGCTTGACTGGTCCACTAGTATCCTGACCCTCGGTCTTCGCATCTCCAGCTTGCTCGGCCTCGGGTTTCACGGTCCCGTCTTGCTGTGCCGACTCCGCATCCTTCATCTCGACGTCCTCGGGCGCGGTGGCGCCATTGTTGTCCTTGAGTTCGTGTCGGCGCTCACGGATCTTGTACGGTTCGTACTCGCCCTTCTTTTCGGCAGGGAACATGCGCGTGGGGAAGCGAAAGCGGGCAGGCGTGAATGACTCGGGGAGGCCCAGTTGCGCCAGGGTCACTTGCGAGCCTGGCGCAATTATCTAAGGGTCAGTTAGATGATTTCTTGAACCAGGTAGTTAAATAAACATTCGAAGGCATAGGACGTACAAGGATATGCTCATCTTTGAAGGGCGGCATCGTGGATGACGAGACGAGACTGATGTCGCAGTAGCACCTATGCTCCGCGGTGTTTGCAACAGCGATCTTTGCGCGTGGAGGTTGGGCGGGCAACCCGATCGGGTTAAGCGCGGTCACGGCCCGTGCTCTCTACTATGAGTATGACAGTCTACTCCGTAGGTAGTAGTCATTTATGAGAACCTCCGATATAGCTCAGGGAGATACAGAAATATCCAAGTCATACAGTACAATATTAGGCCTACTCTCGGAGGCTACCTCGCAAATTCGTGGCTCGACGCCTACAGTGCTAAGCCAACATGACTGTGACGGCATCACCAAGCAGAAGGCAAACGCTCATGCTGTTATTCCTTGGACTCCGGTTGATCGCTACCATGGGTATAAGTACCATATCCGGGGATGATACAGGTCGCGCCATCACCATGCCTGAGAAATCGTACACTCATGCAGAATAAGAAACCAATCGAACTAACGATGAAATAAAGAAATAGATAGAAACTGAGACCCTCATAGATATCAAGCCAGATCCGCCAAACTCCAATCACCGTAGAACTTCTCAAACTCCAAACCAGATCCTCTATGACCAGCATGAGACAACCGCATTAATCCGTGGGCATCGCTCGTAACCTTTACTCTGGAGCAGCATGGTATTTCTCAGTGGCTGAGCGGAATAGCTCCTGCTGCTGTCGAAGGAGCTCTTCTTCTGACAACCCGCTCTGCTCCATTTTACTCTGCTTCTTTTCACGAGACTATCCAACTGTCAGCCAGGTATCCAGGGTTGATCCGAGTCACGCACCTTCAGCTGCTCCTTGTGTTCCTCTGCGACAGCAAGAACATCTGGGATGTAGTCGCCAAACCCAAGATCACGTAGGGCGCGCTCGACATGCTCACAGGCAATAGTTTTCTTAGCCTCTTTTTCGCTGATATCGTTGGCCTCCGAGGAAATCAGCGTGATAAATTCGACGCAACATTCCATAAGCAAATCGCGGGCATCCTTAGAGAATGTTTGGCCGGATGAGGGGGGGAGGATCTCTGTGATTATTTTTTGAACCGTCGCTGTGTCGCTTTAGTTATTTTGAACAATGAGTTATATTTGTCGACGCGATCGTATCACGAGGCAAAGTTCATCAATATGGATGTTGGGTGGTGATGCGACACGGAAGACAGCGACAGGTACACACCTTTAGGAAGCGACAGGTCGTCGTTTGCTAGAAAATCAAGTCAGTTGAATTAATCTTCAAAAATCAATATTTGAGAAAAACTCACAACTAAACTCTCGATCCGACATGATGGCAAAAAGTAGTAAATAAATTAGACGCGTGTGCGCACTCGTGGCCGTCGCAGTAGAAGTATGTATTGTGACGGTGCGCGGGGAGCAACTGGTATAAATAGCTGCGATTAAATCCCGGCGCGGAGGGACTTGTCACGGAACGGAAGAACCGCGCGGCAGAAACACACCGCCTCCATGGGTTTTTATTCTCGGCTCGCAGCTTTTTTTTCTCTTCAGTTTCTTCACTCGTGCAGTACTCGCACAACAGAGAAAATGGTCTCTCTAGAATTGCTCACACTTGGAAATTCTTGGGAGAACTAACTCATTGGTATGTATTTGTCCCTTTTTCTTGCCTTTTACTATCATGATGAACATCGTTGTCGCCCCTATCATACCATAAAATGGTGACGTACACTGTCCTAGCCAAACGGACCACTGATATACATTCACACTGCCAAATTGTCATTCAGTCAATTGTTTGTGCATTGCTGACTTTACGAAGATCCAGGTGCAGATTCTGCAAATACCCTATCTCGGCAGCATAATACCCAAAATACCTTGGATTTAAGGTATGCAATGATAATTTTTTTCTGTGGTCCAATTTTTTACATGATGATCACCTTACATTCCATGCTAAACATGAAGGCTCACGCCTAATGCTTCTAAAATGTAACCTGCTTTTCATCTTTCGACTGATTATGTATTCTATTCTGCAATATGTTCTATGAATCTTGTCGACGGTACATGCTGACTGTCTTCATCAGAATTTTAGCCGTAATCACTGGAAAGCCTCCAGCGCCTTATCGTTCCATCTAGTTTCGTTAGCTTATCATAATGAGAAGAAATTTCAAACTCACGTGAAGAACTTCCCACTCAACTCGTTAGGCGCATCCAAAACCAGCTTCGCCATCACATGGCCCGGCTGCTCGGGCTTCAGAAGCTTACCCTCCTTATGCACCGTCGTAAACTTGGCATGCATCTGCGGCTCCAAATTCGTAGCATGGACCTCGCGCAACTCCCGCTGCATCTCGGTGTCCACCATGCCGGGCCGAATAGAAATCGTCGTGACCTCGGGCTCTTCTTCGCCCAGGCTCAAAGCCAGATGGTTCATGGCCGCCTTGGTCGCACCGTAAAGAGCCCACCCCCTGTATGCCGTGACCGCCGCACCCGATGAGGTGAAGATGATTTTTCCCTTGGATTCGCGAAGCGCGGGAAGACCGGCTTTGATCTAGCCATCGACATTAGCCAACGTAGCACAATTGACAACCCCATCCTACTTACAAAAGCAACCAAGCTGATAAAGTTCACATCAAACCCGGCCTTCCATTCTTGCGGATCCGCATCAATCACTTTTCCTACTTGTCCGAGGATGCCGTGGTTCAGGACCATGCCGTCCAGACGGCCGAAAGACTTGAGGGCCAGATCGACGGCCTTCTGACCGAGCGAAAAGTCAGATAGGTCGCCGTTGAGCACCTCGACTTGCTTGCTGTATTGCTCCTTGAGCTGCTGGAGGGGTTCGCGGCTGCGGGCGATCACGACGACATTGTGGGCTTGAGGCGCGGTGAGGAGGTATTTCGCAATGGCGAGGCCGATTCCTGGTGTTTGTGATTAGGAACGTGCCATTGGGGGAGAATGTGGGCGGGTTGGAAATTACCTCGCGAGGCACCGGTAACGATGATGGTTTTGCTCGACATGGTACTTGTATTGGTGTAACGGCGAGTCGGGTGGTAGGACAAGGAATTGATCTGGTTGCACGATCGTGGTTGATTGCTGCAGAGGGATTCAAGAAAAGTCGCGGGTGATGTAATGAGGGGAACGTGGGGTCTGCCGCTTTTCCTCCGCTTATCACCGCCACTGGTACCTGTGATATTAGGCGGTCGATGATGGGAATTGATGTTGCTTTAGGTTCTTCTGGAGATTACTATTATTAGATTGCCTAGCACAGATTAAGAAGGCACGGGCATAAGCTATATTGAGGGCGTTTTCCTATTATATGTCTTATCTCATGAGGTTTCGCTGGAAAGTTAGTACTTCTCCTACAACTAATTGACACTTACGATATTTTCATGGCATGAACCGCAGAACATACATAGAATCTCAACGCATGCGCTTTGAATGCTTTAGTAGTGGATTTCAGACTGCCTCTCCACCTACCAGGCAGCAGATCTAGCACGTCCTGAAAAGTAAACACCATCAGGTCAGAACGATATTCGTTTGGCTTCCCCTACCATTTATGTCATACTTCCGTATCTCTCAAATTGCACTGTTCCAGCCTTCTAGGTATCCTCCGGGATAAGATGGCTTTGTGTATACATCGTCCATTTTGCTGACAGTAGATATCCGACGCGTGTACGGAGTACGCCATTGCAGATCTGCAGTCCGATAGAGCCTGTAGGAAGCTATTCCGCGGTACCTTGGTAGGTACATGTCTTTACCACGGTCTACTCCTTGGTCTTACTAAATACACGGTACCCCCCGATAACGGAGGGGATATGGATGCCACCAGGTCGGGGTCCTCGATGGATCTGGGGACTCCGGTCTCTGCTCGGCTAGTGGGCCCGAGCCTCGGAACCCCAGGTGTGCTTCTCAATACTTGGCCGTGGCTCCTGAGCGGAGCAGGCTGCTCACTTGGATGATTATCAATTCAATTGAAGGCTGGAATAACCGGCCCGGTCAGGGAAACTGGCTGATCATATGGCATGGCACGATTGAGCCCCCGGTAGAGACACATAAGAATCCGAACCACCCGTTATCAAATGGCCGAGCACGGGTTACCCCGCCGAACTTATTTGGAAATCCCACACACCACTCTCATCTGTATCAAATCGAACTGATTGATAGTATTCCGGATGGCTTCTCGAACAGTCGAGAGAACCGGCCCGGTTGGGCATGAACCCGGCTGATAATGTGCCAGTCACACCATGTGGCATCCTGGGGAAGTAGTCATTCGAAGGGCGCGATCCACTCTTGTTATCGGGACCAAGCTCGGATTTATCCCGCGAGATCTCCTGCACATGTTCGACAGACCCGCTCTGTCCATATAAGTTCTGCAGCCCCCGGATGGATGTGCTCGGATACAGCTTCCGTCTCAAGTCTTCTTTCTGAGAATTAGCATATTTACAATGTCAACCGTGATTCTCGGAGGAGGTATCATCGGATCCTCCATTGCCTACTATCTCTCCGAAAGCCAACCGGCAGACGAGATCCATGTTATTGAATCCTCATCCAAACTTTTCTGCTCCGCCTCTGGTTATGCCGCTGGATTCATAGCGAAGGATTGGTTTGCGCCTTCGCTCGCGCCACTGGGAGAGCTCTCCTTCAATCTACACGAGTCTCTCGCTGCTGAGCACGGAGGGGCGCAGAAATGGGGATATATGAAAGGCGTTGCGCTGAGCCTAGGCTCTATAAACAACAAGGGTGGCGCTCGTGGCGACGATTGGCTCCGTGCGGGCACCAGCCGCGCTGAGACGGCTGCAGGAACGACTCAGTACGACGACCCCGAGGTGCCAGATTGGTTGACACAGCAGCAAGGCGCAGCGGTAGAGCAGATTAGCGATAAGGATACGACTGGCCAAGTGTGAGTCGGATCGATCCTTGTGATGAGAACCGCACTGACTGTTTTAGTGATCCCCTGAGGCTGTGCAATTTCCTGATGGACGCTTGCACATCACGCGGTGTTAAGATACATAATCCCACCAAAGCTACGTCTGTCGTTAAAGACGAGAGCGGTGCTATCACCGGCATCAAGATCATCAACTTGGACACACAAGCCGAATCCACGATCCCTTGCACCAATCTAGTGGTCTGCGCCGGACCCTGGACCCCCCAAGTTTTCCAGGACCTGTTTCCCTCGTCCAAAGTTTCTCTCCCTATCTACTCGCTGGCCGGTTACTCCCTTGTTCTTCGCTCCCCTAGACACACCCCGGAGCATGAGCAGAAAACATACGGCGGCAACAGTCATGCTGTCTTCACAACATGGCCCCCATCCTGCGGCTTCAGTCCTGAGATCTTCTCTCGAGAAGGAAATGAAATCTACATCGCGGGATTAAACAGCAGGGAAATCCCGCTCCCAGAACGAGCAGATCTCTTCCACACGGCAGTGGAGCAGAAAGAGATGGATCGACTCAAGGCAGCGAGTGTTCGTCTGCTCGGTAAGCTTGCCGAGGGCAGTGAGAAGTCGACGGATGAGATCCCGAACATCGACGACCTGGAGATCACCCGTGAAGGGCTGTGTTTCCGTCCTGCTTCAGAGCGCGGCACACCTTTTGTTACGAGAGTCGAGGACAGCTTGTTGGGAGATGGCGTGAGCGCAGCAGACAAGGGTGGCGTGTTTGTTGCCTCGGGCCATGGCCCTTGGGGAATCTCACTTTCGCTGGGAACTGGAAAGGTCCTGGCAGATATGGTTAGAAGAGTCCAGCCCGCAGTGGATGTCAGTGGGCTGGGGTTGGATGCATAGCCTATAGACAGTTATCTACAGCGATATGTGATTGAAACCATGCATTTAATGACTAATGCAAGACTATAGTTAACTAACTATGGATTAGCAATTAATCAAGTAATAACCAGTTAGCCATACCCAGTAGACACCGGTAGCCTGTTGCCTCAGGCACCAGAAGCTTCTCCGGATTAGTCATCCAACCGCCACGAGATCGAAGCTGTCCAGAATCTGCAAACAAGAGCTGGGAAACTCGCCGTACAAACACCTACCTGCGCAACTGCCTTGCTCCTCTCTGGCCTCGCCCTCTCTTCTCCTCGGATTTCGACTTCCTGTATACCCACATATTTGCTCACCTAACACCCGTCCGAACCGCGTTCGCGCAACACATCACCATGGCCAACTACCTCGCCTCCATCTTCGGCACAGAGCAAGACAAGGTCAACTGCTCCTTCTACTACAAGATCGGCGCGTGCCGGCACGGCGACCGCTGCTCCCGAAAGCACGTCAAGCCCTCATACTCCCAGACGATTCTGATGCCCAACATGTACCAGAATCCGGCCTACGACCCCAAGAACAAGATGAACCCCAGCCAGCTACAAAACCACTTTGATGCATTTTACGAGGACGTGTGGTGTGAGATGTGCAAGTACGGTGAACTAGAGGAATTGGTGGTTTGCGATAATAACAATGATCGTGAGTGCACCGCCCCCCATCCCTTGCCCGGAGAATGTCAGCTAACGAGTACGTTCTTCCTGCAGACCTCATCGGAAACGTCTACGCACGGTTCAAATACGAAGAAGACGCCCAGGCAGCCTGCGACGCTTTGAATTCCCGGTGGTACGCGGCACGACCCATATACTGTGAATTATCGCCGGTGACGGATTTCCGAGAAGCGTGTTGTCGGTTAAATAGCGGCGAGGGTTGTGTGCGTGGTGGGTTCTGCAATTTCATTCATCGCAAGGATCCGAGCAATGAGTTGGATCGGGACCTGCGTCTTAGTACGAAGAAGTGGTTGAAGGAGCGTGGTCGGGATGCGAGAAGTGTCAGCCGCAGTCCTAGTCCGGAGCCGACCCGGAGGAGGTTCTAGGAGGATGTTGGGGTTTGGGCTTTGTGTTGTGTTGTTTATATGCGGCGTTGGGGAGAATGACTGTCAGTCAGCTGTATTCTTATTTAGTTTCGTATGATATCAACTGATCTGGTTAATCTGAACTATGTAATTTATATCATTGCTTTAGAATAAGAGGACTATAACCGCATACTTGCATTTACACTGTACAGTTGACATTGACACAACCGAAAGACAGTCTTGGCACCCATAACCAATAAAAGAACGCGGGGCGGCGCGTCCATCGCGTCGCCGTCGCATCTCTTTGTCTGACCCTCCTCACTTTAGAACACCCCGCACACCCAAATAAAGATTGCCATTGCTTCTCACTTCTCAGCATGCAATAGCACCAATCCACAGCCCAGAGGAATAAAGAAAAAAAAATGGCCTACGACGACAGCAACCGCGCCTTCCTCCAAGCCTTCATGGCCCGCTCCACCCTAACCCTCACAGAAGCAAAACCCATTCTGGCAGCTATATACTCTATAAAAAGTGCCCCTAATCTCCCCTTTCCCCAACCAAAATCAACCAAAGTAACACAACTCATAAACAAACAGATAACCAAGAAACCTCCCCCGACGAAATCACCCCCACCGACCTAGAAACCTACATCGCCGCCGCCAACAGCGCCATCTCCCCCTTCGACTTGGAAATCCGGAGTCTCCTCCCGCAACTCGAACTCGATCCCACTCAAGACAACAATGCCCACACCCCCCCGGAACGAATCTACGCCCTCGTCAACACCACCAGCGACGCGCTCACCCAACTCGCGACCACCCATTCAGCAGATGAAATCGCCTTCGTGAAGCGATTACTGGACGCGATGTTCGAGACGAATAATACGCGGCGGCAGGAGGCGATGGTCGTTAGTAGTATGCAGGCGTTGCAGTTGGCGAAGGTGGTGGGGGGGAGGGAGTCGATGTCGGCGACGCAGGGTGCTGGAGGGGCGGCGCAGTCGTTGACTATGACGCAGGCGGAGACGATGTTGAGGCAATTGGTGGAGGAGGGGTGGTTGGAGAAGAGTCGGAGGGGTTTTTATCGGTTGAGTCCGAGGGGGTTGATGGAGTTGAAGGGGTGGTTGGTGGCGACGTATAATGATGAGGGGGTGAGGAAGATTAAGTTTTGTGAGGCGTGTAGGGATGTTATTACTGCTGTGAGTGTATCCATTCTTTTAAACGTTTTAGGGGTGGAATGTATTGGCTAATGGGTGTGGTAGGGTCAACGGTGCGCGGAGAGGGATTGTCCGGGACGATTGCATGATCATTGCATGCGGAATTTCTTTCGCATGCAGAAAGCCGAGGTTTGTCCCGTGTGTAAGATCCCTTGGCCCGGGGATCGGTTTGTGGGGGAACGCGCGATTACGAGGGAGCAGAGCGCGCAGAGGAGTAGGAGGGCTGCGAATACTCAGGTGGAGGCGGGGCCGAGTACGCAGGTCGAGGTGGATGGGCTGGATGCTGATCTTGGGGAGGGAGAGGGGGAGGAGGAAGGTGAGTGAGTGAGGAGGATGGGCGGATGTTGAGATGATACAATGGGTGCTATGAGCACTGCGCAAAGCATACGGTAGCTAGGGCGCTCCCTGAATGCAGACGGTATAGGAGGCCTCGAGAGGCCATACAGCATAGGGGAGCATTGCTGAGATGCTTCGAGGTTCTCCCGGGAGATGCTGCATATTCATGATGCGCATTGAAGGTCAGTCTGAGCTGTGGTTGATAACCACGGAGACACTGCTTGGACAGAAACGCGCCCATGCGCGCGAGCAGACCATGTCTGGCACTCTTTCGAAGATGGCCAAGGGTGATGTCGATGATATAAGGAGGGAATGAATGTTTGATATCCTAACTCAAGATCTCAAAGCAATTTATCATACCTTTAACTTCCTGTCTTTCCAGAGTGCAATAAGAATTGTGTCTGGCTACATTACTAGACTTCATACTTGGCCCCTTCGCAATAATCTGCATATTACTAACGAGACTCAATTAAACTAAATGTCAAAGCAAGCTATCATAACATCGCAGGTATTTCTTTCCTCCATAACGCCATCTGCACCACTACCGACACCCCGTCTCTCAAACCGAGATACAGCTCTCTGCACAAGATACCAGCAGCAGCTAGACATAAACCACCCCTAAAACATCCCCACAAGACAAGAATTTTCTCATAAATCCAATCCGAAACAATCACGAAACTCCCCTACCCAGTTCCAACCCCAACCAACACCAAGAACCAACCCATCTGGAACCCATCAAGCCATATAATTCAACATGACATGACGTTCCTCCGCACGATCCCTCGCCGTCCTCCCCATCTTATCCTCAATATCTGCATCAGCCCCATACTTCATCAGCAATTCCGCGACCGCAGCTCTAGGCTCCCAAACCTGATCACCCCAACCATCTCCGAGAAGAATATTCAACGGCGTGGCGTTATTTCCATCTGGCTCGTTCACGTCGGCCCCGAAACGCAGTAACGCTCTAACGACGTCCAGGGACACGGTGGCGAGTGGATCCACGGCCCAATGTAATGGGGTTCGAGAGTATAGAATACCCGTGGGGTCCCGGCAGACGGGGTTACGTTTGAGGTAGACGCTATCGCAGGACATGGCTTTAGCGTTGGGGTCGCTGCCCTTGTTGAGGAGGAGACGGACGATGTCGATGGAGCCCATGCGGACGGCGAGGTGGAGGGCCGTGAGGCCGTCGGTGGAACGGGCTCGGACGTCACTGCCTTGTTCGATGAGGAGTTGGAGGACCGGGAGACGGGTGCGTTCTTTGGTGGTGTCGATGTCGTCGAAGGCGTACATGAGCGGGGTGTGTCCGAGGTCGTCGGTCTCGTGGACGTGAGAGCGCGCGGTGTCGAGGAGGTATTTGATCATCTCTCTTTGGAGGCCCCAGACGGCGTAGTGGATGAGGGGGGTGCGTCGGGGTCGGGGTCGGTGGAGGGATCCGCTGCGTTTGGGGGCGTCGAATGTCTCGTAGAGGTATTCGAACATTTCGGGGGTGCCGTGGCCGGCGGCGTATTGGACGAGGTCTGGTTCGTCGGCTCCTGTGGAGGATTGGCCACCGTTGGTGATGAAGGGGGGGATGAGAAGTTTGACCATGTGGATGTTTCGGCTTTCGATGGCACAGACGATGTGGTAGCTGGTGACGGTGGCTTCGAGGTTGAGAAGTAAGCGGGTCACACCGATCAGGTTGGAGTTGCGACAGGTGGTGGACAACAGTCTGTCTAGCTCTTCCGGTTTGAAGTTGATTCCGGCCCTGATGAGCAGGTCGGCCACTTTGGTGGGTGTGTGGTCGCCGGGTTCGCCGATGCGTTCGTCAAAGGGCTGCATACTGACACCACAGGCTTCGGCCTGGATGGCTTCACAGAGGGCCTGCTTGAGGACCATTTGGGGGATGGTGCCGGATGGTAAGAATCGGTTTCTGTATTCGAGGAGCAGGATTAAGACATCCGAGTACCATAGTCGGGACGCTAGGATGATCGCTTCGGCTAGGCCTTTAGAAGGTCTGTAGCCCAACGACCCGTATATGAAACACTGGATCATTTTCTCGACCACTGACACATGGCCGTTGCTGATGGCATCCTCGAGAGGTGTTCGCCAGTCCTTGAGATGTTGAGGAGCGGGATCAGCCCCCATATTGAGGAGGAGAGCGACCAGCTCAACGTTTCCCTGAATGGCGGCATAGTGCAGAGGAGTTCTATACCGACCGGCTTGTTCCTCTTCGTGAACAGTGTCTTTGATGGCCCCGTAGGAGATAAGGATGGAGATGGTATTTAGATCTTCGGGATTCTGAATGGCAGCTCTGTGCAACGCCGTGTAGCCATCTTTATCGCTCGCGTTGATGCTCTTCCCCGCGAGGATCAGTGCATTGATGCGGCGGAAATCACGTTCTCGTGCTGCTTGCAGGAACTCCAAGGAAACAGGGGTCTCCATGATGAAAGACATGGTGAAGAAGAGAAATATCGAAGAGAAGATGGTGAAGCGGATGGTGAAGAAGATGACAAAGTGATGGTTAGTAGAAGAGAGAAAGCTGGAAGTCTCCTAACGCCATTCTGATTCACTTTTTCTGCCACCCACCAACACTGGATCTGGCGTATTCACGTCGTCTCATGGCGGTGACGTCAGTCCAATATAATCTCTCTGTAGAATGCACTTTTGGCGTGGAGTTCCCCTTGTGTATCTGGTGCTAGCTCCAGTGTGATCCCATGCGCATGGGATATGGCATGAGTTGAACGATGCCATTACATGAGAGATGCTTGGCTGTGACCAAGAGAGCTACCGTGCCCTGAAATCTTCAGAATTGAGGATTTGAAGCCAAAAAGAGTGAGGATGCCGTGGATGACGTTGCTCTCAACATTTCATGTCCTCAAGCAGACGCCGTAGCCGCCGAGATGCAAGGCTGCCAACCTTCCCCTCATTGATCCTGCCTTATCTCAACCACCTCCTCATCGACACCGGCAGAGACAGATCAACATGGCCCACTACCCCGTCTACCTCATCAAAACCTACCTCGCCATCCAAGACCCCGACCTCCCCTCTCCACGATACCATACCACGATCTTCGTCGAAACAGACCCCATCACCGGCTCAGGCCACATCCACGAAGTCGACGGCGACATAACCTCCCCAGGGGGAATGCACTATCAAAGCAAGCCTGCTCCTCGGCCAGAGTTGACCGAAACCTTCTTCTCTCGAACACCGCTCGGTTTCACAAACGCAGCCGGATATCCAGAGACATGGGACAAGGTGCTGAGAGCAGTGCCGGCTCCACCGCAGCAGAAGGCGTTCAACATCAAGCGGATGAAGACGGAGCCGTTCAAAAGCCTATCCCCATTGGAGTTCTATGGAGATGGAGAGGAAAGACGGCCGTTGATGAAGTGCACGGAGTGGGTGGTTGATAAGGCTATTCCGGTGCTGAAGGAGGCGGGGTGTTTGCAGGATTCACTGTCTTTGTGAGCTTGTTGGGGGTTGGTGAAGGCTGCGGTCTTGTTTTGAGCGGGTACTGATGCTGTGTGGATTGGCTGCATGGAACCAACTGGTTGTGGTATCTGGTTTGTTCGGGGTTGCACTGGAACTGCAACTGCGCGAGTGGACAAGCTTCCACGGCATGTGATTTTTTGTCCACACCACCTGATAAGATACGCAGCCTTCTTACTATCCTATGAACAATATATGTCCCTTTGGATATGAAAGTTCCTCCAGACATGCCCGAGAATGCACCATTCCGTAGTCTACAACTTGGCAGATCTTTCAGCATACTGAAGGTCTATCCTTCAGCGTTTGAATCAACTATCTGTGGAAAAGACTACAAGCTTATATGGGTGAGCTGCACGTGAAACGGTAGGATCGAGGATTAACACTAATCACACTGTTGCTGGACTGCAATAGAAGGGCTGATATAGAGCTCCCGCTGAACCATGTATACAGTGATCAAGGGATAGAAACTGGTCTGCATTCTCTCAGATAAGCTGTGACTAAATCCTTTGAATCTCAACGCAGATATAGTAAGAACAGAGAACCTCTGAAATGTTATCAGATCTATCAAGAAAGCATCCATCATGCATCCTGAATGCGGTTAAAATCATCAGGCACCTTCCAACCATGTGTTTGGCATGCTCGTCTATAGGCAGATACCGACTCGCTGAACGGGTAATTACCACTGCCATTTTGAAGCCGTGCAGGGTATGGATCTGTCGAACAAAGAGCCAAGCGCACTTGCAAAAGCACGCTCTCCATGGAGATCGTCGGTAGCCAGCCAGAGCTCGTGAGCAACTCCATGCACATGGCGCCGCCAGCTGTCACGTGGCCACCACCGTGCTGCATGAAGGGGGTAAAATGGGGACGGATGACCCGGATGAACGGAGGAGACATAGGAAATTGGGGCGGGAAGCGAATTTCCATGACAATGCTTGTCAGCTTGTTGTGCTTGAGGTCTTGAGCCAACGGCAGAGAGGGATCAAAGCTATGGAACTCGACGATCCATTGATAGACGGTGCTGATCAGTGTCCCATCAACGTACCAGCCAAGTTCGTGTAGGGGCTCTCGATCCTGTACTTTTAAGATTGCCTGGAGATGCCGCTGTAATGACTGTGTCGCGGTGGTGGTCGCGTAACTTGGCAGCCCCAGGAGCTGTAAGGAACCGGTTTGCAGGGTTCCAGGCCGAAAGTCGGTCTGGGGCACCGGATCTGAGCGGGCCTTTCTCTCCACTATAACGCAGTCCGGCTCACAGGCATCATCTTCCAAATCGGATTCCAGCAAGCGCAGATCATCGATGAGGGTCGCCACGCTAGCGCAATCGTCACTTGGGTCAGATCCCCCCGGGGCTGGCCCGCCCATTGACACCTTCCTCTTCTTTCTGACGTGCGTCGATGCTGGGGTGTCTGCTCGATTGTGGCGGCTGCTCAGGGCCGAGATAGGAATGGAAACGGGAGAGTTATTGGTTCCAAGGCAAGCATGATGTGGGTCCTGGCTGTAAACCTTCGATGGTTTGAACGTGCGTATCCCTTGAGATGCGAGATGCTTGCCTGAGATGAAAAGGTACCGCGGCTGAATCCAGTCCAGCTGCGCAACAACATAGAAGGGAGCGGTGCATCGGAATGCATGGGGTGCATTGACTACCTCATTCAAGGAGATTGCAGTCATGATGTCCAATGTGCTTTGTGGCCAATTCGACAGAGGAACTGTGGCGTTAGAGTAGCCACTCGATGTGTTGATCCCTTTCGCCATATAAACACCATCCCCGTACGCTCGACCATGCAACTGTTTATTGAAGTTCAGTCCTTCTCTCAGGATGCTATGCCAGTTATGGACAGGACTTCCATGCCAAGCAAATATGGTGGGAAAATTTCCACTCGCACTTGCCTTGACTGCTTGGACGAACCGGGCTTCCTTATCTGGGGACCCTTGGGCTAGCCTGAACTGCATGTAGTTGTGCATGCCCGTGACCTGGTGCTCAGGGTCATCATCGTGTACAATGCATGATTGGTTGGAGGCAACAATCCATCGCAGTACATAGAGCGCCGATTGACAAATTCTCCCTTTCCAGGACTGAAGAGAAATATTTTGTCCAGGCCTTGCACCGCTCGTAACGAAGGACTTCATTAGGAACACATCAGGAAGCGTATTGAGAAGCGCCATGATTGCTTGCTGCTTTATGTCGCCCTTCAAATAGTCAACTTTAACACGGTAGGGCATGAATCGTACATTTTTCCATGGTGGTCGACCTGCGTTCTTGTCTCCAAAGCCTATGGCAATCGGTTGCGAAAGCTGGATCAGCGAGTTACCATGTATACTCAGCACCTCACAACAGAGCGATGGAGACCTGAACGAGGTGAACGAGTCATCGGAATCCCGAATAGCGACCCATTCCCCGACTTTGAGGTCGTGTTCCGCTTGGGTCGACAACACCGACTTGTCAGTGTCCCACGTCGCAGTCCAAGCCCTCAATCCCGACCCATCAGGGAACTCCCAGGGTACCTTCAAATCGAGTCCGGTTGGGAAATCAGTGAGCTCACCGGCCGAGGCTCTCGCATAAGCAAAGCTAACAAGCATGTCGACCACGTACGGCTGGGAGACTATTTCCCATTCCAGCCTTGGGCCCATGCCAAGTTGCATGTATTGGTACAGACACAGCGGACTGGAACAAACATAAGGCTTCAAGGCCTCAAAGCCGGCGTCTACTTTGCAGTGGCAATTCAGACAGAACTCCGTGCACTTGACGAAACGGCGAAGTGCATACTGCATAGTGATCAGAGGCAGGGACAGTTGCGATGAATTTTTCGCCCCTAGAAGCTGGTCCCCTTTGACGAAGCTTGGCGTGGAGTGGCTCCATTTCTCAGAGACACAATATTCGCGAGAGCTAACATCTTTGGATTCTAGCATCTTGACCTGATAATGATCGTGATACAGCTCCGCTCCTGTCCACGAGAAGCCGTGTTGAAGCCGGTTCCGTATAAAACTCAGGAAGCGGTCATTGAGTACAGTCTCCACCGGCTCTGTGATGAAGGACGATTTCATAGCTGATTTTGGTTTGGAGTCTGATGCACTCGGGCAAAATATGTCATGGAGTATCGCGGGTCTTGCCACATCCGGAACCGACAGCACGGTGGGCTTATAAGTATCGCATAGACCGACGTGCATCTGGACTGGGGACGGACCTCCCTGCCGTGCCAAGATCTGCGACAGCCCACGATAACCCCTGGGGTAGCGAAGGAGGACGACCAAAAACTGCTCAGGAGAGACATTCCACATTTCCATCGCATCCTCTGAGATTCCCAGCTTAGCAATCCGACAGGAGATAGACACAACAAGAGGGCCCTCCAGCTCTCCCAGGTAGCCAACTTTGAACCCGACAGATTTTGCTGCGCGAAGATCAGCGCGGAGTTGTTTTCGATCCGTAGAACGTGATATCACTGGAGCATCAATAAATCCGTCCCAGTCCAGATCTTCATCGTTATAGTTGGAACCGAAACCATCATCCACATCTTGATCATCGTAGCTGGAATCGAAATCGCCATTCGCCTCTTCATCGTCACAGTTGAGATCGGATTCTTCATCCGAATCCGGATCTGCAGATTCTTCTTTCAAGACAGCCTGATCAATGTCGTGGCAAAAGTCTTTGAGGAAGGTTTCTAGAGAGTAACGCTTGAACTTTTCCTGTACTGTCTCTAGGACAGCAGAAATCTCGTCGGAGATGTTGTCCGAGGCCGAGAAGACAAAGTAGCTATGGCTGGTGGGGTACTTTGTGACATCTTGTGACGCAGTTAGCAAAGCAGACTGAAACCATTCGATGGGGTTCAAGTACCTAGATGGACATTGAATTGCAGAGGTCGAGAATCGCGAGGTGACGTGCAGGCGAGAAATTGATCAATGGAAGGTGGGAGGTAGGTGAAAATGAAGGTATCATCGTTCCCAGCCTGGATGTGGCTCAGGCCCGGAAACCTCCCTGAAAGGGATACCTCCGAGAGGTCTTCGTCAAAGTTATGACGGGGCATGTTGTTCTTCTGGACGTTAGACACACGCGGGAATGGGGACGTAGGTGCCAGAAAATGACTGGACACCGGGAGATATAAGTAGGTATCTGAACAAGAAGTAGATGATGCCAGGGGCTAAGCAGTAGTGGTGCGGAGAAGTAGTGAATCGGGGGAGATTTCCGCGGGTGACGGAGAGGTACAAGTCAGGCGGGGCACAGGGAACAAAGGTAGGGAAAAACATCCTTGGGACTGGAGGCAATTTGACTGGGACGATTCTAGCCTTTTTATACTCACCGGAATGTGTCATGATGCGTGAGCGATGCAAATAGAATGATTCACTTCCATGGTACATACAATCCTTGAAAAATAAGATGAAAAGGAATCTGCCGGGTTACTAGGAGATAGGCGGTTGAGTTCCGTAGGAGAGAGCCATCCTGACGCAGCACACATACATACCCATTCACGGCGTGTGTAGCTTGTGTTTGCCGGTCGGTCTTTGTTACCCTCATAACAAGCAGCAGGGTTCCATTCCGATTGTGTTATCAGCTCTGTTATTCCACGGACATCCTAGCCTGAATATATCAAAGGCGGAGATAAGTCTGATGGTTTTACTGTGGTCCCTGGCTGAACCTTAGAAACCCACCAAGTAGTATAAGGCCTGGCCGGTGCGTTAAGCCCCAGGCATCATGGGAGACCGTGTGTAACCAGAGCCTGGAGCCTGGAGGGACTGGAACCTAGCCATGATGACCTAATGTTTGTGACCAATTACATGCAAGGAGTTATCCAACGTGACTCAGAAGTACAAGGTGCAGAGCGGTTCGCTTTCATTGACAAGGTATCAAGATTAATGTTGCTCAAGGCAACAGCATAACTTCCCATTCTATCAGGCACTAGGTCCTCTGTATATTTTGGTGGTAGCTCTTGATAGGAAGAAGTAGATGACAGCAGCTTGTATTGGACCAGTACAGTGACAGATTGACAGAAGAGTGTAATGTGAACATTGAAGTAAGCAATCAGGGGTATTAATCACCATTGCCAATTAAAGCACAGTGGATTGAACTCGAGAAAATCACTCGATAACTCTTTGCAAGTGTCATCGTCACGGTGGGGGCTGGAGTGGGTTTTCCAGTGGGACGATGCTCCCCACTCCTTCCAGAAAAAGGCATTCTCGCGTATTCGTATCGGATCGTGTACATCATTTGCTTGTCATTTCCACAACTTCTGGTGAAAAAAAGCCTACTACTATTAATATCCCCAGAAGCTCTGGAACAAGCGACTACATAAGATGGCCGTTCCATCCCAATCACCCGTTGACCATCCCCATCCACTCCCGACTCACAGTTGAAGCCCCTACGCCTGGATCGAGGTGATTCATCCAATGCCTCTCACAGTCTGTATAATAGACCAGCAGCCATGCTATTCTGGAAGCGAAACAATAAGAGGCCGCATAACCTTTCAGACTCCCAAGCCGGTCGACATCCAAGACATTCGAGTGACGTTCTCCGGATGTGCAAAGGCAAAGGTGCAGAAGGTCAAGGGATCTGCAGCCCCCACAACCAGTTATCGAAGTAAATGCATGCTTTTCGAGAAGGGGAAAATTCTCTGGCACCCGAGCGGCGACACCATTGCCCCTGGCACATACGAGTGGCCGTTTGAATTTGCCTTCCCGTCGCAAGTCCTCTCTGCGTCGTCGCGATGGCCCGAAGCGCTTCCTTTCCGCAGCGATGCAAATCATCCGTTGCCGCCGACCTTTGCCGTCAAAACCGCGGACGCTTTACGGAAAATTAAATGCACCATCGACTACCAGATTCAGGCACAAGTATTTTCGCCGCAGCGGGGGTTTCTGGGCAGGAAGTCACCGCTGTTTTCTGAAGTCGTGCGATTGAGATTCATACCCGGCTCGGCTAGATTGGACGTGAAGCGGGAGGGCAGCTCTGCAGCATATCAGCAACAAAAAGAGCAAGTGTTCAACCTTCGAAGCATGCTTCTACTTCCAGAAAACAGGGGGAGGAGCTTGAAACTGCAGGAGAGGATTCAGTCCTGGTTTTCATCCAGTCAATTGCCCCGGTTCATCTTCAAAGCGACTTTTATATACCCTTCTCGAGTGATCCAATCCACGCCACTCCCGTGCATCTTAGAGATCACACCTTTTATGGAGGACTCTTCCGTCACGTCTCCTCCAGAGATCTTGCTGCAGTCTTTGTCCGTCGCCGTGCTCAGTCAAACTGGTGCTCGAGCTGCCCCATCGCTGATGGGCGCACTATCCGGACAAGTAGACGAGCGGATCGAGATATTATCCAAGTCCTCTCTTGGTATGCCAGTTTCAGGGACAGTGGACCTGGCGCAGGCGTTTGGTCCTCTTGTATTCAGACATACGGACGTATCCTTTGGCACATTCAACATCAGCCGAACTTATCGATTGTCGGCATCATTTGTTTTTGAATGTGCGGGAAGCACTAGGAGCCTCGACCTCCCTGGTCTCCCTTTCGATATCTTTGCGGACTTTGAAGCACCAAGCAACATTCCAAGCTCAGTGGAGCACCTTTCAGAGGATGACTCCCCGCCATCATATACATCGGCTTCAATGTTGTCAACTGGAACCTTGGACAAATCCTAATTCGCATTCAGACGATAAAACACTGCCCTTTTTCCATCTAAGAGTCCGGGTAACACTGACTCCCATGCTGCTCACTGCGTTTGAGTCCCGAGGTTATCAGATAGAGAGTAGGATTATTGATAAGCAAAGGCTCGGGGGAGGAAGCGCAGATGCTGAGAAATTCGCCTTTTCAGTATTCTTGTCTCTTCTAATTATAGGCAGCATTGATGCTGTGTTGTTCCAAAACGGTCTACCGGGCTGAACCTTCACCAGAAGTGCGACCGCAGCAAAAGACTGGCTATGGATGAATGTTGAATGTTGCCTAGTGCTTACGGAGTGAACGGAACCTCCCTTAGCTTGTTACTGCATTAGGTTAAGACTGTTCGAGACGGCGTCTAACCGAGACCGTTGACTGGTGGGTGTCCAGCCCATCACGCCAGTCCGGTCACAATGCATTGAATCCCAGCCAGCCCGGGCGGAGTTCTCATGGAGAGCCATTTCCGGGTTTAAAACGCGGGGTCCATGTTCGCATTCCCAAGCGCCTCAGCTTGCATGCGGTCACTATGATCTCTCCTGGATCACCGGTCCGGTTGATTCCTAGATCACGCCGGAAATTTTCAAACGTGATCGTCTCATTCCTCGTCATTCTTGCTGTGCTCTGGTTCTTGCCATTTCAGCAGAGCATTGCAAGCCAACCAGCAACATGCGAAGACATTCAAGACCCTTTGGACCCGATCAAAAATGATACATTAGGGGTATGCTCGTGCAATCGACTACCCGTACTTGATACTCACAAAGCCTAGTTTGAGAAAATCTTTGCAATCAGCTCCCCTAAACGGCTTGACAGACGCGATGCGATTGTACTTGGCTCATCAGCCACAGGCTTCCATGTCGATTTCATCGACGAGGTCGTGTATGAGGAAGAGAGCGTCAAGGTTCGTCAACTTATCGCTCAGAATGTAGGTCTACTCATGCTTTAATATAGGGAAACGGGCCCGCGAAGGACCTTGCCGACATTGCAGCTTTCCGATCACATCTAAATGCTGTGCAGAGGTAGGCTTGTCGCGCTTTCGTCCGTTTACCGTCTAAACATCCTTTTAGGATTGTCGCAGATAGGCTTGCAAGTGCATTGATCATCGAAGACCATATCGATTGGGATGTCAATCTAAAGACACAACTCAAGGGATTTGCGCTGGGCGCTCAGAAAATCCAGAAGAGCAATGCGTCTTATTCCCCGTATGGAGACAGTTGGGACCTTCTTTGGCTGGGCCACTGCGGCGTGAAATGCAACACCTCGTCTCCGGTTCAAATCATGCCCCATGACATCACCGCAGTTTCTTCTCAGTCTCTTCCGCCATACTCGTATGATGCGCCCGCCGGCACGGGCAACAACGTCAGAGTGACCTGCAAGATGGAAGAGGCGGCATGCAGTGGCGCCTACGCCCTCAGGTACCGCGCATCCCAGAAAGTCCTCGCTACTTTGGCCTTGTCGACGGCCCCTCGGCCTGTAAAGTTCGAAGGGCTCCTCAGCCAACTCTGTCGCGATGGCTCGCTCGAGTGTTACTCTTCATACCCATCATTACTTGGAAGATGGAACTGGACCAGCCGCGAAGCAGGTCCGTCTGATAGCATTCAGGAGACTGATAGTCACGCATCGCTTTCTATGGGGGCCATGTACAGTACTTTACAGAATGTTAGGCGCCTGTTGGCTGGGGCATCTCAAGTGCAAGCGACCGTTGAGGATGCTTTAGTACCGGAGCTGAACCCTGACCTCTTCGAGGTACCATATGCTGTACTTAGATGGACAGATGAGAAGGGGGGACACGAGAGGCATGTGTGATATTATGTACTTAGCAAATAACATCCACCGGTCGGACCAGCATCCCTGTAGCTGCTCACTAAGCAGGCGCACGTGTTCTCAAAGAAAACCGGCGCCAGCAGGACTAACTGCATCCTCCCCATCGATCACCGACACCATGTCACAGGCTATCTCCAAACGCGAGAAGAAGAGGGCCCAAGATCGCAATGCGCAACGCGCCGCTCGATAACGTACCAAGGACCGTCTTGCACTGCTGGAGCATCAAGTCTTGCAGCTGCAAGGCGGTGCTGACAAGGCGCTTTCGGATGAGCTCGAGCAGATGCGCCAAGAGCGCCATGAGTTGCGCGCCATGACCGATCATTTAATAGCGCTTGCGGGCGAAATGAAGACAAAATTAGGGGGCGATGCTGCGCCCATTCGAGCATCGAACGATGAAGACGAAAATACCAATGCTGGCCTCATCGGCCACATCTTCCGGGACTACGAAGCACTCAGAACGGTTGGATCACCCCTTTCGCCTCTCAGCGACACACATGTTATCCTCAACGGCATCTTGAATGGCTGGAATGGTTCCGTTAGCGACGAGGAGGAACCCATCCAGCGCCTCATGGCTCACCTGCATCGCCGATTCATGCTCGAGCGACCCTTGGCTAGGCCGATTGATCAGTTGGCTGTGCTAGATCTGGTCCAGATGTCGTTTTTGGTGAGTGTCTCGCTCCACATCATGTCCATCGCTAATGGCATCAGTTCTTACTCTCCCAACATGGAGGATGCCAGTCGTGGGCGTCTCAAATTCCAGGCTGGCTACGCCCCACGTAAGCGATCGCTGCTCATGAATACCCTTTTCTAACTTTCCAAGACCAGCGCAAGTGAAGATCCCGCACAATATCTCCATCGACATGCTTCCATGGTATGTACATCTACCCGCGAGCCGAACCAGCTGACAATCCCAGGCCACAGCTACGCATTCACCTGCTTTCAACCCAGCTGGAAGCCGCCGTAAGCACGCATACCCAACCATGCGAAACTTTTGCAGTGAACGCTCTTCGAAACCTCTACTTCTCTCCCCTCATCAACTTCCAAGATGCGTATGAGATCGGCCTTGACCGCAGAATCGCTGTTAGCGCGCAGTTTCAGCAGTATTTTGCGCCTACTTCCGTCTCGTGTCCGTTTTCTGTTGATTCGGAGTTTCTCACTCAATATCCTGACTTTCGAGGCCTTGTGCCTGATTTCAAGGATCCAGCGAAAGCGATGAGTAGATCTCACGGTGGCTCGAGTATTCCACTACTGCAGAGTCTTTCCCCTCTTAGCCAATCGGGTCTAGTTCTGGAGGGTGCCGCGATGACAGCCTCGAATGATGAAACCAGATGCTTGTCACTAGCCAGTGAGGGGCAACACTTGACAAATACGGATGAGATATCTTCAAGTCTATCACCACTTGGCCCTCACAGCCTAACTCGTCTATCGCCAACTATGCACAAACCAGAGAATACAGACCAACACCAACCCCATTCGCTTACCGACCACACAGTCGGTAATACCTTCAGTAACGAACTAAGCGACATCTGGCAAGACTCGGTAGATCTACTAGCCGGTGATTCTGACGCGACCTGGCTTCTCAGCTCGAATGCCCTCAACTGATAATATGGTCAGTCTTCTTTGGAGATGGGTTCAGGCGAACTGCCAGCGTTGGATCAACTATAGCACAGCACAATGGACACAACGCGTACGGAGTGGAGTATAGTCGGGCCATTCTACCTCCTCTCCTCGAGATTACATATCCTCTATCAATTCTGATGTATATACCTGCTACAATCCCAAGCATATCACGAGGAAGGAGAGGAATAGTATAGTATTACTTGAATTGCATCGATAAAGTAAGAAATAGAAGTATGAAGAAGTACAAACTTCGTAGAGGAAGGAGGGGATTCCTGCCTCAGGCACCAACAAGCTCGGGTGTGGAGTCCCGAGTGAGTGCCTGACGCTTCCCTCTTTTCGGTGGGGCGCGGTTCGGGCCGGGGTCGGGACAGAGTGAACATCCAGGAACAGGAACAGAACAGGAACAGAACAGGAACAGAACAGGAACAGAACAGGAACAGAACAGGAACAGAACAGGAACAGAACAGGAACAGAACAGGAACAGAACAGGAACAGGAACCCCTGTATGTACTGTGTAGAGTTGGATGGAATGAGTGAAGTAGTTCCATCTATGAAAATGATCCCAATGAATAGAAACTATTCAGTAAGGATGGGTAAGGGGAGTATTGAGTATGAGTATGAGTGTAAATCCCCTACGGTTTTGCCAGGTGGGTCGATCATATGACCATCGGATGATGTATACCTACGATGTACTATGTAGATACGAATTTTGGGGGTGGGAGGGGGATTGACTTCTGATTATTATGGATTTCTTCGTAGCTTAGGTGGGTTAGGATAGGATGGTAGATGTGTACAATACTACATGGAAGAGATGTTTGCGTATAAGCAATCAATTATTACTACCGTGGTAGATCATCATACTATCAGCTAAAAGCCCATTACCACAAGTCCATACTCACACCACTAACTCTCTCTCACATTACCACCTACCACACTCCCTACCCCTCCCCTACGACAACAAGGACCAAAGTCCTCACTTACATCTCCACAACTTGCACCTCCCCTCTAACCTCCCCCTTCTCGCCCACCAAATCCAAATCTCCGATCTCCTGCACACCCGCCAATCCCAAGCGCTCATTGATCCGCTGCATGCGCAAGCGATCCGCCTCGGCAATACTGTCCATGCCACCGCCAAAGAAGATATCCAGCTCCTCGAGGGTCTTATCCTTGGTCTCGGGGGCGAACTTCCAAATGAACAGTCCACCCAGGGCACTGAAGATAGCAAAGAAGATGTACGTGCCGTACTTCATGGAGTTCAGCATGTCCTTGGTGGTGAGACCGATCACAAAGTTGAACATCCAGTTGGTGGAGGCCACGATGGACACACCGCGAGAGCGAGCACTGTTGGGGAAGATCTCTTGGGCGAGGACCCATGTTACCGGACCTGTTTTGTTGCGTTAGTGGGTGGGTTGAATGGATTGGGGGATATTTGGTAGTAAAGGAAAGGAGAGGGAAAGGGAGGCATACCCCAAGAGTAGGCAAAGTTGACAGCAAAGAGCCAGATAAATGTGATCGCCACCCAGCCCTGAGGCTTATCCAATCCCATATTCTTGTTCCAGTCATCTTCGTACAGACCCTCCACGATGGCGACGACAATGTGGCAGAGGAACATGCCGATGGCACCGGTGATGAGGAAGGTCTTGCGACCGAATTTGTCAAGCAACAGCACAGCAGGCAGCGTGAAGATAATCTGGAGAATACCGGTGACACCGGTGGCGAGGAGGGTCTGCTTTGTAGAGGAGAAACCGAAAGAGGCAAAGATCTGCGGGGCGTAGTATAACACTGCGTTGATTCCCGTGAATTGTTGGCAGATCATGGCTCCTATTGACAATCACAATGATTAGAAAAGCTGGAGGAGGGGGAATGGGGATGGGAGGCGGGGTGGGGGCATACCGCAGCCCAGTACCAAACGCTTGAACATGTTCGGGGCGAAAAGTGCCTTCCACGGGGCAAGCTTGCCACCCACTCGGACGGCTTCCGCCTCGGATTCCTCGTCGAAGAGCACGGCGGCTTTGATCTCGAGGATCTCGGCGCGCAGGAGTGGGTCCGTTGGGGGCAGTCTTCTAAGCTTGGACAGTGCGGCAGTGGCTTCTTCTTCGCGGTGCTTGGACATCAGCCACCGCGGGGAGAAGGGGAAGAAGAACATTCCGAAGAACAGGATCCAGGCGAACAAGATCTGCAGGGCCAGGGGCAGACGCCATGCGATGGTCTTCTGTCCGAGACATGTGTGTCCGTGGTTTTGCGCCGCATTGTACGTGCCATCGGCGAGGTATGGGTTATCGATGCCTTCAGGATTGCAGGTGGTACCGCCAACGTATTGCATACCTATGTGCGAAGTATGGTGAGTACGGATCTTCAATGAGGATCTTCAGAGGCAAGTGTCAAACGTACCATAGTCCAGCCAGAACGCGATCGACGTGCCGATCGTGATCGACAGCTGCTGCAGAGACACGAGGGAACCTCTCAACTCGGGAGGCGCGATTTCTGCCTGATACAGAGGAATAACCTGGGGCACCAATTAGCGCAATACAACAAGACGAAAAAAAAGGAAAATACCTGACTGAACATTCCAATACCAATACCACCGATGATACGACCAGCAAAGAAATACGACGGCTTCTGGGCACCAGCTTGCAGTCCAGATCCCAGCGTGAAAACCACGACAGCCACCATCATCGAGTACTTTCGAGAAATCCGATCCGCAAGGTAACCGTTGAACAGCGCACCAGCCCACGCACCCAATTCCAAAGCAGAAACCAGCCATCCCTGAATGGTAGAGCCCATAAAGTACGGGAAATGGTTCTCAAAGTTTTCCATAACCAGAACAGGACTCATGACACCCTGATCATAGCCGTACATGATACAGCCAAGAGAGGCAAACGCACAGGTTCCAAAAACATAGGGATTCTTGAGCATACCCGCCAAGCCATGAGGCTTCTCGGCGTTGGTACGACCAACGACTGACTGACTGACCACCATGGCGAAGAACTGTCACCCCAGGTGCCACGAGAACGAGACAAAGCAATCACGCAACGGGGAGCAAATGGTCAAGCCTTGCCAAGCGACGCAGCATACGAGGGGAGTCTTGGTATATAAGCAATTTCCTTCCCCCCCGGCTCTCAGCGTCCGCGCAAAGCATTTGGGTGGCGCCTGGTTCGCGCTCGGTTACGACTAGAGGCCCAACAGCCAAGAAGCCAGTACGGGCAATTATCGGGGCCAGCACGCTGGCTGGTTCATTGCGTTCTCGTTCATCCACTGGTAAGGGCCGGCGTGCTGGGCTCTGACTCCAATTCCACGAAGAAACAACCAGTCGAAGGCGTTGCAAAACGCCACCAAGAAAATTTCGACTAGTGTTTAGCCGCCCGTGACACACTCTCACCCCATGGGCCCAGTTGTCCCGGGGTAATACCCCGGAAATAGTAGACGGGGGCCGTTAGCTTCGCTGTAGTGGCCTAATCAACCAGAGCGCTCGGAGCCTCGGACATTGTGGTCAGCAGCACGTGGCTTATTCGCGGAGCAAATGGGAGAAATTGATGCAGACGAGGGTAATCAGGGTATAGTGTCAGACAGGGATCTGTAAGCGAAGGGTCCTGCTGCGAGCCTGCCCTGCTGCCTGCCTTATGGCCATATGGTCCGGGGATCTGGGGAAATCCGGAACAACCCACGGCACTGCGACAGCCAGACATACCGGAGAAATCCACGTGGCGCGTGGTTACCCCTCACGTGCCTGAGCTTAGCGTCGTTGTCAAGTCGTGTTGGCCCATTGGAGTCGGGGGAACTGACAGTTTAGCTGGGCTGACTGGATTGCACCTTGAGATCTCGCAATCGGGGCGAAAAGAAGCGAGCTACACGGCCAATCATCGGGCGGAATAGCCAGTGGCGGGCCGTGCGAACGAGTCTGGGCCCCCATCGGCTGTCGGCCGTCGGCACCAGGCGAACTTTATTAAATTGCCCGCTCCTAGCAGTCAGCAGTCCAGCAAGCACCAGCTGGCGACGCAGTGCGAGCAAGTGACCCTTGACCAGGGTCATTTTGGATGGGGCCGGGGATAAAGGCGTACCTGTAGGCACCTGATCTGGAGACAAAGAAAAATTCTATCTTCTCGTATCGCTGTGGAGGGACTTAAAATAACAGAGGTAAAGAGCCAGGTGGGAAATAACTTATCCGGAAATACGAGGAATCACCACTCCTTCCCCAGAAGTCGGGTGCCCTTTCTCAATTGCCCGCCCCCAATGGTACCCGGGTAAACGCTAAGTCCCTTGTCCGGCACCCTCATCAGACCCCCATCGAACCACTGCCACAACAGACGTAAACCCTCCCTGATCTCAGCCATTGTTGCCAGGCTCGTGTCACATCCCGCAAGCAGGATGGCCTTGCGAGAAGCCTGGAAGATTTGCTCACAGCCCCTCGCGGGGCAACAATCCACGCGCAGCGACCCCACGGCCAGCTGCTTGACCGCAGCGCTCATCAAATTGATGTCGCCCACAACGCCGATTACAATATCCACGCCGTGTTCGTCGGTAATACCCGGGATCCGGGGTTGAAGGGTATTCTCGGGATGTTCCAGAAGAATATCGGGGTTGGAATCCACACGCCGCGCGGCTGTCAACACGGTTCGACTGCCTATGGTCTTGGCAATTTGCACGGCCGCTGAGCCGACCGCTTCAGTGGCGCCCGGGACGAGCACGATGTCCTCCTTGCGGGTTTGTGCTCGGCGTAGATAGAGAAGTGCAGTGTTGTATGCACTCCCACGGTGGAGGCTTGTAGCAGGGTCAAAGCGAATGGTTTCTCGACAAGTGCTCCTTCGGAATAAGACAGTACCTCGCATAAGGCCCGTTAGCGGTGTAGCTAGAGCTGATTCACTACTTCCATAGCTTCCTTTCCAATTCACTTGTTGGCTTCATCGCGATCACTTTGCAATTCAACGACGGATGTTGAATGGAAATGTTCGACCAATGGCGTCGCCTTCGCCTGGATGTCCAGATATGGACTAGCGTAGGTCACGGGTCCCACCAAACCTGCGACTATTCTAGTTCGGTCTTAGGAAGCTTTTCATCTACTCCGTACAGGAATCAATCTTCACGATGACTTCTATTACTTCCGAGCTCGCATCTGAAGAGAGGGCTAACCTTATCCGGCGTCTCAGCCTCGTACCCGGTCTAAAGTACCTGGACTCTGCAACCCATGCCATGCTATGGCTGGGTGATATCGAGAAACTTAAAGTAACTGTAGAGGCGCTAGAGTCAGGGAATCCGTTATCAGAATTTACTATCAACATTTACAGAATCCTGCCTTTACAAGCCGACTTTGAAGGCATGGCTTGCCCGGTCTCAAAGAAGAAATGAGCCCCCGCAACCCACCGATCTAGTTTCTCCCACCGCCGCACCGAACACCCCCCAAAAGAGGAACTTTAGGGATAGTTCCAGGTCTCCCTCCAAACCCCCTCGATTGAAAAAGCGGTCTAACCCCGCAAAGGACATAGTGAATGAAAGAGACGGTGGGCGCTGTGTCATCACTAAGATGAGCGAACCCATCCAGGTGTGCCACATTTACCCGTTTGCGTTAGGAAGTAAGCCTAAAAGCGAACGGGAAAGCTTCTGGCGCCTTCTGGGCTGCTTTTGGACCTCGGAGACCATTGCCAAGTGGAAAGAGTCCATCATACATTCTGAAGACATAGATATACCGCCAAATTCAGAGGCACCACAAAACGTCCTGTGCCTCTCGACCATTGTGCACGTCCTTTGGGCCTCGGCACGCCTTGCCTTTGAACCAGTCAAGTTATCGGAAGACCAGACATCTTTGACAATGCGGTTCTGGTGGCTCCCACTGCGGACTTTCTCTAAGCATGTAGACCTGCGCGTGGCCCCCTTCCTCCCCTCTGATCTTAGAGCAAGTCCCCTCAATGCCAAGTTGTGGAACCGCGAGACAGATGAACCCATCTATTCCGGACACCTTATGACACTGACGACCAGGGACCCCGAAAGCATGCCCCTCCCATCCTTCGATCTCTTGCAGATGCAGTGGACCTTGAACCGGATTGCTGCTCTGGCTGGCGCGGCAGATGTCATAGATGAGGAGTTCGAGCCTGACTTTGAGAGCTAGGAAGACTCGATTCTCGAACCATTGCCTCTAGAACATGTAGAGCCCCGCCGCAAGCTGACCAGCCACGGGCCACCCAGCAGCAAGAATTAGCCCCTCCACCCTCCACGCCCAAAGACATCGTCAAAGATTCGAGAGATCTCAGAAGAACCGTCTGACGCTTTCAGTTTCATCGATACCTAAAACAACACTACCCTTGCCGAGGATGCTGATTACAGTTTAGATTGACATCGCTCTCTTCTCGCTGTCCATGACTTTCTTCTGTCTTGCTTTTCCCCTTTTTCTTTTCTTTTTCCCTGTTTCTTTCTTGTTTTTATTTCTGGCGGTCTATCTTTTTACGATCAAAGCCGGTTTACCGACTACGCAGTGAACGACAGAAGAAAATTACACCTCATATCAAGAACAAACCAGACTAACCACCCTACCAAAGTACATGAACCATCTATTAGCCATGGCCAGAAGATATCGTAGATGAAAACAGCGTGTCTAGATTCTTGTCTCCTGTTAGACCACCTTTCATGGACACTGAAAAGCAGCAGGCGATTCTTCAGAGTTTTCTCTTCTTAGTGAGATTGGGTTCTTTGAGAAAAGAAAATAGCGACCGATCTCAATATATATAAGTTAGATCGATCATGTATAGGATTAGGTCTCTGCGATGCTGCGCATCAACGGTCTAATTTTCCCTCGTGGGGATATACAAACGGTAGTACATGTCCAGGCTCTTTTTCTCCGTTGGAGTAGACCTACACCTGACTCCGGTACGTAGTCATCAGCAAAAGTTGTGGTAGTGTCAATGCCTTGCTATGGAGAAAATGAAAATAAGGGATGAGGGGGGGTAGAAAGGAAGAAAGAATAGGAAACCATTATCAGATTAATGACTGATTAGTCGAGTACAGGATGAAAGATACAAGGAGAGATGGTATTCTATATACCCGTGCTGGCCGGGAATTAAAAGGCCACCAGCCTGATTAAGGAGTATATTGCAGGCTATTAGTGCCCCCAATTCCACCATACATTATGCGTGGTACCCTCTATGGCGCCTTATACCCAACCAACAATTACTATACTAGTTCGCTGTCTTCACGACCGACGCTTAAAGTTCAACCCGTAGGTGTCATGCACCGCAACAACCTCCAGCTGCTTGCCAGCCCCAGGTGCCAGGGAAATCCTGGTATTTCCAGGCTCACCGGTGTCGAGTTCGCCCTTCTCGCTGGCCGAGGCCAAGCCATCAGCGCTCTTCTCCACCACATCCCATTCAGTTCCGGCAGCAATCTCCAAGTTCTGACCGCGTGTTTCCCGCACAAAAATGAAACAGAAGATTGTAGCGGTGATGTCGAATGCCATGAATAGAAGGAAGGTGTTGGCCCCAATATTATCGATCATGTAAGGACTGGCGAAGGAGAAGCAGAACGAAGTGGCCCAATGAGCTAGCATGCTGCATGCGAGGCCCAGGGCTCTGATGCGCGTAGGAAAGATCTCGGGCACATAGGCCCAGGGAACCGGGCCCCATGAGCAGTTGTATACCTAAGGAGAATTTGAAGTTAGATACTGAGTCCTTGGTTTCAAGAAGAAGCAAGAGATCAGGTGTTGCGTACCATAATGTCTAGATAGAGCATGGCGACGGTGGCTCGACCGGCAGCTGTGACCGACGTATTCGACTCGGTCGGAATACACTTGACAATCAATGCAGTGATCAACATACAGATAGCCATGAGGGCTGATCCTCCGGTAAGCAACATCCGACGTCCGAATCGTTCCGCAAGGAATAGGATGAAGAAAGTGCAAGCGATGAATTTCACGGCGCCGAAGAGACCGGTAAGCAAAAGATCGCGATTGCCACCGCTGCCAACAAGGAGCTTGAAGTATTCTGGTGCAAAGACAGCCAGAGCACTACTTCCTGTCGCATTTTGGAAGACAAAAAGCATGGGCCCAACGAAGAAACGCAGACGGTTAGCTGGCTCCCACAGTTCGCGAAGAGAAAAGTTTTCCTTGGCGGCACTTTCAGCCTTCAGGCCGAGTTGTGTTTCACGAAATTCCTCAATGGTTTTTTCTCCCTCATCACCGCGGATCCAGGTCAGTGATTTCCAAGCTTCGTCGGTCCTGTTCTGGCTCAATAGCCAACGGACGGATTCGGGAAGTGTGAATGCCCCGATGACCATGATTCCTCCAGACACAAGTTGTAGACCCACAGGAATTTGCCATTCTCGTGAAGTTTTCGAAATCGAGGCACTTTCGGCGACACCCTATAGACTTAGTGTTAGCCCAAAGCCGAAAGCTATCCATCGAGTGCACATACGTAGTCAATCCAGTAAGCTGCGAGAATACCCCATGTGTATAGCCATTGATAGAAAGAACCACAACGTCCTCGGATTTCCTTCGGCGTCATCTCAGCGGAGTACATTGGGACGACAACACTCTGACCACCCATTCCAATACCAGCAATTATTCGAGCCGTGTACCAGGCGCCAAGCGAGTGGGTATTGATAACCTGGATGATCACTCCGATGCAAAACACAGCAGTTGAGCCGATGATGACATATTTGCGCCCGAATTTATCGGTGAGATAGTAGGCAACCAAAGATGCGACAAAAGACCCAAGCTGTTCAAGACCCACGGTTAAGGAAGAGACCTTAGACTCCTGGCCGCTGGTGTAGCGAAAATCTTTCTCGAAGGTACTGTAGCTGAGAATTCCGCCCGCGATACCGGAGTCATAACCCGACAGGAAAGAGGAGACGCTGAGCACAGTCCTGGTGTTAGCAAGCATATAACAGATATTGGGATCAGTCTCTCCTACAAGACGATGGCGGCTAAGTGATACGCCCGCAATGTTCCCAGCCGTGAGTTGAGTCTAGGTAACACCCAAAGAGCCATGGTATCGCTGCCGTTGGTTATCCGTGGATAGAAGCAAATTGCTGAAGATTGAGGTAACTATGGAACGGCTCAACCCAAGGGTATAAAAGACATCGACGCTCGGGGCCTTCATGACTTCCAGTGATCCTTCGATGGGCAGCCAGGCTGTACGGGTGGTGACATGCTACTAGCGTCAATTGCGTGCTGAGTGCCCTGCGAGTGCGCAATTTCTCTCGATCTATACTGACAGTAATCTTTTATATCAGCCCATGGTATTCATATGATTCTTGACATCCAACCAAATGTGAGAGAAAGCCGCTGGTTCGACGGTCCGAATTCGTTATCGTAGACGAGAGCCGACGCACGGACGTTGCTTCAGCGATACATCTTGCCGTCTGAGTGGGCTCCGATGAAGCTTGTTGCTGACGCCTTCGTGCTGATGGATGAGGTGATGACTAGTGGCGGCCTGCTGCCCGCTCGGCCTTATGGTTGGCAAAGCGAACGCGCGTCACGACAAGAAATGGTGGAAAGTGGTGCTCGGCATTCTGCAGGCGGTGCCGTGGCGAGTGGAACTAGTGATCGCGCACAATGGATACCTCGACACCCCACCGGAAGAATCTCCGGTTGCGCCCAAGATGCTTAATTTTAGCTTCCATCGGTCTTTAGAGTTGATGAAGCTAGAATCCACTCAACCATTGCCCATTCAACATTGTATAAACCCCCGCAACCGTCCCTGAACGGCAGCCTTGCAATCCGAAAGAATTGCTTGCTTGTTCTCTGCTTGCCTCTTATATCTTGCCATAATTTTCAGGCCAAAGTATTTGTGTCCCATGTGCGGGAACCAATATGCCCGAGCGTACTCCGTAGTACTGCATGCCTTCCCCGCCTTTTCCCTTTTGTTTTTCTTTTCGTTCCTTCCCCTCTTTTTCTTTTGGTAGACACATCTGTTCTAAATATAGTTCTCAAACTCTGAGTTTCGCGTATGTCTCTCAGAAACCTAGTACAGGATCCCATCCATGCCTTAGGCTAGAAGTTTTGGATGATGCCCACATCTCGTGGAGATAGCCCGACGGAATTAGGCCTTTTTATGTCACATTTGCACCTATTTAAGGATGCCTGCAATGTTTTTCTGGCTTAATCGTCAGTATCGAATCAAATAAAATCATTTGGCCAAGTTAGTTGGTCTTTAATCCTATTGAGAGTAGTTTTCGTGCCCAAAGTGTACAAAGTCTGCAAAGTGAAGTTTTCACCCATCGTTATCTACCGATACTAAACACTTCATGTCATGAGTCCCGGTTCCTTCTCTTGCGGTTGAGGGCAATATTCCTGTTCTCCAGTCACTATAGCTATGTTGTCACAGTCTTAACTCCCTGTTCTTGGAGGCTTAACGTGTGCACTAGAGAAAAAAATCCATTCCAAAAGTTGCTGGGTTAATGGGTGTACGTGAATATCGTTCATTAAAACAGTGTCAGATTCCGATAACTGATGACAGGAAGTCATGAGGTTGGTCTTTTCTTTATGGCTACGTGATCACTGATATTCTATCTGTTGCAACTTGGTCTGCCAAGTGCCGAGAACAACACTATAGACATAACATAGCTCAAGCTAACCACTCAGTCTAGAACAATTTCTCTTGTAGCGTGGAAGAAAAGGTGTTCTTTGAATCTCTTAGTATCTGACTATTCCCTAATGGTCCCACACGGTCAATCCTCATATGTTCGGTTAGAGAAGCTCCGTGAATTTGATATCGCTAGGTGGGTATCTCTCCCGCAAACCGTGAATATCGATACCTTCGTCATTGAAAGCAGGCCAGCTTTCTGGATGAAAGAATGTGTTTCATTTCTCAGACTCACGGTTACTGCTATCTTTGACAGATTAAAAGCGAAAGATCGTTATGACTTCTCTGAAACTGGCACAAGTCCACCCTCTTTCCGTGAGCATCGATTCTTGATTAGAATATACGTGCAAAAAGTCAAACCATGGGTGACGAACTTCCCAACGTCATTCAGTGGCAAGTTGCAACAACGTGGTTCTATTTCCCATGCTTTCGAGGATATCGGACCCATGTTGAACGGCTGGAAAGTGCCATCGATGATGCTGATAGCTCGAACTACGCCATATACCAATACTGCCCCTTCCTTTCCCCTTTCTCATGGGGTGTCCTCATTTTTGTCCATCACCCAGTCGACTCCGACATGCCTACTACTTTGGCCATTGCTCGTGACGAGCTGGTCAGGCTCCGAGAGGTTGCCAAATACCATGAAGAAATGGATACTTGGTCGAACTATGAGCCGAGTCGTCGCCCGAGTTCCAGATAAGACATCGAACAGTAAGTTGGTTGTAGTCTCTCAAAAGAATATTACTTACTAACCTGGATGATAGTGAGACCATCTGGACTCGGAAAGCATGAACAAGCTGAATAAGATGGGATATTTGGTTTGGTGTTTTTCCCTCGCCGCCTTCAAGGCTTCAAGGCCCCATCCTTTTTCTACTGTAATCTAGAAAATAAGTATTCTGCAGCGTTGGCTGGATAGTGTTGAGCTTTAATTGCTTTACTTTGATGGCTGGGGATATTTGGAAGCACAGGAAGAGGGTTTAATACCCTTGGGCAGATATGACAAATTGAAATTACCTTCCATACCCCCATGACTGCTGCTAAAGCCATCTTCGTTTCGACTGATGGGACAAATGGCACTCGACCGCGGAATGGGAAATACTGTCAATGCTGCCAAAGGTTTCATGAAGTCCAAATTTGCTTCCTCCCGTCGCACCCCATCTTTTGTTTTCAAGTATTATCCCGTGACTGAACTACGAGATATCCCCTTTCTGCTCTACGGCCTACCATGTGAGAATGTTTCTCTCCGGGTCTTTTTACATCCATCTTAGCACATCGAACTCTGGAGGCGATAACATGCATGTCATTCTACCATCACCTCCTCTGAGTCATGCAACTCTCGTCACTCGAGGTAATTAGCCAGCGCGAGCAGTTCTTATGAGTAAACATATAGTTTGCATAGCCACACCCATACATAATTATTGTATAGCCTTGGGGTAGTTTACCGCCTGTTTAGCTCATATTAGAATTTGAACCATGGCTGGCGATGCGTAGTGACTCAGCCAGGAGACGTAGCGATTAGTTTATCATAGGCAAAAAGACGAGGTATTTAATCCTCTTCTTCCTTCTTTTCATCACTAGTAATTTTCTATCACTTACAACTCTTTTCCAAGCTCCAAGTTCTACACCAACTTCTACACCAACTTCTACACCAACTTCTACACCAACTTCTACACCAGCTTCTACAGTAACCTGGTACATCTTTAAATCAACGACCTCCGCACTACAATTCTACTCTACAAGTTCTACTCTCTCAGTTAATAATGGCTACGAACGAGTTACCGCCTGTCAACAATGTGCAGGAATCAAAGACTCCACTCTCTAGACGCAAGCGTCTCCTGATTATCTTGGGCTCGTGCTCCATTGTCGTTGTCCTCGTCATTGTCGCTGTCTGTCTATCAATCCTGATTTCCCGGCAACTCCACCACGGCGGCAACGATCACAACCAGAGCAATACTCACCATGGGGACAACACTCAAAACGGAGGTGATTCTCCCACCGGCGATACTAGTCACCACGACGGTAGCACTTCCAACGATACTAACACCCATCCAGGACATGGAGGAAGCCATCCCGGCCAAGGTAACGGCCCGATTATTCCCCAAGATGGAGAATGCCAAGTCGTCAGCAAAGTATCCTACACTTTTTATGGATACCCCGACAACGACCCTCCGGGATCAGATATCTCAGAGGACTGTGGCCGCGGCATGGCTGCTGGCGGTATCGGCACCCACGAAAATCCACTCACCTTCGCCACGGCTCCAGGCGAGTTCGACCGATGCGAGATTGTCTACTCGCCGTACCTACGAAAGTACCTGATCAACGAAGACTATTGCGAGCAGTGCAATAAGGATTGGACCAGCCACATCTGGCATGTCGACGTATGGTTGGGAGGAAACTCGACGACCTACGGCAAAGAGCAGCTGAAGTGCGAGAACAGTTTGACCTCGCAGGAGGAAAACGAGGTTGTGATCAAGAATCCGAGCAAGGATCTACCTGTTGATCGTGAGTTTCTCTACAAAGATTTGGTGACACATACTGATGGTATCATAGTTACGTCGTTTTATTTGGGGGGCAACTCGGCTTGCAACCTCGACCATATCTATACGGACTATGAGAAGAAGGACTATTGTTGAAATGTTTGAACGGTTATGATCTGACTCATATATCGGGATGAGGCTTGCTTGGGATATCTTTCATATCTTTATTTGTATTTGAGTCTGGCTGTTTATTATTCGCTCCTTATGAGTTCTTATGTTGTTTGGGTACTGTGCATCACTGATGTGATACGATGTTGTTGATTAGCTAGTCAGGAAAGGCAGCCATTGCTATTTGAAATTGAAAGCCTCATAAATTTTCCAATGTTTAAAGTTGAATGTGCAAGCCCCAAAGAACACGCAGAAATTCAGATGATGTTTACAGCATCGTTACACTGCTTGCCTCGATGAAAATGGTTCTCGATGCACCGAGTACCTGGCCAGCGAATGGTGAAATGAAAGCCAGACAGTGGCCTATCAAGGCATTGGTTGTTTCTAATGGCATCATTTGTCCAATCATGTGGCTCCTTCCATTTCCCTTTTGCTTCTTTTGCTCCCTGATTCTAGCCCACCATTATAAACTCACTTATGTACCTGGATCGATGTTACTCAAGGCTCCTTGCAGCTGCAGTGATAGACACGTATATACAAAGCGCTCGGCTATATGGCCATATTGCAGGAACTATATGCCAAACATTGGTAGAAAATATCCACATGCCTGAATGCCTTGGTGGCACCAGGCTGGTGCGGGGAATGGGCCAATACCTCCCCTGGCGGATTCCAATGTCGACATTAATAGAAACGCGGTGTCAAAGTTGCGCTGCCGATTTACAATAGAGCACATGGATTAGCTCATGCAATTTAGGCTGATCGGGTCCAGCTCCTGCCGATTTCCCAAACTGGCAAGGGACGATCCCCGCCCAGCCTAAAGTCGTTTCAAATTGAACGGTCTAGGTACGGAACGGTTTCACTTCAATATCTCGGCAGGACCTCTCATTGTGACGGCTAAATGTCTTCTGCAGAATCAAGGGTATATATACCCATTTCCCCCCTTGCGGGAACTTTGCTATGTAGCATCAATTCGTCACCAAAAGCACCAGACTTCCATCGTGATCAATCATGGTTCACCTTTCCTACAAACTACTCGCCTGCTTGGCAGCGGCCAAGGCCTTGGCAGTCCCCGTTGACTCCATCGACGAACGTTCAGCTGAGCTTTCCCACAAGCGATCCACTACCAGCTCCACTGGCTACAGTAACGGCTACTACTATTCCTTCTGGACCGACGGAGGTGGTGACGTGACCTACACCAACGGCGATGCTGGATCATATACCGTCGAGTGGTCCGACGTGAGCAATTTCGTGGGTGGAAAAGGATGGAATCCCGGAAATGCCCAGTAAGTGATTAATTCCACTCCATACCTAATCCCTCTATTCTGCAAGCTGACATCAGCAACAGAAACATCACATACAGTGGCACCTTCACGCCTGACGGCAACGGCTACCTCTCCGTCTACGGCTGGACCACCGATCCTCTGATCGAATATTACATCGTGGAGTCTTACGGCGACTATAACCCTGGAAGTGGAGGTACATACAAGGGCACCGTCACTTCCGACGGGGCCACGTACGATATTTACACGGCTACCCGGACCAATGCAGCTTCGATCGAAGGAACTGCCACCTTCACACAGTACTGGTCCGTTCGTCAGTCGAAGCGGGTTGGGGGAACAGTTACGACCGAGAACCACTTCAATGCTTGGGCTGAATTGGGAATGGACTTGGGAACTCATAACTACCAGATCGTGGCTACGGAAGGTTATGAGAGTAGTGGATCGTCGGATATCACTGTTGAGTAATTATGAAGGTCATTGGTTTCTGTACGCTGGTAGTATTATGAAGCAGCCATGCTTAAAGCTGGAAGACGAGATGAAGTCATTCTTTTGACGTTTCTCATATATTCTCAATATACCCCTATTCCTACATTTATCCAGTCTAGTTCTTATGGATATAACCTGGTACATTAGTTCTCTCCTATATGTTGCACAGGTTATTTGGTTGAAAAATACGATAGAATAAGAAAGCTAATAGGGGAACCAAGGAAAGCAAAGCGAAGATAGAAAGATCTATTTGTTCCGCTCTCTGCACAGGAATGGAAAAATTGAGGCCCATGAATCCCGTGACCATCCACACTCAAGCCATCAGCTCCGCTTCCTTTCTTTTCAATTTCTTCTTCTGTCTATTCCTCAGCTGACGCTGGGTGACAAAGTACCACATGGCCAGTGTGAGCAGAGTTAATGGCACCGCCAGCACGATGAATATCCAAAACTGGCGTGATATCGAAAGCTTGTCTCCGTTTGCGAAATCGAAGAGATTCATGCCGAGTATCGTCTGCGGATGTCAGTCATCTTATCTGAGTATCTCTTCAGCAGCCACTGACTTTACGCACCGAAACAAAGCTTGCAGGCAAATATATCAATGTGACGAGTGTCACTACCTTTACTGTGGCATTGTCGTCGAATCCCTCATCGGTAAGCTTCAACATCGATTGGTTGATGTCTATTATCACTGCCTGATTCCTCTGACTTAGGGCGACAGCTAACTATTTGTGATTTTCGTTAGTACCAGGCTATATGAGTGTGACTTTTAAACCTACCAATTCAGAAATCCCCTGCGCCTTTCTCTCCAGTACCCCTACACTTCTCAGGTGTCCCTCCAGGTTTACTTGGTATGAAGCAAGGTCACCAGCAGCCCTGTCGTAAGCCTTCTCGGTTGTGAGACCTTTGAAGTATAAGAGAGCATTGATCTCTTGCATCTTACTTATTGTCGCCAGTGCAACACCCATCCAGGATGACAATGGTAGGATAGTGTCTCCCAAATGCTGCGGTTTGAGTAGTTCTAGAAGGACATTTTGATCAATGTCTTCTGACTTTGAGAGGTCCCGCGTGAGTGCAATATCTGCCTATTCCTCACTATCAGCATCTTTGGTCCAGATTTCAGAGTCAGAGATTTCACTGACAGAACTCTCTAGTTGGTCACCTATGTTTCGGATACCCCATCTCCAGTTCACCAGATAAGAAGACAAAATAAGAGAATGCAATGAGAACCAGTCATGTCCCAGGAGGCTTGGACCATCAGCGAATCTAGTCTCAACCTGCTGCAGTAATTTGGCACTAGGTTTGGCGTGGAGAAAGACCCATAGATTGCCACTTCCGGAAGGTTTATATCGGTGAAACACGCCTATCTGGCGTATTGTCCACTTTGTACTTCCGTTAACTTTATACTCGTCGGCGTAGGTGAGAAGGTACTGCATATCTTCTATAATCAGCATATGCTTAACCAGTTCGCAGATCGTCAGCGGTACCGTATGAGCCATCTGGTCTCTGTTTCACTTTCATTTCTCCCAGTCCAGCATCCGAGTTACGCGGCTTATCACCGAACGAGACGACAATGTCAAAAAAGTCTGCCTCTATTTCATACAGTTTCATCAGCCTACACAAGGCCTGTTCCGTGATTTGCAGAGGATTGATTGAGTTGCGAGAACATATTGATCTGGCATGCTTAGTCTCTGGGGGTTCAATGGATTCCTGCACTACCTACACGATTCGTGCATCTGGCTTGGTGTTTGTTGATATATAACTTTCGAAACTCTCGCTGCGGGTAAATAGTTCATCATGCTTTTTTGCATTACCCGCTGATGCAGTCAGTCAGTTTCCCGCTTTATGTTGGTGGGAATAACAAACACGCATAATCTATTAGGCGAATCTCGGATTTCTCGGGCTGGGTGATCAGAGGAGGATAACGCAGGTAAGGCAAAACATATTCATAATAGCCTCCATCAATGTCGCTAGCACTGATTGCTGACATCTCATTAACACCTGCCCATACAGCCTCACCAGAGATCGATAATAGCAGGACGAAGGTTATGAAGCAAGGTCAAATATATTGCCCCTTTCTCGGAAGGGTTCTGACTGACGTGTTACTGGGTCTGCGAGGCAGAATTACGTGCGCCACCTAGGCAGTATATCAAGCAATAAAATGCAATATTAATCTGGCTATGGTGGCACAGCCTCCACAGCTACATTATCGGACGCACCGCCTCCTACATCTGGAAGGCTCAGCAGATACACAAAATTGGCTATTTCCACGAAGGTTTCGACCGCTCGGTAGGATGATGACCACCTTCATCCATCAGTTTACTCGGTCAATTTCTCGCAGATCACTATGATATTGTCCGTTAGCAGTGGTGCCCATGGCAACTCGTCGACAGTGCTTACTCGATTTCATCCTAACGGGGTCAGTAATCATTCTTTTCATCAACTGGGAATTAGTCATTCTTGGCTTACCCTGGTGACGATCCTTGGAGCGTCAAACACAAAGCGCTCATTGACATGCTTTATTTGCAAAAGGTCAGCCGTAAGCTTACTTGTGACCATAAATCGCAAGTTAAACCCAGCGTGCTTACGCGAACCCTGATGTCGTATCGAAAGATACTTCTGAGCCTTGCTTCCAATTTCTCCTTTCTGATATACCCAACAAGATCCTGGTTGATGATATTCTCAATGAGTTGAACCATAGCGATAGCGAGACAAGGCTATCAAGTTGTCGGTAGATTACGTGATGGGGGCGGGCAATTTTGAGCTTTCAGAGTTCAAGGCTTCCTTTCGGGCGAACAAGCACTAAGAACGGCCGTGCGAGCAGAAACCCGCTGGACACGAGGCTGAGGAGATGTGGGGGTAGGATTACCGGGCGTGGATGACCGGATTTGTATCAGGCTGTTGAGGCTGAATGGGTGAGAAGCCCCGTGAAATCCGACTATCGCGAACCTTCTTTGGGCCTTCACGCCTTGATTCCTGAAATGGAAGGGTCTGCTGATGATTCACTCCCATATTAGTACAGGACGCAGCCTCGCGGTGAGGCGTCATCTATTGGCTGTTGAGTGCGGGGAAGCCTCCCTAGATCTCTTTTGTCGGGCGCAACCCCTCCGCAACCATTGTTGTGCACCTCGGCCATACAGCATGTGAGATCTTCCACCAGGTCTACGCAATCATCAATTGCAACTTGTGAAGATATCGACACGAGCAATATCACTACCGCGCTTCCCGCCAGAACAGGCGATCGGGAAGCATATCATTCTGAAGGTAAGCCAATGTGCAGAAAAGCAATATGTCTGAGCTGTACGAGGCACACCTCCGAGGACTCTTGTTAATGCATAGGTGGATATTAGTTCCTTAGAGAATGGCGCCAATCAGAGGAGCTTTGGCCCTTCCTTCGATGGTCTCTGAGTTCACATGCCTCACTATGTGGAGTTATGTTCGTCATTACGATCGTTACTGATAGACAGCAGCTCCGGATTAATCTGATTGTATTTTACACCGAGCCTTATCACCCGGAAAATATCCTTATGCGCCTACCAGGATCGAAAGGATTCCCGAAGTTAGGATAGCCCGCTCGACGATTGGTCTTACTCTGCAGGCGAAGTAATGCGAGGTGCGTGTTACAGACAATTACATTATGACTCCCATGAGGCTGGCCAGGGCTGGCATTCGTTCGAAATACGAGGTCTTGCTCCAGTACGGGCCACAGCCTCGTCCTAGGGCCTCTTGAGCCTCACAACTTTGCCCAGGGTGCATCTAACCTGTGACCCAATGAATTGAAAAAAACCCTCCGCTGGGATGGATTTGTTCCTTGGTTACCTACCCACGACATCAAATTGGTCTTCTTGACCTAATCGCGAACAACTGTACAGTGGACTTGCTATAGACCCCAGTACATATCCTGATAATTATTGGCTCCTCGGAGGGTGAAGCGCTCCATTCGTCAACAAAATGGAAAATTCTCCTTCGACTGTCAGACGGTGAGTGAGATATCCCTTGCGTCTGATAGCACATGCAGGACTTCTTCTCTGAACGCACTTCTCCTTACCTTACTCACTCTAATGCAACCCCAGGCACCGGAATCCACTATGGAGTCGAATGCCAGATGAGCTTGAAAGGGACGTGCGCGGATTCCACAAGCGAGTTCAACTAGAAGACGTCGTAGATGTCGATCTACTTATTCGAGGAGCACGTATAGCTCAAAATCCGACAAATCTCGCGATTCCCGGTTTGACGAAGTCAGAAAAGAAGGCTCTGGTGGCCGAGAAAACTTCTGAATTCTTCCAGCAATCCAAAGATCTCAAGGTTACAATACTAACAACTGCGTGTGCTGCAATCACACAGTGAGTATACCCCGCAGCCAAACAAGGTGACACAATCAATGACACATGCAGGGGGTGGCAGCAGTCATCCATAAATGCTAGTTCAAACTTCTGGAAATGCGCCTTTGGTCAGGAGCACAATGAACTACTGGCCGGGCTGATTGATGCGGCCCCATGGCTATCTGGCAGTATAATGTGGGTACATTCCCTGTCTCTAAGAAGATTTATTGACCGACTGTTTAGAGGGGCATGGTTGAGCGATCCTCTACAAGAGGGAAAATACGGTCGACGACCTGCACTTTTTGTGTCTGCTGTATTCTGCGCCGCGTGTGTGCTAGGTATGATATTAAAGATTTACATCTTCGTCTTCGGTTGCTTATTATGAACAGGAAGCGCTCGGTGCGAAACATGGCAGCAGCTGCTGGCGTGCCGTTTACTTCTCGGAATAGGGGTAGGCTCAGACAGTTTAGTACATATAGTCAACAGCCACTAAGTTCATTAGATCGGAGCAAAAGCGTCAATCGCCCCTGTATTTGCGGCTGAAGCAGCAGTTGACCATCTCAGAGGCCGACTTCTAATGATGTGGCAGGTGTTTGATACTTTGTAAGATTCCCCGACATGGATATCTGCTACGGAACTAACAGATTCCAGTGGAATATTTCTCGGCTTTGCTGTTGTTTGGATTGTTGACCACAACTGGAGGATCGTCTTAGGATCAGCTGCGATACCCGCCATCGTCCTCTTATTCCTCGTGTTTGCCTGTCCCGAGTCTCCTCGATTCCTCATTCGAACAAACAACTATCAAAAGGCTTATGAAAGTCTCCGCCATCTCCGTGGAACGGACATTCAAGCTGCACGAGATCTGTATTATATACACAGTCAGCTACAGACAGAAACCGAACTGTTGCTGGAAACTCCTCCGGGAAATTGGTACAGTCGCGAGGCCTACCAGGAGGTTTTGAGGAATATGACCTTTTTCCAGCGAGTCAAAGCTCTCTGGACTAAGCCACGAAACCGCAGGGCTTGTCTGACTGCGTTTCTGGTTATGGCAGCACAACAGTTCTGTGGGGTCAGCATACCCTTGCGTCATATCTTTATCTGCTAACGCTGGTTCACAGATTAATGTGGTTTCTTTCTACTCGTCTATGCTCTTTGGTACGCTATCTGCAAAAAATAGCGTAGACTCGTGTCCCTCGGGAAAGCCCGGATTCACGGCAGAAGATGCTAAAACGGCCTGGCTGAACTTTGGTAATAGCCTCACTACTGTCCATTCCAAGGCTAATACAAGTAGGATTCGGTCTCGCAAACTTCCTCTTTACACTCCCGGCTTACAGGTACATTGACTGGCGCGGTCGTCGATTCCTCCTCCTCATTTCTTTAGGGGGGATGTTTTTCTCCCTCCTGGCTATAAGCCTTTTTCTCCGCATACACGACGCCAATGTCCGCCTTGGACTGGTTGCCACCTTTACAATTGGCTTCTTTACCTTCTTCTATGGGATCGGGGCCGGACCAGTCCCGTTTACTCTATCTGCCGAGGTGTTTCCCCTCGCGTTCCGCGGTATGTTTCATTCCTCATCTGCTATTATTCGCTTTCGAGTGGCCACGGTTACTCATAGGCCATAGAAGTCGGAATGTCCTTTAGCGTCATGGTCAATTTCCTCGGATTAGGGCTTTTGGTTCTCTTTGTCCCGAAGCTGATCACTGCGTTTGGGGGAAAGGATCCAAGCGATGCTACCGGACAATCGAACCTACTGTTTCTGTTCACGTGAGTACCTCCTCTACTGCCTGACGCTACTGACACATTGCTAGGGGACTGAATGTGTTTGCCTTTGTGCTTGTGTTTCTATTTGTAAGTGCCAAACACCTGTTACCTGAAACCTGCTGACGGCTCAGGTCCCCAGCGGTCTGGCCAGAGTCAACCTCGAGGAGATGAACTTTATCTGTACGTCTTCCGCTGACAGGAACAGCAAGATGCTAACTGCGTCTAGTCAATACGGAGACCTCCCGCCATGTCCAGACTCATTTGGACGGGCTGAAGAGGGTCTGTGGTGGGAAGAACCGACGTGCAGGCTTGGAATACTCCTTAGATGATGTACATGGGCCTGTTGAGTGAGTAAAAATCACAGATCCCGGGTCTAGTTAATTAGGGTGTGTAATGTTTAATGGAAAGTTCCACTCCAGCAAGGCTGATTGCCACTCATGCTCTGGAGTATACCCACCAGTTCTCGAGATAATCCGATTTTATTCTGCATCAATTCCGCCCGAGGGTCTGGAACTACCTGAAGTGGATCCACGAACCAATCAACGCATGCTTAGTCATGAAAGTGGGCTCGCTGGCAGGCTTGGCAAAATCTCTATCGGGTGCAAGTGCTTCTACCAGATTGTTTCCCAACGACGCCCAGCATCCCAAAACAAAACCAACATGAGATGAGAACCTCTCCCACAACTTCTCTGCCTCGCTTTCTGCAGGCCATAACCCGTCCACTACCCAGGCGCCATACGACCTTGCAATTTAGTCCGCCATTAGGCAGGTTCTTGAAAGATAGAGCCTTCATCATGACAGGACCCATCACCGATGGCGCGCAGCCGTATACCACCATGGCCGGGAAGCTGGACTCCAAGCTCCTGCAGGCCCTCGATGTCATGGGGTTTACGAATCTGACCCCAGTCCAGCAGCGGGTTTTGACCGACCTGCCCAATTGGCGCAGTGACTGCCTTGTCCAGGCCAAGACCGGCACTGGCAAAACCATCGCCTTTCTGCTCCCTGCATTGCACTGTCTTCTCCAGGGATCGTCCGCAACCCCCAGAGGTCAGGTTGCTATCTTGATCATTACGCCCACGCGTGAACTGGCCCAGCAAATTGCCAAGTCTTGTGATCAACTGACCTCGCAACTGTCGACCCCTTTGCGGTGCGACATCGCCGTGGGTGGAACTGCTCGGGCATCGGCCTTTGCGCGCTTCATGAGGGAGGCTCCATCCGTTCTGGTCGCCACTCCCGGTCGCTTGAAGGACTACCTGTCCGACCCCGCTGCGGCCGAGAAGATGTCTAACATCCAAACCCTGGTGTTGGACGAAGCCGACACGATGCTTGAGGCTGGCTTTCTCGCTGACGTGAAGCAAATCCTCCGGCTTATTCCCCCCAAGAGTACGGGATGGCAGGGCATGTGTTTCTCCGCCACCGTTCCTCCCAAGGTTCGAGACGTGATCAACGTGGTGTTGAAGCCAGGCTACAGTAGCATTTCCACCATTGAGAAGAATGAGGCCCCCACGCATGAGAGAGTACCCCAGTACCACGTGCTGATGTCGTCTGTGGCAGAGACCTTTACCACGCTTACGTCTTTGATTCAGTTGGAAAGCAGGACCAGCTCGAAAATCATCGTGTTCGGCGTCACTGCCAACATGGTGGCTCTCTTTGCGGCGGCCTTTGCCCGGGGCTTGACGCCGTTGAAGGTGTTCGAGATTCATTCCCGACTCAGTCAAAGCGTTCGCACCAAGACCACGGAGCAATTCAAGGAGGCGGATTCCGGGATTTTGTTCGCGTCAGATGTCATTGGCCGTGGCATGGACTTCCCCAATGTCGACTTGGTGATCCAGGTCGGACTGCCCACGAACGGGGAACAGTACGTTCATCGGGTCGGTCGTACGGCCCGTGCCGGCAATGACGGTCGCGCCATCATTCTTCTCACGGAAGCCGAATCGTTTTTCATGAAGACCAATCGCCACCTGCCCATCAAGCCCCATCCCCAAACCGATGCGATCACTGCGGGCGCTGCGTCATGTACGGAAACCGTCACCAAGGTCATGTACACCATCGAGGAGGAGAAAAAGCAACGTGCCTACTCGTCTTTCATCGGCTTCTTTGCGGGGTCGGGTCTCCTGAAGCAGCTTCGTATCGACAAGGCTGGTCTTGTTCAACTCGCCAACGAGATGGCCATCAAGGGTATGGCGTGCCCGGAGCCCCCACCGATGGACAAGAAGATTATTGGCAAGATGGGGTTGAAGGGCGTTCCCGGATTCAACTATGCCAGCGGGGATGACTTGGTTCGCAGGCCCCACCATCGTACTTCGGGCAAGCCTCGCGATGTGCTCAGCCATGGAGGAGACCGACGAGGAGGAGTGGAGAAGAGACGGGGTGGAGGAGGTGGCCGTGGGCGTGGAGGGAGTCAGAGAGTTTGAATCTCTGCTTAGATTGCGAGCGATTTCGGCAAGACCATAGAATTAGATTCCAGTATAATGCAGATGCTAGTATAGTTATTGGAAATACCGATCATAAATGTTATACATTTTGTACAGCTGTATTGGGCGATGACTAGGTATCGTAGTCCAGTTGACTATTTCCTACCACTGGTATATTCGCTATGTAGCAAAATTCCGACATTCCAATGGAATCTATCTACTATCCAGTTTGGTGTTGTATGTTTGTTCTGCCAAGTCTCTTTGTTCCGGTCTGGCTTCGTCAATCACCTGGGTCTCTTTGTTTCTTCCTTTACCTATATCATACAACCACGCCATTCTACCACAACAACGCTACCATGATCCTCTTCTTTATCCTCAACCTTATTCATCCGTCAACTTCCCAGTACTGACGTACTCCTCCAACGACATATTCAGTTTCATCCATCATAGACTCGCTCAGTTTCCACAAAATGCTCCCAACATCGGCAAAACCAGGCCTCTGGTCTTTGACGCGGCGCAGGTATCTAGCACCGAGTGGAGGAGTTCCGAAACCTGTGAATTAATCTTTCTGCCAACACTTGAACACATCACCACCTTGAAGCCTTTCAACTGAAGTATCCTCCAAACCTGCACACCTCCATCATCTCCCTATCCTTACCCCTTCAACATCCGAATACTAACCCGATGTCTTTCTACCAGCCCGCCGCTTGGTCCTTGCCAATATCTCACGATCTCCAACTTCCGATTTATATATACAACCATCATCCAAAATGCAGCAACACGCCTGCTCTATACGGAATCTTCCTCTACCAAAACAACCCAATATACTCTCAGAAATGCAATCTATAAACGAAATCGTCTATATAAAGCCCCCGAGTATCCACGATAGAGCTCACCATCCATCTCCAGCGATCAGCATCACTCACGTCCTTCCACTACAATCCTCTCCCAGCTCGTCTTTTCCGATCTCCCTGCGTTCTGCTTCTCAATCACCGAGAAGTCGAGAAGTTGCTAGACACAAGAAGTGACGAAAAGGCCTGTTGGATCTATCCCTATCCCCACCCACACCACCCTACTCTACTCCACTCTTATAACTTTACCCAATTCTTCGGCAATATGTCGTCCAACCAACAGACTGGAAATGACGATGTGCAGGTCAAGGAAGCCACTGTCGGTATCCGCGCTCCGCTGTTGAGTCTGAAACAGATGGACGACGCGGCGAGGTCGGCTAAGACCAAAAGAGAGGAAAATAAGAAGAAAATAGCGGCGGAGGCTTCCAAGAAGGACTAGAATGGTGGTGAGGTCTTATAGGTGGGGTTTCCTTTTATACAGGTGAGGTGGTGATGGAGGGAGTGGGTCTAACAAGCTTCGATGATGTTATGCCCCATCGTCTATCTCGGTAATCGAAAGCTTAAGTTTCACGAGTTCGAAGCTTGGGTGCATGATTATGACGGTGGGTGATTCTTCCTGGCATCATTGACTTGGGGTTCTATTTTTAGGAGGAGTATCGAGTGCACAGAATGAGTATTATGATCTGGATGGCTATGGTGGGAGGTCTGGGAAATTGATCGAAGGACGGATTTCCTATGGGTGGGAAAACAGAAACACAAAAAAAGCGGAAAAGAAGAAACCCACAAAATAGTATTTCGGTACTATCTGCCTATCTGCCTTGAGGCAATAATGAATTTCTTATCATCTACAAAATGACATCCAGCTGTAGCAATGTAGGATACTTAGATGACGCCATACATAACCTGAACCAACCCACATCACTCAAGCATTAAATGTTAGTCAGCCTTAACCTCATCCAACTCCTACCTCGACCCTGACACACAATAGGGCTTTCAACAATAATACCCTTCTTCCAATGCCATTGACAAATACCACCACCCCAACTCAAATCCAACACGCAACCCACCAACATCACCAAACCCACATCAAAATAAACAATGCAATACACACAGTACAGTCAAGATAACAATAAACAAGTGGAGTCTGCATCAAGTAGTATCTAATCACTACTATCTACCTCCCCTCACATTAACACACCATATTAATCCCCCCTCACATTAACACACCATATTAATCCCCCCTCCCCTTCTATAGAATCTAATTGGCCAACCCACCCGCCGCTGTAAGCCAGTCTACCCTAGATGATCGCCGTTCTATCCGAGTAGTCTATTTTAGTGCTAGCCTGCAAAGTGGGTCCTCTTTCCGCTGGAAAGGAGAAAACTTTGGTTTGTGGTATGGTATCCGTTCCCGCTGTTTCAAAACTTGTTTTGGGTCGAGTGATAAGGGGAGGATGATGTCTACGTGATGACATGAGATTCTTTTAGTATTGCTCTGGCTGTTTTGGTTGATATCATACGAGTACAAAGTTTGGGATTGGATTAGTGGTTTATTGTCTCATTGTACGGAGTACGGGGTATCTGAAAAGTTTGCGTGTCTATTAAGTAATATTATCCTCGTGAGTTGTACCACTAGGTAAACTATACTATACTATACCACTAGCTATATTCTAATTAGCGAAACCATAATCTATCATACCCATACGACAACATCTACAGTATCACTGAAAGAAGTAAGATAGTAAGTAAAGCGTACATAACCCGCGATTAATTAAATATTATCTAAATTCCCATAACCATCATCATCATCATAAAACAAAAACTCCATCCATGCCATGCTCATGCTATCCCCCATCTAAACACCATTTTCATAGTTTATTCGTCGAGATTATTATATGCGTCGTTGGTTTGTTCGTGGTATGTTGTAATCCTCGCTTAGAAGTGGAAGAACTTGTACCTATTCCATCCCGTTAGCACACTGCCTCTTTACTATCAACCCAGGGAGGTGGACAAGGGGGAACATACTTCCGCGAGAACTTGGCTTTCCAACCATGTCCACTCGTCGACGACTTGCTGCACGAATCCAAATGCTCCTGGGATCCGTTCTTCATGTCCTTGAAGGCGGCTTCGACGTGGCTTCGATCCAGGCTGCGGGGGCTGCTGCTGCGGCGCGAGGAAGATCCGAGGCCGTAGGATTCAGGGCCGATCAAGGGGTAGGGGATGGTCATTGTGGAATGTGATGTGTTCAGTAGATCGGTAGGTAGGTATTTGTGACGATGACGTTCGTCTGGAATGCTCTGCTGAGCTGTAGAGGATTGATGAGGAAAGAAGTGATGCTTTGTTGCTGATGAATCCTCAACCAGACCAGAGGAAAGGCAGTTTATATAACTTTCCAACCCATATAAACCACGTTCATTTAAAAAGGAAGAAAAAAAAAAATCACATTCCAAAAATAATCCCCGGCACACTCGATCCGATGGTCGATGGAAGGACTAGAACGTGGCACATCCTCCCCCACTAGCACTGCTTCGGGTTTAGACTGTCGATTTCCCGCGCGCGACACAAGCAACGCCACCCATCTCTTATCAAATCACGCATACAAAAAATCTCTTCCCTCCCAACTGATTGACTCACCCCAACCGCCGACTTAACCGGTTGATTCCTCGGAGGGATTCAATCGGTTGGTTGGCATCATTTGAACATGTAATGGTTATTGATGGATGCGTCGAGAACGTCGTGATGTGTGTACGTAACGGTTTCCTGTTTGCCAGCCCCTGGATATTTCGGAATGTGGGTGCGGGCTTGCAGCAAGGCAGGTGGCTTCCCGACCGTGCGTGTGCTATCATCCGGTCGCTTCATTTGATACTCCTGTTGATCGCGCTGTCTATCAGGGTTTGAGATATTGATTCGTGATGATTTTGCCGTTCCTTGTTTAATTTCCTAATTTCCTATATACGGAGTAATTCTATTTTCCTACACATACGGAGTACTAGGTAGTAATTGTATCGAACTCCGAAGAATACTCCGTCGGCACAGTTGATACATACCTCCCAACTCAACCCAACCCACACTATACCCATAATCCCTAGTATAGACGGTACTGTAGTTTGTACCATGCAAAATCCCGCACCACACCGCTCAACACACACAGCATAGCATAGCAACATAGCATCACATCGTCACGATCTACACCTCCTACCAACCATGAACGCGTCTTCATTCTTTCCCTTCCAGTCTACATCTACATCCACGTATACCTCCCCATCTACCATCACACGATAAAACAATTGGGAAAATGAACACATTCTATACCATACACAGTACACCATACGCATATCAAAAACCGGATTATGGGATATTGCTGGATTGGATTTCGTAACATGATCGTCAGGGATAAGCAAGCATCGGTTAACGGCCAGACCACACCAAACCCCTGATAGGGAGAACCCATATCAACCAGTAACCGGAGAGTTAGTGTTGATTAGATGGCACGATAGGTAGGTCAGGTCAGGTGGCCGCCACAATCTGCACTGACTATCTACTAGCTTGGCTTGCTGGCTTGCTAGTCGCTAGTTGCTAGTTGCTTCATGTCACGGGAACACCCGCCCCGCCCGGCTTTCCTTCCCTCCTTGACTTTCCTGCCCCTGATACGTTGCTGATCCTGATGGTGTCCTCCTAATTAATCCCCTCGGGTCAATTTCCTGCATTGTCTGCAGGGCGAACATGTTCTAGAAGTCGGAGACTTTATCCTCATTTATCAGGGCGCGTTGTTTCATTGGTGTATGGTTTATCTTCAAGCAGCGGGATGGCACCTGCCAGCTGCTAGCTGGGTATCTAGGTTTGCGCCCGATCGCGCAATGCGCTGCGATGCGCTGCGCTGTGCGGTGCGGTGCTGAGTGGCAACTTGCTCAGTGTCGGTCGGGTTGGTGGTGGTCTGGCCTGGTCGGGCGGCCTGGTTTTGCACGGGCGTGCGCTTCACAGCCAGGGTGGTTTGGTTGGGTTGGGTTGGGTTGGGCGAGTCACGCAACACCGCCGCCTTCTTGCCGTCTTGCCGGCTGGCTGTCTCGCTCACACGGCATCTTCAACCCGATCTCGGTTGTCACGATGGCGAAAATTTGCAGCTATCAGCAGACTTTTACGATGCATTTCGGCATTCCAATTGTCAAATGAAAGAGTCATCATTGATTAAATCAGAAACTTTTCCGTCTGCGACATCCATATGATTTTGTCGCCATTCCAACTAGCATCATCAGTCTAATTCCTCAGCACCGTAAACTGAACATGACTTTTATCCAGATCCGACTTCTCAATCACCTCAACGATACTCCATCCAGATTGATTGATTTTTCCCGTCCACACTGCAGTAAAAGCTTCCTTCGACTGCAGCACCAGCTTGTGCAAACTATTCTCGGTATCCTTCTTATTCCCACCAACCACAAGGTCGGTTTCATGGTACTCGGTCTCGCTCCCCAGGACGCTACGCGACAGGGTCCCCTCTGCTTTGCTGCCCGGGGTCACGTAAACATGTCCATCGGAATCCTTCGCGGGGTCCGTGTCCTCCACTAAATTAAACTCGTCCGTGCTGAACAGGCACACCTCGTCGTCCCCGCTGTTGACGGTAATCCGCGCGTTGGGGATGCTAATCTCCTCCTTCGTGGTGTTTTCTCCTTTGATGGAGACCCCTTCTACCTTGCCAGAATCAAAGACGATGTTGGAGATGGTATATTCCAATTTCGGTGGTGGTGCGGTGTCAAATCCCCCAATTAGGCCTTTGGCAATGTTGTCCACGAATTCTTGCACGGGATCGCGCGGCGGTGAGCCCCCAAAGAGGTTCACGAATACATTAATCAGCATCATGATAATGCCTAGAACGGCCAGTACGGCCCCGAGGATGGGCAGCGCAGTGGCGAACACCCCGGTGACCGTGTAGAGCCCGATGGACTCGCCCACTTCAACAACGTCCAGGATCACAGTCAGTGTTTGCGATAGAACCGCAATAGTGTTGATGATCTTTCCGCCAGTCGTTAACTTGTCCCAATCCTGGACCAAACTGTGCTTGGTTAGTGATTTTGCAGTATCGCATCAGAAAGGAAGGGCTGCAAGTACCTGAAGGTCATTGCAACGACAATTCCAATTCCCAGGAACCCGTTGAGGATCTTGACTGTTTTGCCAGATACATTCCATTTGGACGCCACCTCCTCTCCCCCCGCCGGGAGATTATCCGGAAGCTCATCGGCAGCTTCGTTCCATCGCTCGCCTCCATCGGTCTCAGTAGCCGGGCCTTCGGGGATCAGATTCTCGCCCACAATCTCGTTGAACGTGCCTTCGCCATTGATCTCATCCGACATCTCGGCCATGCCAGCTCCACTTTCTGCAACAGACCTTTCGACTCCCTGATCAAGAGCCGCGCTATCTAAAATATCTTCTGCAGTCGTGGCAGTTTCTCTGCTCGTATACTTCTGCCAGGCATCCCGGGCTTGGCTAACGCCGTTCACCGTAATCTGTATGATTTCCAGGACGACCACCGTCTTCTGGGAGTCTTCCATCTCGCTCCAACCCGATATGAGACCGTAGAGGCTCGTTGCAAGTTGGAATACGTAAAAGGCGACCTAGCAGTTTGTTAGCTCTTGTCACATAGGTTCTCACCACACCATACCATTCCTATCGTAGCGACCGATTTCAGCTTTGGTAGCTCAGGCAATAGGCCACCAACCGCTTTGGACACCTGTTCGAAGCCAACTTCTGCCAATTGAAACAGCCTTATGCCTTGCCACGCAAGAGCGAGTCCTTTACCCACCGCGGTTAGCCACTTCTTCGCTTCTCCCAGAAAGACCGCTCCCTTCTCCACAATATTGCTGGCCCTAGACGCGGCGGTTTGGCTCTGATCAAGACCATTTGCCTCTTCAAAGTCTTTGATGTCCTGTTCCAAGCCCTTGCGCACCTCTTCGTCGATACTAGGATCGCCCTCAAGAACACGTTGAATGAGATCTTTCATCGAATCGTGTAGCCACTGGCCAGCAAGGTCTTCATCTTGGTCCACATATGGATATCGAATATGATGCTCGCTAGCAAAGCCAACGAAAAATTCGAACCACTTATCTGCCACCCCTTCCGACGGCGCCAATGCATCAAGGATACAGCACTCGCGGTTGATCACATTTACGCTCTACACCAAATCAACCAGACGTCTTCAGTCCGATGTTAAACCAACTTACCCCTTGAATAGGATGGGCGAGGTAGGTCAGCATTCGGCCCTCGTTCTTCAATGCACAATAAAGAGTGCAGGCCCACTCCTCCGGATTATCGTCTAGATACTTGTCGAGTATATCTGAGTTGAACCTCCGAACCGCTTCAAGTGAGGTCCTCCGGTTGATCTCTGCGTAGTGCTTGGATTTTGCGAGACAGTTGTCACCCTCAAGCGCTGTCAGCATACGTCGTTTAATCTCCATACCTAATGCTCACATTTCCATCCCACCAGTACCGTAAGTTCTTCTTTTCTTGCTCAGTGAACTGCTGTTCATACTGTTCATAGTGCGCTACCGACTGACACAAGAACGCCGGCGCGTATTTTTCACGCAAGAACTTCTGTAGATCGGTCGGCAGGTTTTCTCCTAAACTCAAAGGCAGATCAGTAGGCTTGCTTTGACCAGTAAGGTCCGTGCGCTGATCGTCGTCCATGTGGTAAAACATCATGGATTTGATGAGAACTTGAGACATGTTATGAATCTGTTTTGAGGTTAATTTGCGAAGGCAGTAGTTTTGTCTCTGCTATAAGTTATAAGCTTACCGCAACCTCGTCATAGCCCGGTGGATTGAGAAGCTCGTCCACAGTACCCTCCTGAGCACGGTGCAGCTGCTCAGTCACGACCGCCGGTTGCAGTTCCGGGGTACATGACATTGGCACAGCTGGATTTGCATAGGCTGCATAGGCTCTAGAGGCCTTCGACCGCATAGCACGGATTTCAGAGTCATTGATGTCGGAAGTTCCACAAATAAAGTGTCTGTCATTCTTAGTAAAACATTAGAGAATAACCCGACAATTACTTACCTATCTCCCTTGGTGTCCCGCATCATAGGGTTATAGTCAAATATGGCACCGGTCACCTTGTAAAGATCCTGATCATAGTCGATGTAAAATGACTGGAAAAGGATCGGAAGGGTAATGTCGATCCCCAACTGAGACTGAAAGCTCACATTGAAGGTGTTCACATCCATGCCAGCATCAGAAATGAACGGCACAACACTGGCAAGGTTAAATTCCACGGTTGCTCTGATCCTACCGTCGTCAAGTGGAACCTCCCAACTGTCATAAAGTCTCCCAAGATCTCGACCATACCTCTCATTAAGTTGGTCTCGGAGCTGATCGAGCACAGGTATCCTTGTTTGAGTCGTCTGAGATCCATCAGGTGGGTACAAAAAGCCCCATTCAACATCCATGCCAGATATAGCATCTTGTGGCTCATCTCTCGGCGTATCTGGTGGCCATGAGGCCTTGTCGTACTGCATCGAGACTGTAATAAGAGGTATGTACTCTCCTTCATCATCGCTATCCTTTTGGTTTGTCTTCTGCTTCAAACGGAGCCTTTGGGCATCGTCCGCCACGCTTTTCGGCATCGCCTGGAATGGCTGGACATCCTGCTTGGAGTAATGCCGTGCGTCAGATGTCGGTGAAATCAGGACCACCCCCTTACCCGACAGTCCGTGGTAGTAGAGAGACAACACCCCATGCTCGAACATGTTTTCCTGGACTTTCCGAGTCCATTGAAACGTTCTCCTGTGGCGCTTCAACTTGCATCTTATCTGTGGCTCACCATTGACAAGGATACAGCCATCTATGACGCTAACCTCCGGCAGCTTGTAGCCAGAAGGCAATTGCCCAGTTCGATTTGTGTGTAGCGAGAATGTTCTCTGGACTCTATCTAGCGGAATACCGTTTGGAAGCTGCCGTGGGTTGCCTTCCATGGCTTTCAGCTGGTCGCTTGGAGAGACAAGACAGGGGAAAATCTCGGACCGTGAAAATTGACCCTGCTTCATCTTCTCATAGCTGCCGAATAGTTCAAAGTTCAAGCGTTGATGAATTGTTTGGATGTCGTGTTTTCTGAAAGTTGAGTCAAGATCGTGGAATGAGGCAAGAACGGACAGTCGCTTTTTTGGTGGAAGGGAACGAAGTGCACGGGCCGTGGACTCGACGGATTGCTAATGCCTCGTAAGTATACAACCGGGAATAAATTCAATGCAGACTTACTGTAGGATCATTCGTTGCAACAAGGTACCCATTGGCGTGGTGAGACTGCTGGCCTGCCCATAGCAACACGCTATGGACGGTCTGCTCCGAGGGATAGCCGACTTGGATGGACCCAATCTCTACAGTCTCATACGCATAGCTCTCTGGGAAGCCAGTCAGGCGGAAAAGAACATGTCCCTCCTTCAACGGTCCAATATGAGCAAGCGGGTTGCTTGTCTTGGCAGTTTCTGGATCTACCGCCCTGAGCCCGGTGGTGGTATAGAACACTTGCGACGGGGTTGTAAAAGGCTGTTCGCCGTCTGTCGAATATGGTTGTAAGCTCTCCTCGTAGCGCTATGAATGGTGCTACTCACTGAAGCCGACGGAGCACACCGTCATGGCCTTTGAGGCTACGGTGCTATAACCCTCACAGCTGTATAGCGGCGGCTTTGCCGAAACAAGAAATCGGTCATCCTGCGACACACTTTCTATCGAATTTGATCTGCCTTGAGCAAGCTCCACGCAGGTTCCAGATAGGAAGTAGGACCCTGATTGCTCCGGAGGAACAGCAGATATATCATTCTTCATGCCCGTACGCTTCCCTTCTCCGATAACTACAATTGATGTCAGCTTTATCTTTGGATTCCACACCTGAAGGGCCCCAGGTGCCCTAACCCTTGTTGACCCAGTCTGTAAGAGCACCGGTATTTCTTTCTTTCCACGCCGTGTGAACGACGTTGTGCCAATTCTCAGCCATGGTGCTATGGAAAGCTTTATAGAGCTTCTCCGAGTAGCTTGTGAATTCGTTGATAATGGCGGCCTCGTCTATCAGGCGGTGGAGACTTGCTTGAATACTCTCGAGGTAAGCACGCAGTTCTGGAAACTTCTCTGTGTCAATCGAAGCCTGGACGGCTTTGTAAAACATATTCAATGCTTCGAAAGTCGACAAGGACCCTATCACAGGGCAATATGCCATTGTGGCAGCTTTTCCACAGAATTTGACTATCTTGTCCGTTTCCGATTCGCTTTCCTGGCCTTGCTCGCTCCATCCCACGAGAGGCCAAGCATGGAGGGCTCTGAAACTTGGTCGGTCCTTGGAAAATAACTTAAATATGTCAAGCCGCGCAGTCTTGTATACCAGGTAATCCGCAACTAGAAGGACTGAAATGCTGAATAAATGACTACCTTCCGTGGCATCTGTCAAAGCAATGTTTATGATGAAAGACTTGGTTTGTATTTTGTCGACGAAGAATTCGGCAAATCCTTTAGTATTCGCTAGTTCCCAAAGACTAGGGTGGTCGTTGCTTTTGAATTTGGTGTTGAGGTGTTCGGCAAGGCACATTGGCATCAGGTCTCTAAGGACACCCGACCTGAAGAACAGAGCGTACTGGGATGGTTAGGCTTAGAATATCTTGAAGATTAACAGGCTGTAGGGCTGACCGGACGAAGCTGGAGGGCCAGGAAATACTGCCACGTGCCATCATCGTCGATGCTCAGGAAGGCAGGGGCAAGAAAACTATTTCCCAGGCTACTAAAATCGCTTCCAACATCCATGCCATCTAGCTGTTGGCCGTGGCTTTCGTCTCCTGGGGGATATGGTTGGTCACTGCCAATGTACTTCCGGAGGCTGCTAAAGTTATCGTTCCATCTGGTTCGATAATGGATTCGACGTGCGAACCCATCAAAAGAGATGGCAGGAAGTGATTTCAAATCAGCCAGGAGGTTCTCCCAGAGAGTGTCAAATCCAGTGGACATTATGGACACTTTGAGCGATTATTGACTCTGGAAGAGCAAAGGAAAGTGGGCAACTGATTTGGGTGGGAGACTCATCAATACCTTCTCTTAACGCATGTGCCGTCAATATCTCTGCGAATATTTATTCCCAGTAAACCACTCAACACTGACATCATGATTTCACAATCAAACTCACGGTTTGAGTCTTTCCTGGTACATGGCCAGGTCGTGTGGGTTGGTGGTTGTTGTTGGCAGGATTCAGCCAGAGAATACCCATGGGAAGGTGGATGACTAACACACCTACTCACCCACCAGTACAATAAATGCATTTGGTGGATAGAATTGGTTGGATCATAACATGGTAGAGTTACTAGTGCGAAGTGGTCAATGGGAATGCACGTACCCTGCAGCCATTTTCAAAGATACTCTCCTATATCCGAAATGGTCAAGAGATCTATATCATAGTGCTATTTTGTGTTCCTTTCCGCCCCATAACACTTGCATTGATCATAAAAAATGTTGAAGCTTGATATTTTTCGGGTGAGCGCCGTTAATGTATAGGGTGAGTATTGGTGATTGGGGGATATTGTCTTCGAGCATGGGTGGGCAAGGTAAACATGGTGAGTAAATGTGTAAGTAGGGGGTTGAGGAGAATTTTACATCCCATGTCAATCTATTTTATTTCATAGCAGAGCTTGCTGTATACCAAAGTTCTTCCAAATCTTACAACGATTCAAAAAAATTCAAAAATCAAGGTGAAAAGAGAAATATCAAATAAAAAGGATGGGGCAAGCCGGGCTTGAACCGGCCACCTCCAGATCTTCAGTCTGACGCGCTCCCAGATGCGCCATTGCCCCGATGACGTCACTTCAACTGACTATTAAGTATATCTGGCTATGGTTTTGTTTTTCATCAATAGATCAACAACTTTGATTTCATGCATGTTCACTAGTACTAGTTACTTTTCATAATGATCTCGTTTGTCTCCCATGCTCATGCTCCTGCTGAACTCAATGACTCTCATGAACTCGCGGCTACCTTTTGCTCACCTAATCGCCTTGATTCGCGTAAACCGCACCCCTATCGCTTCATGACTAGCCTTCTCCAAATCAATCACCCCTCTTGCATGGATCTCGTCTCATTGTGCAGAAGAGATAGCGGAGAATTACGTAGCAAGTACCACAGCAGCGCTGACAATATCAGCAACCTGGATGGAATCCGAGGATACTACCATAACAATCATAGTTAAACATAGAGCCGGGCCTTGGGGCGTACGCGCACTGTATGACCAGCCTATGCGAGGCCTCCTTCATCCAAAGGTAAGAAATCCGACCATTGAGGCAACTCCCGATACAACAAGTGTGATCAGCCACGTGATCCTCGCCTTTCAGCGCTCTTATATACCGACGACCCGTATAGCATCCACGGTATTCCCCCCTCTTCTCTCAAAAGAAAGAACCCCCAAAGACACTTCTAGACCAGAAACTCTTTCCCAGTTGCGATCTCAGAGTCAGCACCGGACGTATCCTCCCTCCCAAATCCACCCTCCCAATCCAAGCAATACCCCACAGACCCTTTTCCCACCGGGCATCGGGTACAACACCCACCCCATTGTATCCCGGTTCATTCGTCGCACCGACCCTACGCAGATCCTCCTCTACACCGACGGTGCCTATCTCAAGAACAGTAGATCCCACCCCCAAGCAGACCACGGCATTATCTTCAGACCTTCCAAGGACCTACCTCCGGACCCCAAGCTAGAGAACAACTCCAACTTCCGTCTCGAGAACGAAGGTCCCACTGACGAAGAATATCCAACGAGTACCAGGGCCGGCTGGATTACGGGCCGTGATCGCGGCGTGTCGGTTCCGGGTCTGGACCGGGGAGGGATTCACCAAGCTTATCATCGCCACTGACTCTGAATATGTGGTAGAGGGGGCGACGACTTGGGTTGCGGGATGGATCCAGCGGGGCTGGAAGACGAGCACGGGGGATGCCGGTCAAGAATCGGGATCTGTGGGAGTGTCTGCTGGGGGAAATGGAGCGGTGGGATGATGCTGGCTTGCGGATCCAGTTCTGGCGGATTCCGAGAGATTGGAATACTGATGCAGATTTGTATGCGAAACAGGGCGCATTGAAGACCCCACGGAGCGAGTTCGCGGATATTTCCGGGGTGCTTGTTTAGACTCGGGGACTGGCAATGGGTGGAAGGTTCTGAGATCCTTGCTTTGTTGATGGTGAGGACAAGGGAGGAGTGGGATGAGATAGGGGAAGATCATAGGAACTCAACATAGTGCACTACCTAGTGATCGGGAGTAGACGAGGAGGAAGAGGCTCATTGTGCAGAGAAAGGAAGTATTGACGAATGATAACGTTGCAGATATAACTTTCCATCTCTCTACTGGCCTGGATACAACGTTAAGTCTGATGCTTGACAGGGCATAGATGAAGCTAGGGGACATAGTTGATGGGGGCGTGGAAACGTGCAACGGTCGAGAGATAAATCACCATGTTTTGCAGTTTAAACCTCACGCTCATAGGTGAAGGGCTATGGCTTTGGAACTAGGAAATAAAGATCGGGAGCAAATATTAGCGCTATAATTCCGAAGAATCTCCAAAGTATATGGCATATAAGGGTATCTCAAGTTGTCACCAGCTACATCATGGTCAACCTCGTGTAATTCGTCTAATAATGGGTGGCCACCTAGATGAAGAAGATGCAAAAGTGTCATGACTGCCTCGCCGTCTATTTGCGTTTCCAAACTCCTTGAGAAGCCTTTCCATATCCCGCGTTATATGTCGGTTGCCATTGTTCCCTTCATACACCGCGCCTTCATGGAGGAGTCTCCGGGCAACGGAAATGTAGTTCTCCTTGACAGCATAAGAAAGGGGCGTGTTTCCCTCGTCATCCTTCGCGTTGACATCAGCGCCCCGCTCCAGCATGGCGTTGAATTTTTGCCGCCAGGCCTCGTCGGAAGGAACATAGCTCTTTATAAGCGTGAACAGCGGCGTTTCATTACCCAGACCATGTACATCGACTCCATCCATTTGGTCCATCAGCAGTCGGATGATATTTGCCGATACGTTTGCCCAGGCTGCGTAATGAAGGCTGGTCATCCCTTCTGTCGAGCTTGCCATGGGATCCGCCCTGTTTTTCAGCAGAGTCTGGACAACTTTTGAGTGGCCGTGCCTCACTGCGGCCATCAGCGGCGTCATGTTACTCGCTGACGGGCCATTGACCCTAACACCCTTGCTGAGGAGCAGCTCGACCATTTCTACATTCCCGGTTTCGGCGGCCAGCTTGAGAGGCGTGCTGCCCTCAGAGCTGGGCCCTTCGAGGTCAAGACTGGGCCACCAATTGAAGAGCGCATTGAGCACATAGACGTTCCCTGTCAATATAGCATGTATCAGAGCCCTATCCTTATCATAAGCCTCTTCTACATCTGCTCTGGCTTCCAGAAGTGCTCTCATTTGCGTTATGTTCTGTTCTCTGATTGCCTGTATGAGAAACTGCCCGAGTCCGGGGCTGGTAGATGATGTACTAGTCGAATCGCGATGGTCATCAGACATGCTAACAGCCGTCCCAGAAAGTGTCGATAATGAAGGTGTACCGCGTAGCTCGGGCGACAATGTCTCACTCCTTGACTGTGCGAGGCTTTGGAGTTTCGTTAACCTCGTGCAGACTGTTCTCGCATACGGTCGCTTGTTTATATCGAGTGCAAGGACATCGAGAAGGAGCGCTTGGCTCTTTAGTAAAAACTCCCTGGAGTATTTATTGTGTTCATTTGGAAGACCTACCACCCAGGCCTGGATATGTGGGTTGAGAACAGCAGGAACTTCACGGTGGAAATAATCATGATCGTAATCTGACATTCCATCGGCAGACTTCCCCCTCCTCATATCCAGATCTCTCAACCCGTGTCGGCCTTGAAGTCCTAGTGCTAGGACCCGGGCAAGGATACATCCAAATGACCAGACATCGCTCCTGCGTCCAGACTCTCGGCCACTGCATACCTCTGGAGCTTGGTATGGTCCCAGAAGTGGCACCGAAGTGTGCCTGATAGAGGGATTTGTGCTTTCTGTTTGCCTGATACTGGAGATTCCAAAATCGGTTATTTTCCATTTTCCTACCGGTAACATGTTCCCTTCAAAAAAGACGAGAATGTTCGCCGGTTTAAGATCCCGATGGCAACACGTTAATCCTAGCTCCTCGGAGCGAAGGTCCTCGTGTAAAAAGTTCAGAGCATCGGCCACATTGGCTGCCTCGGTCACCAGGTCCTTCATTGTGAAGCAACGGTCATTCGGATATCTGCCCTGTTCACCACTGAGAAACCCTTCTAGATCCATATCGGCTAAAGGTGAAATTATGTTGAAATCGCAACCGACCGTTACCGTAGCGAGATAGGGAAGTATACGATCGTGATGTGCCAGGGCTGAGCGAAGCTGTTTGAGATTCTTCACTTCGAACCGGAAATACTGGCCGATAGCGAAGCGCTTCCGGGCGATTCGGACAGGCGTCTGCACATGTCAGTGTCTTCTGTAAGGACTATCTTAAAAGCCATACATTTGATAGAATACCATGCGGCCCTCGATAGTAGCCTCTTGGGATAGTTTCTTCGGTGACGCTCCCATACCCTCCTTGGCGTATTTCATTAGACTCCTCATTGATGAAGGGCAATCTCCATTCCCTACTGAAATCCAGACTCTCTCCCTCTCTCAAGACGATTGGGGAAAAGATATATTGGTCCGAGAGGAACTTGTGTGCCCATGGGCGGCCCAAAAAGGCGTCGCTTTCCAGATCGCCGAGTTGGAACTTTCCGATTTTTGCATCTGTACGGTCTCTCCTTCCATCGAGGCCGTAGTGCGCAAGAAATATTCTTCCAAAATATGCCCAATTCGGCCACCCTATGTAACAGAGAAGCGAAATTATCTGTAGAAAGTCTTCCCGAATCACCTCGATGTCGTCATCGCGGAACCCTGGCTTTTTGAGGCGGATGAAGTCCTTAAGTATCTCCTGGCTCCAAATAGCTGCAAGGCTTTCTCGCGCAATAAACGTCTCCGACGGTGTAGCTTTGTTCTGCATTGCACTCGCCAGATCTATGAGAATTTTGTCGTCCAGATCTTTCATAGATCTGCGTGGTCGCAGTAGGCTGGCCATCGTCAGGGAGGATACCGATCGGCAGGGTTGCCCACGAATGTTAGGGAGCCTGGGCGTGAAACAAGGCTGTCGTGGAGGTGCGCAAGTCACACAAAGCCTTGTATGTCCTGTGGACTTGGAGGGTTTGCCGACCTTTCCATGGGGACGAGCTCGAATAGTCGGGTGAAGCTGACGGCTTCATGGAGAAAAATTGGGAGCGGAAGTGTAAGAAGAGAGAAAGAGGACAGGTTGAAGTTGAGGAAGGCTGAATGGCAGTTGCCTTCGTCATCTCAACACAGCCGCGTCATGTGATTGCCAGGAGTTCCAATCATTCTGGTCAAAGTCCGAACTCCGACTCGCCTGGGTGGTGCTGTCTATCTGTGCCTATCATTGCCCCCGCGGGGATCTGAGCGCTGACCCCCGCACATGGAGTGCGCGTGCCCAGATTCTGGACGTGTCAGAATTCAGAAGCCATCTCCGAGGACCACGTGGGTTTTGACCTGTACGTACATTCAAAAGCCACCGTCATCAAGCAAGGGACGCTCATCTACTTAGCAGGGCTGTTCCTTCGAGGAAATAGCTGATTGTTTACCCAATCAAATTAGTCCATTTTACTAAGCGATCGGAGCAACACTACTATGCCTCCAGGCAACAACAGCCTCGACTCACGGCCGCAAGATAACCATCTACACCTCCTCAACATAATCGCTCACGGTTGATCAACCCCGTCACTATCCTCCTCGGCGTTCGCAAAGCTTTGCTCCTTGGTTAGAACCATGCTGCGGGTACAAAGAGAGAATGCGACCAGCGGCACCGTTAAGCAAATCCCAGTAATGCACAACAGCCGTTGTGTGTACTTGTACGCAGCAACGACCGCATCCCGATCCGGGGTACCCATGGGATGAGTACCGCTGAAAGTGAACGGATCCGCATATGCTTGAGCAGCTAGCGTAGCGTTACCGAGTCTGCTGTTCAGCTCTCCGGGAAGAACCTGGGTCCAAATGGCTCCCGAAATGCTTCCTCCTAGGGCGCTGCCGATGTTATAGCACGCTAAGAACAGACCAGTGACCACCGCCAGATCTTTAAGTTGTTAGAAATGATTCCTGGGACATGCGGCTCAGAACTTACGCTCGTGCTTGGTGGCAGCCTGGATGCTGGCCTGGGCAGGGTAAGGGAAGAATCCCCCAGCTAGATGATGTCAGTTGGCGCTGAGTTCTATAGGGGTGAGCGTACCAATCCCCAGAAGCACCTGACCCCCAATGATTCCCGAATGGCTGGACGAAGTGGACCCTCCACGGTAATAGATCAAGATACCAAAAGCCACCATGAACAACAATGTCCCTCCGACAATAAATGGCTTTAGTCGTCTAACCTTGAAGACGACAAATCCCAACAGGAATCCAGTGATCACAGAGGCAAAGCTGGCAGGGTGAGTGGGCCTTCATGCAAATCAAGAAGTGCCAACAACTCACCTATAGAGGGATCGAATTCTGGTTGCGCTCGTGATACTTTCATTGAAGCTGACGATAAGGACAGTGTAGAGATATTCGCCTTGGAGGGCCCATGCTGCTCCTCGTTAGAGAGAAACATACGGAACGTATCATGCTTACCGGTGTTTAGCATGAGTGCAATGCCTAATGCACCCCAGACTGCTCTATCTTTGAGCAGCTATAGATGCGTTAGCTCGGACGATCGTCCAGAGAGGACGGGTACTACCTTGAATGGAACCATCGGGTGCTTGCATGTTCTCTCCCAGATAACCCACGCTGGAATGCAGCACAACCCTATAACGAGAGGGGCGATGATCTTGGCCTCCTTCCACTGCGAAGCTAACCCTCCGGCTATCGTAAATGGCACCAGAATCAGAGCAAGAAATGCAATCAACAGTATAATGCCAATCACATCCAAGTACCAAAACAATTCTTTGGCCAACCGGCAAGCACCCATCCTACGGAAGGAACTTCGGATGTCCTCCAACGCGCCATTGTTCTTTGCTCTGCGGTGAACGATGCAGAGGGTGATGAGGAGAGGAAGTGTGCAAACTGGTGATACTCAGTCATTGTCTATCCCATCGGGCACCCACCTACTGGGATAGATTATCGCAAACATGCCCACACCCCAGCGCCATGTGGTCGTCCCTAAGACAGCCCCAGTGACATTACCACTAATCCAGGTGTTGATCTAACAGTATCAGCTTCGATCAAGATCTACTCGGGTCCATCGATCTCACCAGAAACGGCAGTGCTGGAGTATATGAGAATAGTAGGCGCGAGCGCAGCGAGGTAACATCCGCAACCAAAACCTCCACCAGTAGTATGATAGCGGTGTATCCGATCTATTTTACGATTCGATGTTAGTGAAGTTGAACAGCCTATACTGAATCTAATCGAGGTCAGAGCTCACCTGGTATAGCACAGCACCTGCAGCAAACTGCTCGACTGTATTTGAAGACGCCTCGATAATGGTACCTAGCACATCAGCGCCCGACAAGCTCAAACGAAATGCAGACTCAGTACCAAGGGTATAGAAAAGTATTGAGATCAAGATCAACTCGACTCTCCCGAAAACATCGGCAATCTTGGCTGCAGTTGGCTGGGGTACAGGATTCGTTAGTCACCCAGAAGACATTCTAACGAAGATCACATACCTGTGCAGCAGCTGCAATAACCGCTCGGAGGATATCGATGCTCGACAGCAGACTATGCGAGCCGTAGGAGGCGGTAGCGTATGGCTGCAATCAGCGCGGTTAGTCTATGACTGTCGGGAAGATGGTGAAACTTACCTGGTAGGTGCCCCGCACTTGACCGTCAAGTCCATAGACATAGGCCACGAGAAATATTCCAGAGAAAAGAAACACACGGTCAATGTTCCATAGGTAAGATGAAAGAACCTCAATCCGCTTGACCCCCGGGCTGTCTAGTTCCGGTGCTGCGCCCGGACCTTGAGGGCCTTGGGTTGCAACCTGGGCAGATGGGCCCTCCTTATTGTTAGCCATGGTGGCTCCGACCTGCGCTCCTGTTGACTATCCGAGGAGTAGGGGGCAGCAGGAGGGGTTTTTGTAATTTTTCAAGAGAGGAAAGTGTGGGAGAAACAACAAAAACGTCATCCGAGCATCAGCCCGTACCTAACTAACGGGAAGAAGGCCCAGACGGCATGATAAATCCTTTTCAATCTTATCTGATGAATACTCTGGGGTCTAGGAGGGGCTTCAGTCCAATCAGATAAATCATGCCAGCTTTACCATAGTTTTAATGCTTGAGTGGGCCGAGCAATGCACACCGAACGGTCATTAAAGACCTCGTATTTGCTCATGCCAAGAGAAAATAAGGCGATTTGAAGATTTCACTGTGATGGCCCCTCTTGGCCAAGATACCACTCCATAAGATAGATATCATGGTGAGGGAATTTCAGACACTATGACTAATGTCCTTCGAATACCTGTGTCATTCGACCATATTCACATGGCTATCTCATAGAAAGGAGCATGGTTCCCGCATGATGAACAATTTAGGAAATCTGTACCTGATCCGCAACACACAAGCAGATTCAATCACCTACCAGTCCGTCAGACCTTCCGGTCAACTTCTTCCCATCTCATATTAACAGCGAGGTCAATTTCCAATTATCTACCCTCTGTAAGTAACTATGATTTATTTCCTATTTTCCTCTAAAGCATTCTACACACATGGTTGAGATCTAACAATTTCAGCCCGAGCTCATCGCAGAGGAATAAACTACAGGCCCCTCCTGAAGCACCTTGAAAATTTACCCCCCCCCCCC